CATTTTTATGCCTTAGTCTTCTATGGCGTTTTTTTTTACTTTTTATGCCTCAATACCGTATGACATATTTATGATATTTCATCCCTTGCTATAAAATGACATTTTTATGCCTTAGTCTTCTATGGCGTTTTTTTTTACTTTTTATGCCTCAATACCGTATGACATATTTATGATATTTCATCCCTTGCTATAAAATGACATTTTTATGCCTTAGTCTTCTATGGCGTTTTTTTTTACTTTTTATGCCTCAATACCGTATGACATATTTATGATATTTCATCCCTTGCTATAAAATGACATTTTTATGCCTTAGTCTTCTATGGCGTTTTTTTTTACTTTTTATGCCTCAATACCGTATGACATATTTATGATATTTCATCCCTTGCTATAAAATGACATTTTTATGCCTTAGTCTTCTATGGCGTTTTTTTTTACTTTTTATGCCTCAATACCGTATGACATATTTATGATATTTCATCCCTTGCTATAAAATGACATTTTTATGCCTTAGTCTTCTATGGCGTTTTTTTTTACTTTTTATGCCTCAATACCGTATGACATATTTATGATATTTCATCCCTTGCTATAAAATGACATTTTTATGCCTTAGTCTTCTATGGCGTTTTTTTTTACTTTTTATGCCTCAATACCGTATGACATATTTATGATATTTCATCCCTTGCTATAAAATGACATTTTTATGCCTTAGTCTTCTATGGCGTTTTTTTTTACTTTTTATGCCTCAATACCGTATGACATATTTATGATATTTTATACCTGGCTATACAATGACATTTTTATGCCTTATTATAATATGACGTTTTTTTTTTACATTTTATGCCTTATTATACTATGATGTTTTTTTATGATATTTTAGGCCTCACTATACTATTACGTTTTTATGCCTTACTATACTATGACATTTTTTTTACATTTTATGCCTTAGTATACTATGGCGTTTTTTTTTTACATTTTATGCCTTAGTATACTATGGCGTTTTTTTTTTATGCCTTAATACTGTATGACATATTTATGATATTTTATAACTTACTATACAATGACATGTTATGCCTTACTATACTATGACGTTTTTTTGACATTTTATACCTTACTATACAATGACGTTTTTATGCCTTAGTATACTATGATGTTTTTATGCCTTACTATACTATGACATTTTTTTGAAATTTCATGCCTTAGTACACTTTGACGTTTTTTTGACATTTTATGCCTTAGTATACATGATGTTTTTATATTTTATGCCTTAGTATAATATGACTTTTTTATGCCTTAATACACTATGACGTTTTTATGATATTTTATAACTTACTATACAATGACGTTTTTATGCCTTACTATACTATGACATTTTAATGATATTTTATACCTCACTATACAATGACGTTTTTATGCCTTACTATACTATGACATTTTTTTGAAATTTTATGCCTTAGTACACTATGACGTTTTTTTGACATTTTATGCCTTAGTATACTATGACGTTTGTTTTATGATATTTTAGGCCTCACTATACTATTACGTTTTTATGCCTTACTATACTATGATATTTTTTTTTACATTTTATGCCTTAGTATACTATGGCGTTTTTTTTACATTTTATGCCTTAGTATACTATGGCGTTTTTTTTTACTTTTTATGCCTTAATACTGTATGACATATTTATGATATTTTATAACTTACTATACAATGACATGTTATGCCTTACTATACTATGACATTTTTATGATATTTTATACCTTACTATACAATGACATTTTAATGCTTTACTATACTATGACGTTTTTTTGACATTTTATGCCTTAATATACTATGATATTTTTATGATATTTTATAACTTAATATACAATGACGTTTTTATGCCTTACTATACTATGACATTTTAATGATATTTTATACCTTACTATACAATGACATTTTTATGCCTTACTATACTATGACGTTTTTTTGACATTTTATGCCTTAGTATACCATGACGTTTTTATGATATTTTATGCCTTACTATACTATGACTTTTTTATGCCTTAATACACTATGACGTTTTTATGATATTTTATAACTTACTATACAATGACGTTTTTATGCCTTACTATACTATGACATTTTAATGATATTTTATACCTTACTATACAATGACATTTTTATGCCTTACTATACTATGACATTTTTTTGAAATTTTATGCCTCAGTACACTATGACGTTTTTTTGACATTTTATGCCTTAGTATCCCATGACGTTTTTATATTTTATGCCTTATTATACTATACTATGACTTTTTTATGCCTTAATACACTATGACGTTTTTATGATATTTTATACCTTACTATACAATGACATTTTTATACCTTAGTATACTATGACGTTTTTATGCCTTAGTATACTATAACGTTTTTATGCCTTACTATACTATGACGTTTTTATGCCTTAGTATACTATAACGTTTTTATGCCTTACTATACTATGACGTTTTTATGCCTTAGTATACTATAACGTTTTTATGCCTTACTATACTATGACGTTTTTATGCCTTAGTATACTATAACGTTTTTATGCCTTACTATACTATGACGTTTTTATGCCTTAGTATACTATAACGTTTTTATGCCTTACTATACTATGACGTTTTTATGCCTTAGTATACTATAACGTTTTTATGCCTTACTATACTATGACATTTTTTTGAAATTTTATGCCTCAGTACACTATGACGTTTTTTTGACATTTTATGCCTTAGTATACCATGACGTTTTTATATTTTATGCCTTATTATACTATACTATGACTTTTTTATGCCTTAATACACTATGACGTTTTTATGATATTTTATACCTTACTATACAATGACATTTTTATGCCTTAGTATACTATGACGTTTTTATGCCTTAGTATACTATGACGTTTTTATGCCTTACTATACGATGAAATTTTTTTCAAATTTTATGCCTTAGTACACTATGACGTTTTTTTGACTTTTTATGCCTTACTATACTATGACATTTTTTTTGAAATTTTATGCCTTAATACACTATGATGTTTTTATGATATTTTATCCCTTACTATACAATGACATTTTTATACCTTAGTATAGTATGACGTTTTTATGCCTTAGTATACTATGACGTTTTTATGCCTTACTATACTATGACATTTTTTTGAAATTTTATGCCTTAGTACACTATGACGTTTTTTTGACATTTTATGCCTTACTATACTATGACATTTTTATGCCTTAATACACTATGACATTTTTATGATATTTTATAACTTACTATACAATGACGTTTTTTTGCCTTACTATACTATGACATTTTTTGACATTTTATGCCTTACTATAGTATGGCGTTTTTTTTTGTGACACTTTTATGCCTTAGTATACTATGAGGATGCTTTACTGTACTATGAAGTTTTTATGCCTTAATATACTTCGACATTTTTATGCTTTACTATACCATGTTTTTATGACATTTTATGCCTTACTATACTATGACTTTTTTATATTTTATGCCTTCCTACACTATGATGTTTTTTTGACATTTTATGCCTGACTATACTATGACTTTTTTATGCCTCAATACACTATGTCGTTTTTATGATATTTTATACCTCACTATAAATTGACACTGTTATGCCTTACTATACTATGACATTTTTATGCCTTACAATACTATGGCGTATTTTTTTGACATTTTATGCCTGACTATACTAGCCTCAGATCTCTGGACATTTTTAAAAAAACGCTGAAACTGCTGTTTGCCTTTACAGTATTTATAATGTACAACAGAAATACTGCAAATGCAGTCTTTGTAACTTAGATCAAAATCAGATGTGACAGCAGTAGTAGCATTATTCCCCAAAGCTTGAATAAGTGTTTTGCACAAGCTGAGTGATGGTTATTTACTGATTGTAAAACCTGCAAGAGGCCCTGTAACTATGCTCCGAAGGCAATTTGAAATTTAATCTTTCAACCACAAACTTGAATTACCAATAATCCCATCCAGTTTACTTCAGATACAATGGGGCTATTATATTTCACACGCTGAGACAGCCTAGCAGCAGGCAGTGCTGTTCAACAGCGCTCTAGGGGATGATGCACACAAAATCAGGTAAGAGAAAGACATCCTTGGCTTTAATTTAAAAGGAAAAAGACTGATTTATTTAAAAAAAAAAAAGAATTAGTCAAAAACATGTATTTATCCCTCAAGCCCTTGTACAAATGGATCAAATCTACAGGAGACCTGTGATACAGAGAGAGCTCAGAGTGTTGAACCAAAAAGAGGACAGAGATCTGCAGCATAAACTGAACATGCTGGACAAACAGCACCAGTACACCTGCAAAATGCTTCAACAAAGACGGGACTCGCTTATAAACGAACAGAGGAAAGTGGTGATGGTAAAAATCTGTGAACCTAAAGCTACAGTCAACATCGCTATGAGAGAAATTGGAGAACACAAGAACACTGAGACACACCTCAGAGGTATTCACACATCTGATGACAGAAGACTGTACTCCAGAAAATCCCAGTATCATGACAAAGGATCTGAACAGGTGGAGCAGAGTCGGTCGGCATCAGCTCCACCGTCATCAGTCAAACCCACAGGTCCAGTGAGACACAGAGGCAAAGCACAGAGTAACGTGTCTCTCATGCAGATGAAAAATATCGCAACTATTGACTCAATATCAGAAAAAGAGCTGGCCAGGCAACGGCAAGAAGCCCAAGAGGAAATGGAGAGAATGAAACAGCTTCAGAGGGAAACGTTACACAAGAGGGTGACAGCTTTCATACAAAGTCTCAAAGACAAAGGCAACATGGAAACACTCGTGGAACCTCCATAGAGGATCTTTAATGTTTGGAGTCATAAACATAAATTAATTATCTTCTCAAAGCTCAACAATTATAACACCAAGAAAAAAAACAGTTTCATTATAAACAATGAGAATAAACTATGTACATATGTTTTCAGTAAATGTAAAAACAATGCTCAGTTTTGTTATTTCTGAGTAGATTAAACAATATGCCCCATCTTTTTCATGGTTATCAAAGCTTTGTGCACCGGAGTCTCCATGAGCAGGGTGCAGTTCTTCTTCCACTCTGGAGAATCAGGAAGCTCCTTGTCTGCAAAAAAATAATAAAACAGAATAAGATATAATAAAATAAAAATACCCAGGAAGTGTGGATGCACAACAGCATTACTATAGTTGTTAGAAAGATATTCTCTATTTGAACATATATTTTACATGTATTCAATATCTTAAATACTTCTCTTACAGACTCCTACACATTTTGATGTTGTATTTCAAACCATAGTTTCACCAATTTCTTATTTTAGTACCGTAAACTAACTTATATCTAACTGGCCTTAAATTCACCCTCTTATCTTGCCAAATGGTGATGTAGGGCTGCAGTGATTATTTTCATCATTGCATAATCTATTAATGTTTTTTTTTTGTTCTCCTGTTATATTGTTTAATTGTTTAGTCTATTAAAAGTCAGGTAAGAAAATCACTACAATGTTCTTGCTCATCAGATAGACAGGTGTAGTGGATTAAGAGCTCCGACTGTGACAGAAGCAAAAAGAAAAAGCAGCTCTGTCGTTCTTGAACTCAATTTGTTAACATTTCGGTCCTCAGACCTTACTTGTACTCACTTCATTGTAAAGAAAGTGATCAACAGCATATCGCTTTGATTGTATTGGCACAGATACATAGCAGTAAGTAATATCAGTTTGAGTTGACCATCCTACCTTCACATTCAAAGTGGACTCTGGTGGGAAGACAGCGGGTGTGGTCAGTGTAGTCTAGGATGCAGAGAACAGCAGGCTTCCCTCTCGGCACAGTCAACATCAGCACCAGTAGCGAACACAAGACATTACTCTCCATCACTTCAATGGACTTATGTTGCTCCTATAAGCAGGCAGGAGGACAGAGGCAGTGTAAACTTATTTGCAGGCATCCTAAATATAGTTCTACTCTCTGAGAGATGATCTAACTAGCCAGTTGAGGCTTTCTTGCCCGACAAAGACATAAATAATACCCAAGAAAAACTGGTAATTTCTAAATCTTCAAGTCTTTGCATTATTCAAAAATGTTTTAATTTTTTTTTTTTTACTGCTCACCACCACAACCATACGTGTGTATGTTGTCTGAGGGGCTTTGATTTGGTTGATATATTGTATTGGAGAGCCAAATTTATTAGTATACAATATGTGATAAGCCAATATTTGAATTAATTGTGTCATAAACAATGTATGATCAGAACTGCAAAAAGAAACTGCAGCACAAACATTTTATAGGTTGCTTTTTAAATACATTTGACTCTTACTCAGAGCCAAAACTGACATTTTCAAATTACTTGTGTGATCTGACATACAGCCCAAAACCCAAAGACATCCCATTTACAATCATATATAACTGAGAAAATTCAAAAATTAACATTTAGGAAGAACCCATGACATTTTCGTATTTTTGCTTTAAAAAAAATTACTTGGACATTTATCAAAATGGTTGGCTATTACTTTCCTGTGGATTGACTAATGAATTAATAGTCTCATCTTAAGTGTATGAGAGCCTGTTTTAGCCCCTGTACATCAACATTAACTTTTTAAGAACAAAACCTGAACGAGCCTTAACAACAATGTTTATGTTGCACTAAGTTTATGCAGGAAACAAATATGAGCCAACTTATTGATATCTGATTTTAACTATTTTAAATATTGTTATTTTTATCACCACCAAAAAAATACATATCCAGTATAAGTCATATTTCTTATTTTTAGGACAAATTTCACCATATGGCAAAAGCTGACTGTATGTAAAATGCCCTTTTTTTTGTGTTTAGGCAGGTGCTTAAACCTGTCTCAGCCTTTGAAGGTGGCATCTCCACAGCCACATATGCAACTGCTCTCTGAGAGATTTGTCAGATATTATTCAACAGACCAAAATAAAATAAACAAAGTCTGGCACCTTAACAAGCTTTAGCTGCTGCTTGCGACCGGCAAATGCGTTGAGATGGCAGCTGAGGGTGTCCAGAAAAGCCCTTATGTTTGTCTGCATGTTGCTCTGCTCAGCGAGGTTGTTCAGGGGGATGAACGGAGGAATGTTGTGACGAGTGATCCTCAGCCTTGGCTTCAGGTCTATCTCCAGGTTGTAGGTGTCCAAGTAGACCCCCTCGAAGGCTGTCGCCACAGACACGCACACTCCTTTACCCTGGCGAGTCTTTATGACATCGTACCCACCTAGTGACATCAGCAAATCAACAGAGAGGGTGAAGGGAAGGTTAAGACAGACTGATAATGAAGCTTATATGAAACACACAGCGTTAATGACAACCTCTCACTGTCAAACAAATAAAAGGGTGAATGAATACAAAATAATTACCAATGAGGTGATGAGCATGCACAAGATCTGTCAGTTGTGTATGTCTGGCCATCAGCTGCAGTAGCTGTGAGTCCTCGGAGTCTTCATCCATTTCCTCCTCTTCTTCATGTGTACGCTGTCTGTCCATAGACATCATCAGTCTCTGAAGAGTCTGCAACAGGACATTGTAACCAGTAGCAACAAGTCATCAGCATGCAGTGCAGCTTTATGAATAACGTTAGTAATACACACACATACACTTTGAAACCAATACACTCAACTTCATGATGTACCTGTGCTGTTTATTGTACAAAACAAGGAGTCCTGCAGCAGATGGTGTGACCCCCACAGAGCCCCTATCTGTTTCCATTTTATTTAATTTGTTTCATGGGACCAAGACGTTATTTCTAACTGGTGGGTGCCATTTTGTTTCAAATGCTTCAGTTTTTCAATTTCATAGAGTTCCCTTTGTCTGTCTGCCCATCCTCCTGTGGAAACTATGTCCTCAGTGTTGATTCAACTGAATGGTCATATTCACATATTCAGAGACTTAAATATTTAATGTATCCGTATTGTTATAAATGGGACGGAAGAAGAATCATCTCCAACACCATAAAATATCTTAAGGTTGAATTGACATTTAAACTGTTTAAATAAAAACTGAACATTATAGCCTATCATGAAAGTGGGATTTATTGCAGGGCTGTTGTATTAGTTTTTGCCAGGTGTCCCTAACAAACTGGCAACTGAGTATGTCAGTGCGTCTTTTGAGCCATCTTAACACAGATGACTTAAGTGTCACATCTCATGCAAACTAACTAACTTATGATTAAACTCTCCTGACTCCATGAATCACCTCCACTGTCTGTATCTCTGCCTTCAGCAGGTCTCTCTCGGTCGTCAGCGCCTCAGCTTTAGCCTCCAGCTGCTTCACGAGACTCTGCTGCTGAAGACGAACCTTACGGTTCCTTGCCTGAGCCTCCAGCAGATTCAGCTGACCTAAAACACCTGTGGATAAAAAAACAAAACAAAACAAAACACAACACACACACACTCTTATCAGCTTTCAGACGGGACATAAACAACCTCATAAACTGCTAGGCACGCTAGCTGTATTATTAGCTAGCGTGGCGACGTAACAGTCACAACAAACCCCTTCACAACTACTGTATCTTCCCGCGGTCTACGTTACCTTTCGTTGGTCCTCCCTCCATGTTTTCGCAAAGTTGTTTTATTTATTTCGTGTTTGATCATGTGAAAACAGTCGCTAGAAGTTGTGGGTTTTCAATTTTGGCGGTTCCTGCCTGAGTCATAATTTTGCAACCCCGCCCACAGCTCTGACCCCGGAAGCACATTTAAAAACAATTTGTAATCACATGGAGCCATGGAGCGAGATCAGGTGGTGGGTAGAGTAAATACTTTATGAACACAACATAAGATAAGATTAAAAAACCATTAGACTTACTTGTCTAGAAAATATGCAAACTATATTGTCTTTAGCTCTTGTTCTTATCCGTAGAAATATTCAAACAAGTTGTTTTTAGCTAACGTTGCATTCTTGAACATTACTCAGTAAACAGCATGGTACCACAGCCTCACCCGGATGACAGCAGTGCTGGCATGTAAAGGTGAGTCCGTGTAGTTTCTCCTGTTCATACCCTTTTCACCACACTCCTTTCTCATACGTGTGACATTATTTTGACCAAGTTTATCTTCTGTTCATATTTTGCCATATTCAGTTGAGTTAGGCAGCTGTTGTCAGAGTTTTGAGGGTCAGGGAGTGAGGTCAGTAGCTGCAGTTGCACATTTGAATCAGCAGGAAATACCATCATTAGTTATTTATAACTAATATAGCTTAAGTTACCACAGCAGTGTCTTCAAGTGAAGTAAAAGTCACTTTAATATTCTTGCTTTAATCTTTTCTCTAGTACAGAGGAGTGGGTTTGTAGGGATCTTACTGTAATTTGTGCCGTCTCCTTTGCGTTTGATCTGAGCCGATAAGTCAATTTGATCAATCTACAGAAGATTAATCAACTATTTTAATAACTGATGACTCATCTGAGATGTTTATTAGGCACTAATACCAATCATTCTCTGTTCTGCAGCTTCTCCAATGTGAGGATTTGCTGCTTTTCCCTGCTTTATACTGTTGTAAACTGAATATCTCTGGGTTATATTCTGCTGATCACTACCCCCCACAGCAGAAGGTCACATCTTTAAATAGCTTTTTTTGTCCAACTATCAATCCAAAACCTGAATATATTTAGTATGCTAACTAATTTATTGTCTGTCGTGATTTATAAATAGATTAACTAAAAGATTTTTAATATGAGCAAAGCCAAAAAACTAAAACTGCATAATCTGAGGGAAAAAAGGTTCCAAAACAAATTTAGAAACCTCTCTCTCCTCTGAAACTTAAAATTTATAATCAAGTTTGATTAATCTCTTTCCTCCAAAACCCACAGATGTTGGTTGCTGCTGTTTATCTTTTTGGTAATGTTTAAATGTTGGCAGCAGAATGCAGAGAAGCAGGACACTTCCCCTTTAAACTTCCCATTTCAAAAACGGCACTCAGTATTTTTGGATCAGGATAATAAGGGGAAAGTTGACACAGAGGCTGTTTGACCTTGGTTTGTCTACACTGAGTCCCATTTCACAGAGTGGAGGTTGTGTCATGCAACAATGCGTTTCTGCTGCAAACAGGTTAGGTTAGGTGACGGCACAGGCGCCTGACATTATACCTCCTGTCTCTTTATCTGGGAAGGAAGAAATCTGTCAGAAAACCAGCTCAGGGGAATCCAGAGTATGAAGGTTTGTTTCTTTACCAGTCAATTAAAGCTGCAATGATTAGTTGATTAATTGACGAGTGGATCAACAGAAAATGAATCAGCAGCAATTTTGATAATCAGTTATTTGTTTTCCCAAAGAAAATTTGGCAAAAACGAACAGTTCCAGCTTCTCAAATGTAAATATTTTCTGTTTTTTAATCCCTTCTATGATTGCAGACTGAATATCTTTTGTTGGTTGGTTGTGGGTTGATGTCAGCTTGGACTCTGGGAGGTTTTGTTGACATTTTATGGAAAAGGATTAGGCCTGCAACTAACAATTATTTTCATTATCAATTAATTTTTTTGTCTGTATGTCAGAAAACTGAAATATGTGAAATATAATATTTTTTTATTTTATCAGTCCAAAACCCAAAGATATTCAGTTAACTGTCGTACAACAAAGAAAAACATCAAGTCCTCATGAGAAGCTGGAACCAGTAAATATTTTTCATTTTTGGTTATTAAAAAAAACTAAAGTGATGAATTAATTAATTGAGAAAATAGCTGGTAGATGAGTCAGCAATGACAGTAATGGTTAGTTGCATCCCTACAGTCATGCAGAGGGATTTGTTTGTGAGAGAGAGGTGTGTGAACGTTCTTTCTCTCAAGATATATTTAATCAGTGTTTTCTCTTTCTTCAAGGCTGCTGGACTCTCCTGACTGATGGGTGTGGGCAAAGAAGTTTCCCATCCGTCTGACAGTGCGACTGCAGGAGGAAGAAACCCTCTCCAGCTGCAGCCAGGAGACAATCACAATGGACCCGTCCGACCAGAAGCACTTTGCGGTTGTAGACTATGTGATATTTGCCGTCTTGCTCGCTGCCTCTATGGGCATCGGCCTGTACCATGCACTGTCTGGTGGGCGTCAGCGCACAACACAGGAGTTCTTGATGGCAGACAGAAGCATGCGCTGTCTCCCTGTGTCCCTGTCACTCATCGCCTCATTCCAGTCCGCCGTGGCGATCATAGGCGTGCCGGCAGAGATCTACACCCATGGTACTCAGTACTGGTTCATCGGCTGTGCCTACATTCTGGGCCTCTTCATTCCAGCTCATGTCTTCATTCCAGTGTTTTACAGACTACAGGTCTCCAGTGCTTATCAGGTACGGGAAGGTTTTGTTTTTACAGTTGTTCTGGATTTAAATTGGTTCATGACGTACGGATTTCATGTTGTTTTGATTCACAGTATCTTGAACTGCGCTTCAGCAAAGCAGTGCGTATCTGTGGAACTTTGACCTTCATTTGTCAGATGGTGAGTGCAACACTTGCTGCACCAATCCAACTTTTTCTCTCCCAATAACTATTTCACAACCTCAGCTCAGGGTCTCTGTGGAGACCGAGCACTGATCTGAAACCGGTGCTTCTTTTTCAAATTTAAAATCAGCACACCTCACTGCATGGAGGTAATTTGGATCATTTTTATGTAAGGTAACATGAGGACATTGATTGCCATGGTGCTAAAGGTTGGCAGCCAGCTGTGACTAAAATTTAACTGATAGCGAAAACACTGAATTTTGACATTGAGAAAGAAACTGCTTTCAATCAGTCATGTCTGGCCAAGACCCACTCGCATTAAAGGAATAGTTGGAAATCAATATCACTCATTGTCTGTTCACTAAATATGAAGCTACAGCCAGCAGCCGGTAAGTTTAGCTACATATAAAGACTGAAACTGCCCGACAGTGAAGTAGTGTGCTACTTCTTGGACAGGAGCAGTTACCTTTGGACAGAGCCAGGCTAACTGTTTCCCCCTGTCTTCAGCCTTTATGCTAAGCTAAGCTAACCAGCTTCATATTTAATGGACAGATACAGTATGTGGGTGGCTCTCGGCAAGACAGCAAATGAGCAGATTTTTCAAAGTATCAAACTATTTCTTTGATAATCATTATTGTCCTGATACCAATCCAGTGGATGGGTTTGTTGTATCCCTTTAATAACGCCTAAAAATACAGGAGATGCATCTATTTATTAGCTACAGAATCTTTCTTTACTTAACTTTCTGAAGTCTCTGATTTGTCTTTTATTTACTTGGCTACAGGTTATCTATATGGGGATTTGTGTGTATACTCCCGCCTTTGCACTTAACGCAGGTATGAAGAATTCATATATTTTCCTCTGACTTGGAAAACTTGAAGGATGAGATCTGTGGTTCAATCTGTTACTGTGTTTTCTTTCAGTTACTGGATTCGAATTATGGGGAACGGTGCTGGCCACTGGCCTAGTGTGCACGTTGTACACAACAATGGTGAGTTATTAAAAGACATTTTCATGCAACTTAATATGAAGTTCTGACATTTGAATATTCGTGACTCGCTATCTGTGACTGTCAGCAACACTGCTCGTTCAGGATTTGTTCACTGTGATTCATTCACTCTTCTTCGGATTTCCAACGCTCTTCCTGAATCTCTTCCAAAAAAAAAAAAAAAACACTCCAAATGCAAAGGATATATTTTTACACATCATTCGGTAGAGCATGAGACTCTTGATCTCAGGGTCGTGGGTTTGTGCCCCACGTTGGGCGCAAAAGTTTAACTAATTTCCCCCTGGGGATCAATAAAGTATTCTGATTCTGATTCTCATTTGTTGGCATGTATCAGGTTCTTACCCAGGTGTCTGGTCTGTTCCTGACAGGGTGGTTTGAAGGCTGTCATCTGGACAGACGTCTTTCAGACTGTGGTGATGTTTGCAGGGCAGCTGGCTGTCATCGTGGTGGGCGTGCAGAAGACTGGGGGAGTGTCTGAAGTTTGGAGGAAAGTCTGGGAGGGAAACCGCATCTCTGGTCTCGAGTAAGTCCGTACTGTAGTTTGTGGGAGAACGACCGGCATCAAGAATCGTCGGGGAGAAAATCTGATTTGATGAGAGCAGTGAGAGCGAACCACAACATTACAGCTGCAGTACAGTTAAGGTTGGCTGATAGTTAACTCTGGGTTCGTCACTACAATATTAATATTGGATTATTGATTATAGCTCAGCTTTAACAATAAAAAGTAACAATACAGAGTTAAGTGAACAAATAAAAACATTTGGTCCAAACAATATTTCACACAATACAAACCTGTCGGCTCATTAATGAAAACTTCAGGAATCATGTGGTTGGAGGTTTTCACCCCAAACATTCACTTATTTCACTGATTTGCACATTTACCAGGGAGGAGGGACTAATTAGTGAAATCATCACCGTACTCTGTGGTTTGACTAAAATCCTGCAGCTTCCTTGGTTCAGGTTCATTATGTCTTTCTACATACCTGTGCATACACTTCCTTTTATGACATCCTGAATTGCAGTGACTGTAATTCTGTTCGATTAAAGGTCTGTTCTGAAGTGTTCAGTCTTGTCTCTGTGCTGTATTTTCCCTCGTGTTCAGCCTAAATCCAGATCCTACAGAGAGACACACTTTCTGGACTCTGGGGGTCGGCGGGATCTTCCTCATGCTGTCCCTGTATGGAGTGAACCAGGCTCAGGTGCAAAGATATCTCAGCTCGCGCACAGAGAGGGATGCTGTCAGGTACACAGGCTGTCGATTGTCTATAGATTTAGACTGTTGATTTGTCATTTTGATATTATTGCAATGAGCGTAGACTAAAAAATGCTTTTTACAGTAAAACCATGTCACACAACAACATGTGGAAGAAATTCAAGGACTCTCTAAAAGCTTCTGTTAGAACAGTAAACAGCTACAACGGGTACATTATGTAAAGTATCCAGCTATTTGTAAGACATGCATTGTTCCTCTGTAGGTGCTATCAGGAGTCACTCTGCCATATATATTTGCATCGTAAATAAGTATTTGTTCAAAATTTACCTATATTCCGTTGTTTACATTTGTTCTGCTAAATAAAAACTCAACAGACAGTCAGACGAAGAGTGCCACCATTAGTTTAGCCATAAGAGAGCACAGACACATGTCGGTCAGTGTTGCTCCGTCACTTTGGTCCAGACTGACACATCTGAACAACTACTGAATTCATGGTTCCCAAAGGATGAATTGTACTGACTTTGATGATCCCCTGACTTTTCCTCTAGCGTCACCAGTAGGTTCACATTTTTGGTTCAGATTGAAATATCTTGGATTTGCAGATATTCAAGGTCAGAGATGAATTCCAATAACTTTCCCTCTAGCGCCATCATCAGGTCAAAACTTTAATTTATCCAATACTTTTTATGCACCTGTAAAACAGTGTAAAATGTTAGCATGCTAACACGCTTAACTAAGATGGTAAACCTGGTAAATATTACTTGCTAAACATCAGCATCAGCATTGTAGTTTTGAGCATGTTAGCATTCTGACATTAGCTCAAATCACCCATGTGCCTAAGTACAGCCTCACTGAGCTGCTAGTGGGATTGTCGAGTCAGTATTGTTCATATGTCATTTTCAGTTTTATTCAAATCTAAAATATGAATGTGTTTAGCAAAAAAAAAAAAAAAAAAAAGGTTGCAAAAATTACAAATTGATGAGTTAACACTTTTCCTATGCTCCTACCTCTCTGCAGGTCTTGCTACATGGTGTTTCCCTCCCTGCAGCTGGCTCTGGCTCTCAGCTGTGTGATGGGGCTGGTCATGTTTGCCCGCTACTGCGGAGAGGATCACTCTGACAAGCGGGGAAACTCCTCGATGGATGCGGTGAGTTTCAGTTTTCAGTGTTATTTCCCATTTTGAGCATCGTTATCCACTGAGCCATTTGCTTCATGCTCTGGGAAACTGGAATGTATTTAGTTTTTTTCCCCTTCCTGCTCCCTCGATCTCAAGAGATAAGTATGAAAGTAAGGTTTGTGCAGAGATATATATACATATATATATATATATATATATATATATACAGTATATGTATAGAAAAAACCTCCAGGACACGCAGACCTAACAGCAAATCCACAGCACCGCGAGTATTTGCAAATTTCATTTAAATTCCTCCAGGCACAATAGGCCCATTATGCAAGTGTGGTTTGCTGTCAGATTTGTATTTCATTTGGGGTGACTAATGCATCTATGCAAACCAAACTGAAGGTTCCCGGGAAATGTGTTTTCCACAGATGGTGATATACTTTGTGATGGATATGCTGCAGGATCTTCCAGGACTGCCTGGACTGTTTGTGGCTTGTTTATTCAGTGCAGCTCTCAGGTATGGGACGCTCCCCTGTCTCGGTCGATTTTTTATTTCGTTTTTTTTCCCCTAATTCAACTGAACATGAACCCTGTCAGTCAAACCACAACCACGGCGTCCACAAGTGAGGCTTGCACATGCGGTGTATCTCACTGTCAGTCAACTTATCGATAGCGCTGACTCTTCTTAGTACAATGATCTATTTACTGGTCAAAACACCTTAGGGAACTTTTCACATTTCAGGTGTTGACCCTTGACCCCGATGAAGTCATAGAGGTCAGTGATATGGTTTGACTTGAGTAAAAGTTACCCTAAATAAAAGGTTTGTTGTTATATATTATATTTGACACCTTCAGAATTCTATTAAAACGCATTTTGTCACAGAATATTTTGAGACTCACTTTTAAAAACAATTTTTACATGTGTGTAACTTTATTAGACACACCTAGCAGAAACCAATGCAGCCTAACACAACAGCACCACAGACTACATCCTCCAAAATGATCATACAGTCGATTCAACACTTCTTTAACAGTTTCAACAAAAAAACGAACTTCATAACTTTCATGAACTGCCAACTCAGTGTATAATCATAAATCTTCAACTCTCAAATACTGTGTTGGTTTAGTAGTTAGTTGAGAAGGTGAATAATGATTTTAATTCATTGATTGTTACTTAATGTATTGTGCAGCACCATCTCCTCCGCCTTCAACTCTTTGGCCACTGTGACAATGGAGGACCTCATCAAACCGCATTTTCCCGCCATGACAGAGGCCAGAGCGACCCAGCTGTCCAAAGCTTTAGGTGAGCTCTCTGAAGCTTTAGGTTTGGGGAAAGCAGCATTATACAGAGCTGCGTGATAAACGACGTGTTTGTTCAAATGTTTTGTGTCTTTTGTCTCCTCAATAAGCTATGTCCTACGGGCTGCTGTGTCTGGCCATGGCCTACCTCACTCACCTAATGGGTGATTCGGTTCTGCAGGTAAGCTCACAGGTTGTGTGATCAAATAATAACCAACATAAATCTGCACTGATTATAATATTATGTTTGAACTCCAGGTGGCTTTGAAAATCTTCGGGATGGTCGGTGGTCCTGTCCTCGGCCTGTTTTCCCTCGGCATGTTCTTCCCCTGGGCCAACTCCACTGTAAGCTGGACGACATCATGAGATCTGTCATGACAATAAACAGTATAATCCTATGTTACTGATATGCTTACTTTGGTTAAAATGATAATGATATAAATTATTACCTTCTCAATAATTTAATGATAAAATGGAATCAAAACACCCAATAACAATTCCATATAACAAACCATGGCCAATACTTCTTACAGCAGTGTGTCAATGTCTACTTGAGGTCCCTCACCACAAGTTACTGGCTGGGTTCATACATGGATCCAAATGTACAAAGGCCGTCTCTTTGCTGCTTCTGCAAAATTGTTAATTGAAATCATGTCAATCAAATGCCACAAGGTTCAATGGCAACAAACTTACTGAACATGTCACGAAGTACATGAATGAATATAGCTTAAACATCCATTGAAGAGATGAAAACATCCGATCTGTGTGGACCAAACAGGAGACTGCAGTGTTCCTCAAATGAACATAAAAAAACATAAATGCCATATTTCCATCACGTTCCATGTCATTTTTGTCCATTTGAGGTTCAGCTCGTGCTCTTTTAATTACATCATCTGGTTGTGCTCTCTTCTTCTCCAGTGGTTTCATAGCATCTGGCTGGCACCACCAGTTGTTTTAATTTACATTTTCGTCTGTTGTTTCCAGGGCGCAGTGGCAGGTCTGGGTGCCGGTCTGGCTGTGGCTTTCTGGGTTGGCATCGGCAGCATCCTCACTCGTAGCAACACCGGCATTAGACCGCCTGTACCTGACTGCAGGGCCATGCTGCTGTCAGACAACACAACTGCTGCCATTCACACTGCACTCAGCAATGTCACTCTGAGGTACAAATCACACAGAACCGTGTGTTTCGTTTTTACTGTGTTACTCATTTCGCGAGTTAATCATGTCTCCTTGTTCTTTAGCCGACCGTCTGGACTGAAGAGGTTTTATTCATTGTCATACATGTGGTACAGTGCATTTAACTGCTTCACAGTCATTTTAATAGGCCTGATCATCAGCTTTCTCACAGGTAGGCAAGTTCTTACATGTACACATGCAGACACATGCAGTACACATGAAGAACCTTTCTTTACAATCAGATTTAGTCCAACTGTAAAATGTTTAAATGTATATGTTTTCTATTTAGGCCCTATGAAAGAAGAGGATGTGACACCAGGCACAGTCTACCCCTTGTTGGGCAAACTGCTTCATTTTCTGCCTGAACGCCTCAAAAAGAAGCTCTGTTGTGTGACTCCTCTGGGACAGACAGTAAGTGACATGATGGACACTTCAATATTTCCTACCATAAACTTAACTTGTGTGACATCACAAAGTTACAGAAGTCCTGAGGCCTCGCTTTAAGGCTCAGTTTCTGAATACAGACTGTGTGCATTTCTCTGTAGTCTGATTGCTTTGATACATTCTCACAGTAATAATAAAGAACCTAGACCTGCTTTATAATCAAAAATGACATAGACATCTCACTTTATACAGTAAGGGACCTTTAAGGCCTGATAAGAAGCTCAGTTTCGAGCTGGTTTCGAGGGGGGTGTGCAGCGGTCTGCATAAAAAGACCACCACAGAAAGATTATATCACGCTTGTGTTGGAAGTCCCGGTTATGAATAGTTGATGAAATCAGTTATTTAATCTGTCTGTCTTTGTTTTGTTTTTTTTTAATTATTGTTACAGCTCTCATCTCAGCCTCCACAACACAAAGAAAGCAATGGGTCGGCCTTCCAACAAGAGGACGGACCGTCACAGGAAGAGACGGAGAGTTTTCTTCCTGATGCTCACACACCTTTTGTGGAGCGTGAAACAGCTGTGTGACAACGGTTAAAACGCCTTTAGACAAAGCACTTGGACGAAGAATATATTTGTATACTGTTGACTTTGCTTCGTGATGAAGGCTGTAATTCAATTTTGCCCTGTCAAATGCTGCAGCGAGGTCAAAGCTAAACACTGGAGGTTCTTTTTTTTTTAAATCTGGTGGCATCTTCATGTCTTCTAGAAAACACAAGTACAGCTGAGCCTGTAAGTTTTACAGATAGTCACATGTTTGATTTATATACAGTTTTTGTCAACTTCAGGTACATGATCACGGATTCACATTCAGTCTGGTCCTTGCATGTAAAAAATACTGCACTACACTGCTATCTGTGTCCACTGAGCAACTGAAAAGGTTTCATACCGATATTTATCTCTGTATATACTTGACTATTGTTTAGTGCTGCTGCAGCTGTATGAATGGTCCTGTGTCATACTGATATAAGAGGACAGTGCCTCACTTTTTAAGGTCGTATGACTGAATTTTGGCTGTAATGCAGCTGAAACAGAAAAAAAACCCTTTTCTAAAAAGGATTAAAGATTTTGTAGTTAACTCTTTTCAATGTTTGGTCCTCTTGTTTCTCTACAATTGGAAAATAAACAGAATTGTCGTAGTTTGATTTAAAAAGTTAAAGCTACTAATAGGATCTTTAGTTAAGATTTTTATTTATTTATTTTGTAAAACTAAAGTTTCCAAGATCAAGAATGAACAACGATCTTTCTTGCACAACAAATTAATATTAATTAATGTTTTGTGTACAGCACCTTATTAAGATATATGTGCATAACAAGACATTTATTTGCATTTGCTTATTTAGTATTTGCTATAAGAGCTAAATGATGAAATGATGATGACTGGGTCAGCTGGTTTTACTTCAACTTAATATTACATTTGTGGCTGTTCTGGTTACATCAGTAGTTTTAGAGCAAAGTTACTCAAAGTAATTTCTATGAACCTGAAATAAGTATCTCATTCACATTTGATAAAGTTTCCTCTAATACAATGTGCATAATTTGGAACTTCTATCTGCTGCATATTAACAGATATGTTCCTCAGAGTTTTGCACTCCAGGTTTATTAATAGTCCTGCTTCACAAAGCTCCTCTGTGCTCTGCTTGCATCAGAGTCTTAAACACAGGGGTTGTATGATCATTCAAGCTGATAATCACAACATAAAAGTCTGTAATTACAGACCATATAAATGTCTTTGTGCACTGTTGTTTTGCCTTTATTGCATGTGTTTCTGTAGGTGTCAGTACTTCTCGTGACCCGACGTTTACACACACCATTTAGAAACATCAGAACTATACACTACCAGTCTAGATACTCACATCTAAAAGACACAATTAGCTGTAGTTATAACTTCATACTGACTTCTCTATGGTGAGGCAAGTTCTAAGTTGAGTCCTAAAAAATAAATACTTAATTTGTGTTTATTATTACCCTAATGGAAAATATTTTCAAAGGCAACCCATGAAAACATGAAATCCCCTTATTTAAATAATCAAATATTTTTGAATATGCTTCTGTTGTTTAGTCCAGCAGGAAATTTGCATCAGTGTAGTCTAGATATGTTGAGTTTTTCCTTCAGGAAGGTTGACCATCATCCTACAGGACTTACTCATGTCCTGTACCTGCAACATACAGCGAACATCCAGGACTTTCATCCTTATTTCTGCAGAGGTGCTTTCCTTCACGTTTGAGCTTATCAAAAGAAATGTTAGCTGGAATTAGCAGCTCTGGGAGGTTGCACTTCGACATAACGAGGCTATACCAATTTCTTTGCAGTCTATCCAGTAGTTGTTGAGACATATCACCCAAACCAAAAAATGGCAACCTCATGGTGGCGCTAGAGGAAAAGTTGTTTAGGCTTCGTCCTCTGGGAACCATGAATCTGTAAAATGATTTGTGCCTATTCTTCTAATGCCTGTTGAGCTATTTCACGTGATAAGTGATAAAACATTTACCTGCTGCTTGTGCTAGAGGAAAAGTCAGACTATCACCAGTCATTAGGGTTCATCCTCCGGGAACCATGAATCTTTGTACTAAATTTCATGTTAATCCATCAAATAGTTGTTTAGATATTTCAGTCTGGCTCCAGAGTGTTGCTAAAAATAATAAGCAGAAATTAATTTTACTATTAAATGTTCATACAAAGGGTATAAAAGCAACATTCGTCCTTCTTTGCACTCTTCAGCTTAAATTCCAACACATATTTACAATCATTTATTCAAGACCACATGAAAAGAGGTACTTGAACATTGTCCTGTATGTCTGTCTGTTTCTGAATAAGCAGTAAGCAGCTGAATTACATTACTTGTCTTAAGTGATAGAAATCGAGTCCAGCTGTCATCACAAGTCACTGATATGAAAATTAAAGTCAAATTGCAATTCTCCTGTCACTCTGTCTCCTGTAAACGTCATGAAATTTGACCTTTCTGAAGGTCAGGGCTGAACGTGTGTTACGCCAAAGCTGCCATAACAAATCTCAGATACACTGGATAACAGTCATCCAGTACAGTTTACAGTCCTTTCACTGAATGTACCAACCAAAATACAGCCGAGGGCTTTGGGTCTGCACTGTTTCATACGTGTATTTTCAAAATGAAAACATGGATTTAGACCTTGTTGCACACTTTGTTTTTATAGCCTGACAAGCCACTCCTAAACAGTTTTCTAACACAAACAGCATCTATTCTCCATTTTTGAAAGTCAAATTAGTCATACATAAGAGCCATTTAAATTTTGCATGTGTGCAGTAACTCAACCAGCTACTGATTGTCATATAACTATTCTAGTGTCCCGGAAACTGACGTTGACCTGGTGGTTTTTTTCCTTTTAAGCAGCTGCAGCAACAGCTCCATCAGTGTGCTGCTCACATTAGTGGACACACAGACGAGTCCTACCATCGTGAGACGCTGCTGTGATGGTTCACTGATACAAATCGAGCAAAACAGGTTAGCTGCTCTTTCTATATTTTTCCATATTATCTTTCATCAATGTATATCTAGTGTTTTCCTACAAAATATGTGTATTATGAAATGTCATACTATCCCTTAGAATGAAAAACGCAGCATTTGAAAGCAGTTCGTTTTACAGACCAACTGATGTTTCAGCGGTTTTAAAGAGTAGCAAGTTTCACTGTCACAACAAACCTTTTTGTAACGTTTGGTAATGTACTCATGAACTACTCTACATACTCCTTTTTGTGTTTGTCAATTTTTCATCTCAGGAATTCAGTGCAGTCATATGATAACTGTAATCTAACAGCCCACTTAATCTGATATGATCAGGGTATCTGTGAATAGAACAGGAGTGAACAACTCAAACTTTTTCAATTTAAGTAAATCATTTTAATTTCAATTCTTGAAACTGAAAAATACAGTAACTATCTGCATTTGTGTACCTCAATTTATTCAAGGTGCACATACAATTTGTGCCAACATGCTCACAATATATACAAAAAGTATATAAACATTGGATGGTTTATAAAACACTACAATGTTTTTGTAAGCAGATATAAGTGTTTATTTATTATGTGGGCACCCATAAGTGGAGGCTGCTGTATAAACAGATATTATGTGACAGATCAGTAAATACGCAGTAAAATAATTGTCAATACTCAGTGAAAGAAAAGTTGCAACTGCTGACAAATACTGTATATCAACACTTATATCCTCATATCCGCCTAAAACTACACTATCATTAGGAACAGGGGTGCTGCTCTCTGTGGTTTTTTTAAGGTTGAGTTTTGCTACTCCCTTCAAGGTTGAGTCCTCTTCTGGTTATGTTTTGTTTGTTGAGTTAAGCGGCACCCATTTTGCCCCGTTCCCCTCCTTTAGTTAGCTACCCTCTGACCTTGTTTGGCTTTTGTTTACTATTAACCCTCTTAATACTGTATGTATTTTTTTTGGAGCAATTTCAGCCACCTTTACCTTTACCTTACTATTAACCCTCTTGACTGCATAATAAATTTGCTTAACCAACTACACCTGGGTTTATGTTGCTTCCCTTTTTCAGCTAGCTGGGTCGTAATATTTTCCAATTCAAATGACCTTATGTTATTTATTATTTGCAGAACCAGGATGTGGGCCTTTATATTTTTGTGTATCATGGGACTAAACATCCATCAGGTTAGTCGGTAACATAGGACTACACCTTACAGATTAAAATTTAAAGCATTAAATCTAATGATTTTCTCTTCACTTTTACAGGCTACTGGAAAAGGTAAAATGATTTGACTGATATGACTGTCTACATGAGCAAATTGTTTTTAGTGTAACAGTGAGCTGAGAGCACATATAGTGTCTTTTGATGTCTGTCTGTTTGGCATGTTTCAGAAAACTCAACACAAATGCATTATGCCAAACTGACAATAGAGGAAACGTCAATCGACAACATAACTCAGATACTGAAATCTTTCACGGTTAACGAAAACCTGCAAGTTGATGACCCTAAAATGACAACAAGTAAACAATTTTTCTAATATTTCAAATACTGTATGATTATTATATGATCTGATTGATCCCAGTAAAGTAAAACTATTGTGCTCTTTTTCTCACCAGCCTGTCAGAATGTCTCGGCCGACACAGTGTGCACATGCGCGTCAGGCCACAGATGGAGTGATAAAGTTTGTCAATCTGATAAGAAATGTTGTGGCAACGAGAAATGTACCTTCCCCCAAAACTCAGCTCACATGTGTGTTTCAAACACCACAGGTATTTTTAGTAATTTCGTTTGCGACTGCACCAAGCATATAAGCGTCCCAAAAACTGACATCTTTTTTCTTCCCAGTCACTATAACAGGATCTGTCACTATGAATGGAACGTCTCATGAAGGTTGTCTGGCAGAAGAAACCACTGTGAAGTTTAAGAATTGTAGTAGCAACTTGTTAGAAAAGGTAAAAACAAGTATTCATGAATAAACATCTCATTACTTAATTAATCACCTTTAGGGATTTTCATTTTCCAACAATATACTGATTTGTGAAAAGTTATTAAGTGATTGAGTTGGTGACTTTCAGATGAAAAAAGTGTACAGCACTTTGAAGGGATTTGATGTCTTAAAAATTATCACATTCAGGTATTTGATTTTCTTACAAATAAAATAAGTGCTATTATATTTACTGGGGTCTGTTTTCAATATGTGACTGAAATCAATCTTTTTTTTCCCTCACTTAAGCATCGGAAGCATCATCGTAGATTTTGAAATGACCATTGTTTCCAGCATCGAGCCACAAAATCTGATTGAGAAATCATTAAAACTGACCGATATTCTGGAAGCCTCCCTAAATCTGGAAACGACAGGTAATTGTATTTTACGGAGAGTGAGATGCACCTATTAGAGTTTATTTTAAACCTGGTTAAATCTAGTCTTTAATTAAACACATAATGCTCTTTAATATTTTTTTTTTATCTAATTTTAGTCTTCCTCAGTACAATGTTGACAATGTTGATCAGGGCACCACCAGCAGGCCAGATTTTTTAATTATCCACTGAAATATTTTAGCATATTCTACATGGATTGGTACAAAATATGGTAAAATCATTCAAGTTTCTTACAGGATGAATCATAATATCTTTGGTGAAGTCCTGATTTTTATTCTTGTGCCACCATCAGATCAAAACTTGAATTGCTCCAATACTTTTAACAATAAGTAGACAAGAGTAATAAATAAAGACGAAAACTATAGAATAGATTGAAACTAGAAAGCTACATACAGGTTAGTGTGCATAAATACTTGTGCTTTAGTGCAAATATTTGTGCAGAAAAATAAATTACACCAGAAGTGCACTTTCCTCATATTCCCAAACAAAGAGGGATAGTGATGTATGGTATATATTACTATATATAGAAATATACAGCAGTGAAGTACACTTTAACAAAATAAAGTAAGCAAATAAATTTTTGAACTGATAAAAAAAAATAGATCAATATTTGTAATTAGCATGTTTATTATTAATTTTTTGATTGTGTCAAAAGGTTCAATAAACACCTCATCTCTAAACATTTTGAAGGGTTAGAGTTGAATTTCAAGAAAGACAAGAAGTCGTTAAAGTGCTATGGGTGAAATCACATTTCACTGATGAAGATTGATGAAGGTTTGAGATTTCGGCATCTGAAGCTTAAGCTGCTGTTCCAGTACAACATAGAAGGAAATAACATTTATTTTGTGGTTCCCACAGCATTGGAAAATAACATTTAAAAGCTTCAACAGGAATTATGCGTCTCTCCAAAAACAATCTCATGGTCACTCCTGGTAATTCATAGACCTATAAAACAACACGTTACGATTGAGTTTCTATAATGACATCTTTCTATGCTTTGGGGAGCACAAATGAAATTCTCGTCAAATCTCGTCTCAGAGGTAAAATCTCAGCAGATAGAACCAAAACTATCTGTACTAGAAGTAAGAGAGGATGTTTTTTTTTTCTAAATTAGAACGAATTGACCGTTTAACAATGCTGTTTAGCTGTTTTCAGTGACGTCATTTTATTTCACAGAAAACACTGTTGAGTGACGCTGCCACTGAGATTCTGTTTCAAAGTGGGAGCACGTAACAGACAATAATTCTGTTACGGACACACATCATACCTTCTGGATGTTGCTCATTTATGTTTTTTATACTGATTCATCTCTTATTTCTCACAGGTGTTGTCCTTTTAGAGATGCCAAATAACCCTGTGAATTACAGCTCCAAGCACCAGCTCACATGCAAATCAGCGTCAGTTCTGAACGAAACTCCAGTGTGGCAGCTGAAAAAACATGAAAAAATCCATGTCATAAATAATGGCACAGAATCAGAGGTGAAATCAGAAGCACACAAAACCAGTCTCACTCTCAAAAACATAACAGACATCTGGGCAGGTACGCTTGTTTCAGCCACTGTATACTTACCAACCTAAGAAAATGTGCAAACAGACAAAACTCAGGTTACCATTACGTTAAAAAAAGATCTTTAACAGCCATATCCATACCCTTTTATGGATGTAATATGATTACTATAATTGTATGGCATGACTCTGGTTAAAACTCTAACTCATAAACACATTAACTTTAATCCCTATTTATGTTTTTCCTTAGGAGAGTACAAATGTACCTATCATCAACGTTTAGGATCATGCACCGTGGCTCACAGTGCCAGTGCTGTAATGAGTGTATCCCTCCTGCCAAACATTGTCATCACCACGGTTCCAGAATTTCCATTCTGTGTAAAAAAGGATCATGTGCTAGTAAAAGCCACATGTGAGATAATGGCAAGCAATGAACCTTACAATGTGACATGGACAAACGATAACATCGATGCTGGCATAACTCCAAAACCACATCGCAGTAAGTATATTTTCTTGTGTTCATATCCGTTGCCCATTCGTGTAATAAATCCTTGAGCAAACCTGTTATTGAAAATACATGACATGCATATGTGGTCTTTGCAGATTCTTCTGAAGGAACTTTTGTTTATGAAGCTGAGACATTGGTTGCCTGCAAGGCATCCAACCAGATTGCGCAAGTAACTTGCACATTTCAGAACAGGGGTTATCAAAAGAGAAATGCTTCGGTTGAAATCAATGTCATACGCGGTATGTTTTCACATTAGTTCAAACATTGTCAGAAGAGAATGGCTTTGTCCAACATCACTCAATAATACAGATATTGTTTAGAAATATTGATTATATTACATTTTTTGCAATTTTATTTGGGTGTCCAACTTCTCAGTGTGAATTTTATGTTCTATAAATTGCACTCAAATAATCCCACAATGGAATTAAAATGAAATATAACATAACTTTTAGCTAAAAATCCCACAATGCTTGTCTTTAATAAGTTCATGATTCATAAGTAACTGAAATCTCACTTTACGTCCGTGTTGGCTTCACTTTTCAGCCTGGAGGTTATCGCTTTATTACAACACCTTTTAAAGGGAGTGTTACTTTCTCCTGCTACAATATATCTTTACACAGAAAACAGTTCTTTGCTGCTATAGTGTTTAAAATCTCATCTACAGAACCTTTAAAACAGCTATATATAATGTATACGTTTCAAAACTATAGACTATACTCATCGAGCACTTTATTGGGAAAACCATACAAATGGGTGGTTCTTCCTTTTGCCATCTAAACACTCTCAGTTCTTCACGGCATGGTATCCACAAGATGTTGGAACCATTTCTTTGAGATAATTTCTGCAGATACGATGTCAGAACATGTTTTTAAAGGTCATGAATGAACCTATCCCCATGAAGCGGGGAACCGCTGACGTAGGGTGTATTGTTCTAGCGGCAAGTGTAGTGGTTTCCAACACAGCAAATATTTGTGTGATATATTAAATATTTTATGCCTCAGTGATCTTCTTGCTATCCTAGAGTTAACTTTGCACAAACTGTTTCGCTTACAGTATGTGAGAAATGATTAATCAAGCCCGTACTTTTCTTCTTCAAAACAGATCATGATAAATTCTGTGAAGCTCAAGGTGATTGGAAAGTTACCAAAGCTGGATTTACAGCAGTGTTACAATGCAAGAATGCAGTTGGACAAAGACGAAGGGAATGCAATAAAAAGTAAGGCTGCAACTAATCATTATTTCTATTAGTAAATAATTGGACAATTATTTTACAAATTTATCCATTAGACTTTTGGTATATTGTCCAATAATAATAAAACCAATGCCTAACACAATTGCTTGTTTTGTCTAAAATTTAAACTGAGCTGAAACAAATGAAGTTTGGGCATTTCTTCTTCTTTTTTTGTTTTTGAAAATTCAATTTCTGTTGATTAATTAACTGTTCCAGCACTACATGGAAAGAGGAAGAATCAGTGTGTGTGAACCCGGAAGTGAATAGTGTGCTCCAAAGTGCAGCTGTAAGTCTAATTTTCATAAATGAAGTTGAAATTAAGTTAAAAAAAAACATGATATTACAGAAACATATTACAGGGCAGAAAGACATACCACAAGATTATATTTTTTAGTTTTTATTTTATTAAATCCTTGGTGGTTGCTGAGAATGAATCATCACCCATAAACCATCATTATTGTTACAGATTGTTAACATTGGACTCGGCTCAGTAGAAGAAAATGTTGCAATAGTATTTTCCCGCCTCGACAACATCACTAATAAAACAAACACTATCAACACTTTCGCCAATATGAAAACATCAGTTGATGTACTCATGACCTTGAGTCAAAAGCTAACCAACATAGACAATAAATCAACGGTTGATGTAAGTATTACAGAATCTTTGATTATCTTTATTGAATGTTATTTATGGGGTTAAACTGAAAAGGGGAATTACCAGTACTTAAATTTTTCATTTAAAGCTAACTCTTAAGATTTTCATAATACTGTTTATGGTAGATATTTGTTCTGCAATCGCCATTCAGTCTATTTACATTAAACAATGTCAGCTATATAGTAGTGTTTATTGTTAATGGTGGAGTTTACCATTCCCATGCGGGGTTCAAATTGCCTTCATGTGCACAAGGGATTCACAGGAAACTAGGCATGTTCTGTGCATCAGCATAAAATGATCTTTTATCTGTAAACAGCCTCACTGTTTACTGTTCACTTGCTTTGCACAAAAACAGACCTGCTTTAAGTTATTGATAATGCGAACCAAATATTTCCTGTTACTGCTGTTTCACATTAAAAGTGCTCATATGGTGAATAACATGGCGGCTTTTATCATAGGCCACAGGAAATGCAATGTATTTGCCGCCACTAACCACAGGTGTTATCACATCAACGAGGACGGAAATTTTAAGAATCACAAGCTTCCAATAATGACTGTTTTATGCAAATTCAGTATAAATACTGTCAGATAGTATATACAGTATATTTCCCATGTACCTTTAGAACTCATCTTATTCTTTTCTTTTTAATACAAGGAGAAAGGCTTTTTCTAACTATTAGCAGACATGTACTTAAATCAACTGCAATTAAAACAAGCTTCTTTCTTTTCAGGACCTTCTGGACTCATCCAGCAATTTGCTGGAGAAGTCTCTTGAAAACTCTTGGACAGGAAAAAACAACAAAGGCAGTTTTTCAGTGGCAGAGACGTATCTGAGTTCTGTTGAAAAATTAATTGAGATTACAAATATAACAGGCAGCAGCAAAAAAACAAATATAGAGGTAGACAAGTGCGAGAAGGAACAGGGATCGAAATGTAGTAACACTGTGTTCAACGTAACAGTCAATCTTGATGGTTCAGCCAATGGTAGTGTAAAAACAGCTGGATTCCTACAACTGCAGAATTATTTGCCCCACAAAGATGAGAAGACCGTGATCAACAGCATTGTTGTGTCAACAACTGTTGAAAACATAACACAGAATAAAGTTTCGGTTGATATTATCTTCCCATTGCTCAGTCAGAGGCGTCGCCATGTTAAGATGCAGTGTGTCTCGTGGGACAACATCACCAGACAGTGGTCAGATAAGGGATGCAAATGGCAGGGTGCTCATGACGAGGGACACTGCATTTGCGAACATTTGTCCTCATTTGCTATTCTAATGTCTAAGGAGCCGTTGGAGATCCCTGGGATGAATGAGATAACCTTGGTCGGGCTGTCTATATCAGTCATGTCTCTAATTATTAGTCTTGTGATACAAGTGATCGTTTGGAATGGTGTAGTTAAATCAAACGCTTTATATTTACGCCACATTGCCCACGTAAACATTTCTCTATGCTTGCTAGTCGGAGATTGCTGTTTTTTAGCATCTTATAAACCGGAAGTTCTTTCAAAAATTTGGTGTAAGACTGTTGTGGTGTTGAAGCATTTCTGTTACTTGTCCATGTTCTTTTGGATGTTGTGTCTGAGCTGCACGCTTCTTCATCAAACAGTTTTCATATTTCACAAGGTGAGCAAGAAAAACTACCTGAAGTTCTCGTTAATCCTGGGCTATGCATGCCCTTTTCTTATTGTTACTATCACATTTCTTACCAACAACGGTGCTGAAGGCGCATACTTCTCCACTGAGACCTGTTGGCTGGTTTATATCAGACTTTTACAAGGGTCCATCCATACATTTCTCATTCCAATTGGTATAATTATTTTCATCAATGTGTTCGCCATGCTGGTGGTAATCATGAAGCTTTTGGATCAAAGTCCGAACAGAGCAATATCTAATGAAAAAGAAAAAACAGCTGCCAAAACTGTCGTGAGGACAGTTATTCTTCTGACTCCAATCTTCGGTGTCACTTGGATTTTTGGATTTGGTGTAATGCTGCTTGATCTCTCATCTGGATACATAGCGTTTGCAGTCAATTATGCCTTCACCCTAATGAACGCATTCCAGGTACGGTCAATATAATCTTCAATTAATTATTTGAATCAGTAAAGGTATTTCTTGCTCAGTAAACTCTGTCATTTCATTCGCAGGGGCTTTTCATTTTGTTAACCACATGCCTGGGGGACAAACAGGTAATATAGTTTTAAAATGCCAACCTAAAGTATTATGTTGATACATGCATTTGGATGAATTATGTTGCTTGATACTCTATCACTTTGTAGTAGTCCAGTAGAAAATATTTAGAATATTTAAAGCAGACTTTTTTTCTAGACTCACCTTTTTGCAATTACATCAAAATTCAGAAATTGAGTGATTCACTGAATTTTGTAATTGAAAGTCTATTGTATCTCTGACTAGGACTTGAAAAAAACTGATTCATGATATTTATTTAAATGAGCCAATAACATTTCTTAAAATCTGAGATCGCCTTTTCTCAGTAAAGATGTACATCTGTGCTAAATATTATGTGTAGGAAGTGGTTCCTCGCTGTTAATGGTTCAGTTAGGGCTGCATGATGTAAAAAAAAGTCCAGAAATCAAGCTATTACAAAATTAAAGAAAAAGGTTATTTTAAGTTAAAAAGTACTGTAAACTGTGAAATGAGTAATTATAGTCGATATGCAGAGCTGTTGCAGTTTGGGACACAGGGCGGGTAGCTGGGTATGGGCGGGGATAGACTGAAAAAAGACAGTGTGTTTTATTCAGTGTATCACTGCCTGGCGGCTAAGCTAACACTAGCTAACAGCTGTCTGCAGATATCAGGCCGATGTCTTGACAACATAAACGGTGCAGAGAGGGAGCAGACTTTCAGTTTCTGCCAAGTCTGTGCTTATTATAAAATGATCGTTATAGAGGATGTCTGTACTTAATTGAAGCTTCTGCAACTGACTGTCCACATGTAACTGTGGGGTTTTATTTTTTAAAACATGCATAATAATGACAATCTTGTAAGTGGAGCAGGTTTTTAAATTCTTGCTCAACTAATCAGCTAACCAGCTTAGCTTAGCTGCTAGCTTCAGCTTCATATTTAATGAACACATATGAGAGTCGTATCGATCTTCTCATCTAACTCTTGGTGAGGCAAATAATTGTATTTCCCAAATCACTGAACTATTCCTTTAAAAGTTTATTTACAGGGTGAAAAAAGCTAAACATTTCCTCCTAGTTTAGATTGAAGACATTTTGGGAGAATTGTGGTCAGTTTTAAAACATCTCCAAATGTTTGGGAAAGAATATTATTTTTTTCCGTCACTATCAGGCATGTACATCAAAATCTGGATGTGTATCCATATTACAGCATGTCATCACAAGTTTGATTTTCTTCTACTTTTTTCAAAAATTTTACTGTGTAATAAGAAATGTTATCAACAACAGATAGTATAACGTCATTAAAAATGTTTGAATCCAATTTTGACAGATCCGTGACACACTGCTGAGTAATTTCAAGAAAACTGTAAGTGCACTACGACTAGTTTTACTCATATGTAAAACACCACAGTGACTATTGACTAATTTTATTCATCCTTCCCCTTTGCTTGGCAGGTGACAGCATCCATCAGTGACACCTCCACAAAGTTAGACTTGATACGGAAGAAGTGAAAATTGTCTGTGTTGTATGTGTACTCAAATCACAACAAACTACACATAAAACCACAAATAATAGCATACTAAGCTACATTTACTCTTTGATGTGACTATACTATATATAATATAGTATAATATATAATATATATATACTATAATATACTATATTTTAGTTTTGTTGTTTATTTTGGTTTATTGCCTGTGATACAAGTTTAAATCCACTGTATGATACTGTAATGTTTGTTAATTCCCAAGCTGCATCTTTTGTTGCTTTATAATACCCAGATATTAATATCAGATGTGGTTTAAGCAATACTGTATATTACTTAATTTTTTATTGCACTGGAAATCCACAGCAAAACTCTACCTGAGAGGCTACAGGGATGTAACTCTTGTTTACACTAGTATAATGTTGTGTAAGGTGAGTTAAGCCTACACCTGAATGTTGCTTTGAGAGGTCCTGTTTTCTTCATTTTCTTTGCCCTGTTCTGCCCACTCCTCATCTGTGTCCTCCATTAAAATCCCTTTTTGGGTTGCCATCTTGCGTAAGGCCTGGCACTCAATCTCTGCTCTGCAACATACAAAAAACAGGGCAATTTACTCACTTAACTGATATTTAAAGTTATTACTACATACATTTACTGGGCTGTGTGTTTGAAAGAAACCCTTTGTAATTAAAAGAAAAGTTCAATTAAAGTTTGACATAAGTGTGAAAATCAAGGAAGCGTGATTCACAGAATAAAATAACAAAATCTAGGCATCATTTCATACTTCTTAAGGAATTGAACGCAGTCCTGGTGTCCATATATTTCGGCTATCCGCGCTGGTTTGTCTCCACAGCAGTCCTCCTTGTCTACAGGAGCATGGAGGGAGTGGAGCAGCCGCAGCACGGCCAGCTGGCCAGACTCTGCAGCAAAGTGGGCAGGAGTCCATCCGTGCTCCGTCCTCAGACACGGCCTAGCTCCATGATCAATGAGGATCCTGACCGTTTCTGTATGTCCTGTGGAAAAGGCATCACAGTGTGATCTGACACGTGCATTTAATAACCTTGTGATTTTTATAATCTAGTCTGTTAAGAACACATTCTTATTCACTGTGATAGAAAATACTACTACAACAAGATAGAAGGAATAAGAATATCCCTGGGGAGGAAGCAACAATAATGAAACAAAAAGGGAACTATACGTTCGGCATGATTAGTTACCCAAACGTAAACAAAATGGTATTCAAGTTGGAACAATTAATCTATTTATAAATTTAAAGGCAACATTTTTGATGACTGTTTTTGTCATTTATCAAGCAAAAACAGCTGTTCTTTTTCACTGCAAATGCAATATCTTTGGATTTTGTCTTGTTGGTAGACAAAAACGGACATTTGGAAATGAAAATCTATTATACTATCAAATAATTCATAATTGTTAAAGGCTGAAGCCCAATCAATTCAAAGCTTGGAAAGATTGCGTTAAAACATTTTCAAACCTCTGTATTTTATATCTTGTCATTTTAAATATAGCCTGTCTGTTGTACAAAATTTGGTCACAATTAAATTAACATTCTTTTGTTTTTGATGGTGCTGACAAAACCTAAAAATGGTCTGAAAACCCAGGAAGTCACTACAAATATTAAAACTGGGAAGCTGTCTCAAAAGTCTGATCGCTGATAGCCAAAACCATGTTAATCACTTTTTAATTATTTATCCTAAAATTTAAAACCTGTTTTACCCACGTCTGAAGAATAACTGACATCACAAAAGACATCATTTGATGGAGCTAACCACAATAAATGTCAGACAAAATCCCTAAAGGAGGAAGATTTGTGAAACTGACCAAGGTGTTTTGGAGATCCTTTGACGGCTGTAAACAGCAGTAGCCTATTTGAAGGGTGACAGGTGTAACTTGAAACTAACGGTGTGCAGGTGTGTGGTAAATTTCTATTGATCCACAACTACCTTTAGCCGCTGCCCAGTGAAGAGGTGTCTTGTAGCTCCAGTCGATGTCTCTCTGGTTGGGATTGCATTTATTTTGTCTCAGAATCTCCTCAACTTGGTCAAAATCGCCTGCTGCTGCAGCTTGGTGCAACTCGGTCATTTCGTTAGGAGGGTTGCCTAGCAACAGTTGACCAACACAACATGGCACCAAGTCCTTCCCAGAACCTGGAAACGGTAATGCTGCCACCTGCTGTAGATCGAGATAAAAACCTGGGTGTGTCTGTTGTAAGTACATGAAACACTTAGAATGAACTTAATGAGCAAATAGGCTTAGAAAAAAAATCTGTTTCATACGGTGGAGAGAGAATGACGTTAGGTTTTAAAAGGTTTGCGAGAATTAAAGGTAGGTAACCATTAGCATAGACCGAGTGTATCGTAATTTAGCAACGTCGTAAAAGTCTACATCCCCTCTCTTAAAAATGAACTGCTGTGTCCCCATGAAAATATCACTCAGTCTTAAAAGTCTTTAAAGATTTGGCAAACTAAATCAATAGTAGAAATGTTATAAAAATATATAATAATGATAGGCTAATGATTGTGGACCTGTATTTATCAAACTACTAAAAGTAAAAATTAAAATTTTGGACTTACTTCAAAGATGACTGCTATCATCACAATATTTGATAGGATGTTCCACTACGTCTTCTCCTCTTTTTAAAGCATCTTCATTGTCTGTACTTGTCAGTGTGGCACTAGTTTCTCCTTTCATATGGTTTCCCTGATGTCCCTTATTGTCTACCAGCAGCAGAATATGTCTTGCAGCATAATTTTGATTCCATTTCATCCAATAGCCAATAGGACATTGGATGTAATATATAAAATCAGATGAAATTATGTATACAGTACTAGTCAAAAGTTGAATGGGGAAGGGAAAGTGTGTCCAAACTTTTGACTGGTACTGCATATGTATATATAAAATCTCAAATATATATGTCATTGCAAACACTCAGTGAAGACACTTTTTTCTCTTAAGTTGGTACTTTAGTGCATTCCTAAGAGTAAATAACCACTTTTGATCACTTTAATCTCAACCTGAATTAACAAGAGTGACTTTATCTCAGCATAGTTAATGCTGAAGGGTGAAAGCCTGTTATTCCCTTAGAAAACAGCTTGTTCATATGTGTAAAATCCATTTAAAAATTTCACTCCCTTATTTATCTATTCAAGTGTGTTTATTGAAAAATTAACTACATGACAAGTTCCATTTCATTCAGTAGAATAAGACTAAAAGTTCACAAACAAGACAAAAATATTTTGTCAGGTCACACCACTCAAGAATGCTCTATCAAAACTGGGTTCCCCTCAAGCATTTGTCAGGTTGGGAGCTGAAAGAAACAAACACAAAGAGTAGATCAAATTGTGGCTGCATGAAATTACATGTCTTAATAATAATTCAACCATCAGTTGTTTGCCAATGTTAAAAAAAAAAAAGAAAAAAAAGTATTACTACAGTAGGTTTTTAAAATCACAGGATAATCCTCATGACATTTATTAAATTTACCACTGTCTTTGTTGGATGAGAAAAACAAGTTAAAAAGTCAAATCCTACCATTAATTTGATGGCCTTTTCATTATTTTAAACCCCAACACTCTCTCTCACATCCACAGTCCTGGTTTCATCCTGGTCTACTAAAAGGTGAAAGATGAAATGGCATTAAATAAACCACTGGATATGACATTTATTGAAAACCTAATAAATCGAAACAGGAATATTTTAATTTATATAAAGTATAGTCTCCTGACCTGATTCCATTTCTGCCATGGCATGATCTGTGTCCAGTTCTTTCCAGTATTTCTCCATCAGTGTATTCACAACCACTCCCTCACACTCAACTTCCACCGCATACTGAGAAACTGCAAACTCTGAATGATCCTCGATGTTGAACACTGTCACTCTGAGTGGTTTATCAACCAGGAGATTGAAGAAGTCGTCATAAACTTGGTCATCCCAGGTGCCCTTTAACTCATCAAATCCATTCAATGAGCATAAAAAGGCCTGAGGAGCCTTATCCAGCAGACCCTGAGGCAGTGCTCTCACATTGTTAATGTCAACGTCAGCTTCGTTTCCATAGTCAATAAACAGAACTTGAAGGGTATTGTCAGTTCTCTTAATTACCTGAGATCGATACCACCGATTGTCACTGGAAAAAAGAGCAAGGCATGGACTTCCAGGACCAAGAGTCTCTGGGAACATCATGTTCTTCTGTGCCTGTCCTGCTTCCTGAGCAAGCATTGACAGTTTACTGAGATCTTCAGTGTTCGCATATTGACACCAGAAGAAACAGGGTCCCACAATACAAGAGGCATATACACTCTCCGTCTGGCTTTTAGATATTTTTGGTTTCTTGTACATGGAAGCATTTGCATTTCCTTTGGAAACATTAAGGTGCATTTTGTTGGATGCACTTTGACCACCCTGGAGTGAGTTTTCTGTTTGAGGGCTTTCTTTCATAACATGGTTTGTGGCTACAGGTTTCCAATATTTCTGCATTGCTTTATTTACAAGCACATTTTCACACTCAATTTGCACTGCATATTGAGGAATTGCAATCTCTGAATGATCCTCCATGTTGAACACCGTCACTCTGAGTGGTTTATCAACCAGTAGATTGTAGAAGTCGTCATAAACTTGGTCATCCCAGGTGCCCTTGGATTCCTCGAATCCATTCAATGAGCATAAAAAGGCCTGAGGAGCCTTATCCAGCAGACCCTGAGGCAGTGCTCTCACATTGTTAATGTCAACATCAGATTCGTTTCCATAGTCAATAAACAGAACATGAAGGGTATCGTCAGTTCTCTGAATTACCTGAGATCGATACCACTGATTGTCACTGGAAAAAAGAGCAAGGCATGGACTTCCAGGACCAAGAGTCTCTGGGAACATCATGTTCTTCTGTGCCTGTCCTGCTTCCTGAGCAAGCATTGACAGTTCACTGAGATCCTCAGTGTTGGCGTATTGACACCAGAAGAAACCGGGTTCCACAATACAAGAGGCATATACACTCTCTGTCTGGCTTTTAGATATTTTTGGTTTCTTGTACAAGGAAGTATTTGTATTTCCTTTGGAAACATTAATGTGTGTCATGTTGAACTCAGTTTGACCACCCTGGAGTGAGTTTTCCATTTGACAGCTTTTAGTCATCACATGTTCTGTGGCTACAGGTTTCCAATATTTCCGCATTGCGTTATTTACAAGTATATTTTCACACTCAATTTGCACTGCATATTGAGGAACTGCGATTTCTGAATGATCCTCGATGTTGAACACCGTCACTCTGAGTGGTTTATCAACCAGTAGATTGTAGAAGTCGTCATAAACTTGGTCATCCCAGGTGCCCTTGGATTCCTCGAATCCATTCAATGAGCATAAAAAGGCCTGAGGAGCCTTATCCAGCAGACCCTGAGGCAGTGCTCTCACATTGTTGATATCAACGTCAGCTTCATTTCCATAGTCAATAAACAGAACATGAAGGGTATCATCAGTTCTCTTAATTACCTGAGATCGATACCACCGATTGTCACTGGAAAAAAGAGCAAGGCATGGACTTCCAGGACCAAGAGTCTCTGGGAACATCATGTTCTTCTGTGCCTGTCCTGCTTCCTGAGCAAGCATTGACACCATGTTCAGGTCTTCAGTATTGTTGTACTGACACCAAAAGTAATGTGGTCCAACAATGCAGGATGCGTATACTTCCTCTGCCTTGTCTTGAGAAATGTTAGGCCTCTTGTACATGCAGATGTTCACATTTCCCTCAGAGCAAGGAGGGAGGGAAAGTTGCATTATTTGTGAGTCACTGTGACCACCTTGTATGAAAGTCTGAGCCAACACAGTCTCTTTGTCCTCAAGAATGACATCCAAAGTCGGTTGTCTTCCTTCATCCAAAGTTTTTCCATGTTCAATCTCTGGTGTAGAGACATTGGTTATAGATTGTGAACTTGTTGTTAGCTCATCTCTAGCACACATTCCATCACTGCTTTGGACTTTATTTTGCTCTGTTAACTTTGTTAATACTGATACATTCAAGAGCTCTTGTGTTAAACAGTCTTCATTTGGCACACCAGCCTGTTCTGAGCTGTTAGAGAGCTGCTGGTCAGTCTGCTGAATGAAAGTAGTCACCTTTTGTTGCACCATTTTTGATATTCTCTCTCTGATTTTCACATTTACATTCAGGGATCCATCAAACAATTCAACAATCAGCTTCCCTTTTGCCCCTTTTTCTACCACTGAAATGGTAAAACTATGGCCAATGGCTTTATCTGCAAACCACTGGTTAACTTCCTGTGGCACTTCTCCTGGGATGTCAGACAATCCAAGTGGAACCGCCTGCACAAGAATTGACCTGGCAAGACCTCCTTCAGAGGGAAAGGGGCGAATATCAGATTCATTCACTACAAGTGTATCACCATAGTCCACGAAGTGCACTTTAAGTTTGGGGGACATTTCTACTATTTGACCTCTGTGCCACTGATTATCAGTGTACCTAACAAAGCAAATGCTATTAAGTCCAAGTGGGTGATCTGGGTACTGTGGTTGGCCAATTAGTTGTTTCACATTTTCCGTCACTTTGTCGAACAAATGAGAATTTCGGTCCAGTTGGCAGTAGAAGTGACCAATATTCTCTGAAGAGGTTACCCACACTTTTTCTTTTCCACCCACTTCAATATTGTGCGAGGAGTAATTGTATGCATCTGATGGGACTTGTGGAGGAATTTGCATGTGAGCTTCAGTCTGTGCACATTTCTGAGCCAGAAGCTTGCATGCACTGTCAGATGGTGTTTCAATATCTACCATGTTAAGCAGCAGACCTTCTTCATCGGACGTTATAGCTTTTACAACGCATTTCAAGCCGGTGCTTGACGTAGCACCTGAATCCACAAACTTCTGAAACTCTGCTAATGCAGCATCAGCCGAAGTGACAGCAGTAGGATAAGTGGATTTCTTCAGATTGAACAGACAACACTGAAAAGCCTGCGCATTTAGCCATAAGAAAGCTGGATCAATGTGGCGCACTTCTTGCAGAGGGACCTTTCGAATTTGACCATAGTCTATGAATCTCACATCTACAACAGGAGAGTGGTGACTTGCAATGATCTTTGCTCTGTACCACATGTTATTGTCTGGATTACGGGCAACACAGATGGACTCAACAAGGGATTGAGGGTGGGCAGCTGCATAGTGCTTTTGCAGGTCTTGCATAAGAAGGCTAAGAGAGTCACCATTTTCTGTTGATTGGCACCAAAACTTCTGAAGACTTTCAATGCAAGATACTTTCACATTGATTCCACTCCCCACAGTAAACACATCATCATCACAAGCATGGTGCACCTCAGAGGGGAAACCTGTTGATGGATGTTCTAAGGGCTCTTTGAGGTGAATAGCATCAGCGCCAGAAGTGGATCCATCATCCATACTGCCATTGACTTCTAGGTTTTTGGTGCTTGGCAAAGATTGCTCTTGTAAATCATCAACATTTACATTGACTTTGTTCTGTAAATCCATACATTGTTTGTCTCCAAGTGAACTGAGAAATGATGAGGGAATGGATTCTTTCAGGACATTAGAATCGTGTTCAGTCTTACAGGGTGGGAAAAGTCCTGCCATCTCTAAAAAACAATAGTTTATGCACGCAGAATTAGCTGCATAGAGTGTGACATCATAGACATCTTGACGTGCATGTATATTATGGTGGTCAAACCTGGCTACGACTGTCTGGTTCAGGAGCAGTGATTTCAAGTATTCAGTCTGGTCCATAGTCCAGCTTGTGTCCTTACCCTGTAGTCCATCAAGAGAACAGAGATAGGTGACAACTGGCATTCTCAGGAATTTCCCATGCAGTGGTCTGATGTCTCCAACTGGCACCAATTCAGTTTTTCCTTCGTCCACATGCACGACTTCAACAGCACCATCATCGGTCGTAATGTTTTGCTTTAGTAATGAGCGATGCCATCTGCCGCTCATGCCTTTAGCAGCACATGGATCTCCGCAGGTCTGTGGCTGCACCTCTCCAAAATCTGAGCCCTCTTCATAGTACTGGTGGATCTGTTCTGATAATATCTTCAATACCTTGGAAAATATATGAAGTTTGCAAAAAATGTTCTGTGGATCAGTTACCTCTGTCACATTAACGGTTTCAAAGGAGTCAGTTAACAGTTCTGGGAAAAAGTATTGTTCGTGCTTCTCAAGTTGGCAACTAACATTCGAATTCTGTTCCTGGGCCTCAGGAGCCTCTTCTTTGGGTAAATGTAGACATTTCAGTACCAGGCATTTAAACTCATCCCCTGGGATCTTCTTTGCAACTCCAAACTTACACATTTGCTTGGAAATAAATGTTATATCAAGGAGAATAGTCCTGTCTGGCATCAGTACATGTTGAACCAGTCCCTTAAACTTATGGCCAGGGAGAGACTTCAAAAATTTTGTGGCTTCTTCTGGCACGTTATTCTCAGGGGAGAGGACATTTGCAAGTATACAAGATTCAATTTCGGGAGGAAAGAGAAAACTGTCACTGTGGGCCCATGCTAAGGTTTCACTTGTGGTAACATGGGGCTGTCCTTGGTCAATTAGAAACACATTATAAGTTTCACTTTGAATGGATACAATGCGAGCTCTGTGCCAGGTGTCACTGACACAGACCAGACAAAGGTCCCCTGGTTTTCCTTCTGATCCATAAAACTTCCTTTCAGGAATCTGAATTTTCTCTCTCATCTGCTCATAAATATGTTTCCGTCCATCATCCACGTTAACCCATAATTCCACAAGACCACAACTGGGGTTTAGGTTTACCCTCGTGATGAGAACAGTTACCTCTGATCCTGGTGTTGGAAGCCCAGGAATTGAACACATCGTGAAGCTCAGAACTCAAACATACCTGCAAAATGGAACAAAAAAAGGAATTAATGTTGAAGAAAAATTGTTATTTGAATTGTATTAAAAGAACCTTAAAAGATTAGACTGCCATTATCAAGAATTTCCAGTCAAGTAGCTAGCTGCTTCATATCAAAATGGCTGCCATATAATGACTGATAATGTCACTAGATCTGTACTGATATAAATCATCCCTGTGGTATTGCTATTAGCCTCTATTACCTTTGAAATGCAATGTTATCGCTGTACTATTCAGATAATTGTACAATTTGACAGTCTTGTAAAATAACCTCTGTTAATGTGGAGACAAAATAGCAGTAACATACATATACATACAAAAGGAATTAATTCCCTTGAGACAGGCATATCTGAAAATGAATTATTTTGAATTTTGCAAACAAAAATGCGTAGCTGTACCTGGCGAAATGTGTTATTGTATCGGATTTAAATAAAACTCAGTGCATCCACAGTTGTTTGTTCAGACTGGCTGTAGCCAGACATCAAGATACACCCAATCTGACCCTAAACTTCCTTAAAGTGGCACAATTTGAAGTAGTACTGTATGGCATGAGTAAACTTATTGAGTCTTAAATAGACACTACCAGCGGTCCTGTAGGCTAATGGTAATACTCCGAAAACACATTGTTTTTAATCACATTAAATCACTTCAATCACAATGGACAGTTTTCACATAGTTGAAGTAGAGAAGCTCCAACATTACAGCGCCATTTACAATGATTTGGTTATTATGGAAAACCTTTGTCAAAGAGTTAAGCATTTGTTTTTCTGAAAGATAAATTCCTGGTGACATCACAAATTCCCACAGGCTCCATTAACTGTTTTTGTGCTGACATTCTGGCCTCTTTATATCTAAATCCTGATAAGGTGACCACAACTGTATAACTATTATAACTGAACAAACAGGCCTGAAAAATCACTTCTGATGTATCAGTAAGAAACTAGAAGGAGAAACCTGATGAATCATGTGAACATGTCAAACACAGGAAACCTGCCACTGCAAAGAGGAACACACGCAAGTAGACTGATAAAGACTTATGCAGCATGTTTGCTCATAAATACCACAAACCAAGACTTGAGATAGAGCTGTGCCAACGGCTGAGGCCTCAACATAAACCAAATATTATGAGATTAACTACACTGGCATTTGGTGCCATCCACTGTCCCTCTGCTGAACATGCCAACATTTATAAACAGACATGAACCAGAATTCTAACTCAATTTACATGCAACATGTGAGATAAAAACACATGTACCTACACAAGTGTTTTGGGCCTGAAAATCTTTAAAACTATACAAAGTCAACTCATGGCCCCTTACGGAAGGTTGCATATTTCTTTAACACGTGAGCGCTTTTTTTTTGTCATTTTGTAAAACTTTGAGATGTAAAACTGAAGCAAAAATGCCTGTCCAAAAAATTAAACAATCGTTTTTGTTCTAATTTCCTAACTTGTTGGCCATTTCGTGATCAGGCCCACCTGGCCTACACAACTCATCGTATCCAAGGATTTGGTTTGGAGAAATATATTTTAATAATATAAAATAATCTTGACATTCAGTTCATGTCATATCATATTAGCAGAGATTGTTCAGTGTAGTTGCAAATCCAGAAATGCAATGAAACAAAAATATCCCACTGCCAGTGATTTAAGCTGAACACTTTTCAGGTGCGCTACAGGACAACATCTCCATCTTTAACTTGATCAGCTCAAATCAGCTTGACACAAGCTGCAGACTGAGACATCACGAATCATTACAGGTTTTGTCTTTCCTCACCTTGTTCGGTGCAGGCGGCACATCTCATGTTCCTCTCGTTGAATTTAAATGTAGTTGAATGGCCGGAGCTGGGGGCGGGCACTCAAGTGGGTTTTTAAAGGCTTTGACTGCACGCAACTTTCTCTGTGCGGCTGTTAATGCCTCGAACAAACACATGCAAAACACCAAGCAGACTGTGTTTGATGGTTTATATCAATTTCTATGGGATAAACTCCAAACGTTGCTCGTTGAAATTTACACCATGATATTTTCTTTCAAAAAAACAAAAACAAAAAAAACCCCCCAATGTCATTAATGTACTGCAGACACACACAGGTGAGCGGCGAGCCAGTCACACAGCTCGCCCTCTAGCTGTTCCGTATTTGGGAGCGTCGTAGTTGTCACACCCACAACTGTCACCGCTGCAGCTCACTTCTCAACACTGTCTGACCAGGAAGTCTAAATTCGGTGCAGTGTCCCTCCGTGACCATGTTATTGTTGCATGCTGCACACACAGGCAATCGCACTATGGTAGGCGAAGTTTATAACAGTCATATTTGTTCATGATCCAGAAAATGCTAAAGTTTACCAGAAGGTTTGAAGCGTTTTGTTCTCACTCGTTGCTTTATAGTGGCTGTAAGTCAAAGAGTTTTGCTGCATTGGACTTTTGTGTGTACTCTTGAAACCACTTGTCACTGCTCCCAGTGTTTCCTAAATGCCTCAGACTAGTGGAAAAACCACAGCATGTCCAGTTGACTTTGAATGCATGCTGCATATCCCACCACTTGTTTGCCGGAGAGTCTGCAGTCATTTAGAGCTGTATTATATCTGTATGCATGTTCAGAACTCTTTGAAATATGTTTGTTAAGACCTAATACATCTTAATTGTAGTATACATCATCTAGAAAATGTATTGAAATGCTAAAATTGGATTAAATGTTCATCTACACCTGTTGCTGTTGCTGTTGCTGTTGCTGCGTGCTTCAGGCTGTGGCTTCCTGGCTAAGACAAAAGGCTCACATCTTTTTTTCTTGTTTTTCACATGCTCACTTTTTGAGAAACCAATTTTAGTTATTGCATTGTTTATAGCTATTCATCATCTACAAATATTACCCCACAGCAGGTCTGACGTCACATTTCTCTAAATAGCAGACTGCATAGTTTCGAAAGTTTCCCTGACTTTCAAAAAAGAAGGAACTTGAAGAGTTCGTTGAGCGATGGACATCATCACAAGCTGATTACACCCAATTTGGCATAATTTAAGAAGATGCTCAGTGTTTTTGCCAAAAGAAAAAAAATATTTGGCTGTCTCAAAGTCTGCAAGGGTGTCGACCCCCAAACTTTAAAAACTTAAACCTGACTTTAGACTTAGAGGAAGAACGTCTGTCTCACAGTAAAGATATCAGTTATGTGGTTCTTCCTGTTAATTCTATTTCCAGTGACTTGTTTCAAAATGAGTAAGAGGAAAGGCAAAGTGATCTGTGATGTGACAGCTGTCAAGAGCCGTCGAGTGACAGCTGTGTGCACCGAAGATCTACCAGATGATACAAACCATCAGGGACCGTCCTTCAGCAGCTTTTCTCACGCTGCCACGGTGAGTAAGTTCCCCCATGAAACACTTAACTCTTTGTCTCTACTGCTCACCAGCTCATTTGATGTTGTATGATGTTGCCTGTATTTCTTTTAGGGAGACATTGGCCTCATTGAAAGCATCACTCTGAAGAATTTCATGTGTCACCACTTCCTCAGTCCGTTCCACTTTGGGCCCAATGTCAATTTTATTGTCGGCAACAATGGAAGTAAGAACTGTATCTCTAAGTGTCATTTGATCTGCCGTTGACTTTGGCCTGTATGTTTAACACATCATCACAGTGTAACTGTTGTTGTCTATAAAACACAGCAGTTACTGCTGGTTTAAATAGATAGGAAGTTGCAGTCCTCTATACTTACAATATTCCTTACAAACTATTACTTTATACAGTGTATCCCACCAAGGGCTGCAACTAATGATTATTTTCATTATAGATGTATCTGCTTATTATTGTCTTGATTAGTCGTTTGATCTGTAAAACATCAGAAAAAAGTATTTTAAAAAAGCCCAAAAACCCTAAAGCAGACAGTGATGTCTTCAGATGTTTTGTTTTGCCTGAGCAACCGTCCTAATCCTGGAAATATTCACTTTACCATCACATTAGACAAAGACAAGCAGCAACTCCCCAGGAATGTGTGTTTGTTTTTGCTTGAAAAATTATAAAACGATTAATTATCAAAATAATTGCAGATCATTTTTTATGATGACCCATTTTTTGATTTAATAACTAATCATTGCAGCTCTAATCCCACCTAATTCTTATTATCTATTAGAATAATGACTGTCTTAATAAGATATTTGTTGTTTTTCTGATATTTTTATGTGGAATAAGCTTCTAATCAGAAGTGGTTACTTGAACAGGACAATCAGGACTGTTACACAACAAGAAGTATTACAATATAATATACAGCATAAGTAATTTGCTGTATATTATAACTAGACCTCACATATCATTTATATATTTTGTCAGACATTAGATATTTAAAAACTCATCTGTTAGTTCATTACTTGTTCATCTGTTAGACGACTAAAAATTTCATTATTCAAAGAGACTCTCCTGATGTATTTATTTGCCTACAATCTTTAGTTCTACCTGTGCACCTGAACCTGTCTGTGATATGCTTTCCATGCAGTGATTAATTCCCTCATCCTTGTTGTTTCACATTAATTTCTCAGGTGGAAAAAGTGCCATCCTGACGGCTCTGATCGTAGGCCTCGGCGGAAAGGCCACTGTCACCAACAGAGGACTGTCACTGAAGGATTTTGTGAAGATGGGGGAAAAGTAAGTCAGAGTATAAAATGTTAAACCCAGGCAGGAACGTCCCTGAATGACAAATGGATGCGTGTCTTTATTGTGTTGTTGGAAATGCTTTAGTAGGAAACTGGTACTAGAACAGTTTACCCTGCTCCTCAGTACTGCAGATATAACGGTAAAACTGAGAAACCGAGGACCAGATGCTTATAAAAAGGACGTCTATGGCGACTGCATCTCCATCGAGCATCGGATCTCAGGTGACGGATGTCGGATCTGCAGGCTGAAGAGCAAATCAGGTGACTTCCCTGAGTTACAGATTCTCTTCAATGTCTGAGTCTGTCCCAGTCTTATTAAACCTTCCCTACATTTCAAATACTCCAGACACACTCGGGAGGGAAGACGAAGCACCTCAGTCAGACCGTCATCTCCCGGCGCTGTATACATTCTTTACTCTTGGTCGGAAATTTTCCCCCTATAAACCTGCACACATGCATTTTATATGCATGGCACTGTTTCCCCTTACCGCCTGTGTCTCATATTTACATTCACATTTACACTGATGATTTTCAAGGTTGTAAATGTCACTGAGTTATTTTATAAATAAAAGGATCTAGAACAGTTTCTGCACGAATGCCAGTTACTGACTGAGCTCACAGGAAAGTTTGCTCCTGAACATGGTTAATACTCGAGTTAATAAGTTTTCAATCTGAGTAGTTTCTTTTTTTTTAACCTACACATGATCTCTATTAAACAGACACTTTATCAGGGGTGCTCATGCTTCACTCTGCTGTTGTCCTTCCTTTTTGCAGCTCACTATTGTTTTAATTGATCGATTAAATCATGGATTAATCTGCCAGTTATTTTCTTGATTAATCTATTAATTGTTTTGTCTATAAAATGCCAGAGAGCCGTGAAAACATCGTGTTATAATATAATTTCCTGCAGCTCAAAACTCTCAAAGCTCTAAACTTATAATTGACTAAGAAATGCATCAGATCCTCATATTTGAGAAGCTGGAACCAGGGAACGTTTTGCATTTTTGCTTGAAAAAATAAATTATTAATTAATAATCAAAATAACTACCAATTAATTTTAATCTTGTCAACTAATCATGCAGTTTATATTCTCTTGCTCAGCGAAGCAGAGGTTTTAACCAGATTTCTTGTTGTCATGTGTTTTAGGACAACTTATTTCAAACAAGAAGGAGGAATTGACCGCCATTTTGGACCACTTCAACATCCAGGTGCGTACTAAAGTTATTTTCCGTTCTGCAGCTTTTGAACTTCTGGTGAATGCATTCATTTTATTTTTTATGACATTTTAAATGTAGCAAACAGTTTTTGGCTGTTTCATACACGTCTTCACAGCAGAGTCATGCATTTTAAAGCCTCAGCAGGACGTTTGTTTGTGTTTTCTAGTTGGATAACCCAGTGTCCATTCTCAACCAAGAAATGAGTAAACAGTTCCTGCATTCGAAGAGTGAATCAGACAAGTATAAGGTACAACACCACCATGACTCTTATCAGCTTTGAATTTTAAGATTACGTCTGTATTTAGAGAACCTGACGCGACCGTATATATTTCTTTTTTAGCATGTTTGAATAAACAGTTTTGTTTGTCATTTTCAGTTCTTTATGAAAGCAACTCTGCTGGAACAGATGAAGAGGGATTACATCCATATCAAACACACTAAAACAGTCACACGACAGCAGGTTGAGAGACAAGAGGAGGTACTGTATTCAACGCACAAACATCTCACCTTTGATTTATCACGTCAGGCATTTCGATATCAGTCCAGTAATTTACAGATATAAGTTTTCTGACAGAGTCTTGGTCTTGATGTTGTCAACCAAGAAATGTTAATTGAAGGTAATATTTACTTAGTGTATGACACTTATTTTTTTAGTGGAAGTGGAATTGTAGGCACTTCATATCAGTTCACGTCTTTGGCTTTTCTATTGTTTTTATACCTTTTTATTTTGTGTGTTGTACATTTACAGTAACTGTCTCTTCTATCCTCCTCTATCCCCTCTTCCTCCTCCCGTTCCCTCCTTTGTACCTTCTGTTGTTAAAATTGCTATATAAACTTTGCTTGCTCGCTACCAATATGTTTGTCTATGTTATTTTGCTGAATGAAAATTTAATTTAATTTAATTTTGCAGTGTCTCAAGGACCTTAAGCAAGAGTTCCTTCAGAGGAAAGAGAGGTATGAAAATTTATCGTCCTTCAGCGAGATGAAAGAGGCTTTGGAGAATCTGAAGAAAGCAATGGCATGGTGTTTGGTAAGAACTCAGTCATCAGTGTATAAAATAAACCAAAAAAACTTAAGTTAGAGTTCCAGCTTCTTCTTTATTAAAGTTCTTATCATTTCTGAAGACTGTTCAGAAAGTATGAAAAGAAAGAAGATATAAAAACACATTACCTAACATTTCTATTGGGCCCATGGTATTCAATAAATTGCTGCACTTGAACATGATCAAGGTTAATTTTTTTTTTTTAAATCATCACTTTCAGGTCAGAGACAAAGAGCAGTTGGTTCAACAGTTGGAGGAGGACATTGAAAAGGAAGAGAATAATTACAAACACGAGGAAAACCTTCAGCTCTGTCAGGTGACTCACAAGTGTTCCTCTTCTGTTACATAAATACAAGTCTATTTATAAATGTTGGAGACCTTCGGACGTTCACCACTGTATAAACCAACCTGCCTTATGTCACATTGCTGCATTTTCATGTTTACAGCTGTTGTCCTCCACCGAAGAACACGGTCATTGTCTTTAAAGTTACTGTCGCTCTTTCGTCTTATCTCTCTCACAGACTAAGGTCACACAAGTAGAGAAGAAGCTTCAGTGCGTCAAAAGCAGAATCGACAGTCTGAGAGAAGAACAAGAGTCTCTATCAGAGGACAGTCTCAAGTTGAAGGAGCAAGTGAAGGTCCTAAGCAAAGATCACAATGAACAGGAGGTACTGACTGGGGAATATAACAACCTGGCTCTGTGTCTGTGTGAAGCTGTGTTTTTGTTATTCTGAATATATCAAATCTACATCATTTATTTTGGATAAAGTGACATCATCTTTTCCCACAGCTTGTTTATTTTCGGGCTGTGAACAAACTTAAGCAGTCAGAGCGGGAGCAAAACCTCCTTCAGGAGAAAATAAACAAGGCAAAAACAAGGTAAAAAAAAACTCTAAGTGACATTTTTACCTTCAAACAGATTCATGCGTTCAATATAATGATATATGTTTCACTGTATTTTAGTGTAAGTCTGAGCAGTGATGGAGAGACGGAGTATACAAAACAACAGGAGACCTTATCCAATGTGAAGGAGCAGCTTGCAGAGCTGGAGAACAAGTGCACGCAGCTGAATCAAGAGATCAACAACAAACATCAGGCACTTTTCAAAGGAAAGGAGGAGCGAGACAAACTAATGTACAAGAAAAATTATATTTGCTTTCGCACAAATGTTCTGTCAAGGTGTAGTCTGAGAGTAATATGAGTGACAACGCTTTCTGATCAGGCTCTGTTTGTATTCACCAGACTGGAGGAGAGAAATATTCAGGTTTCGTACGAGTCCAAACTGAAGAGGAGGGATCAGCTCCTCGCCAGTCGATCCAACAAACTGAAGCGGTTTGGAGATCATGTACCCGATCTGCTGGGTTCCATTGCTGAGGCTTACGCTACGGGACGCTTTCTCAAGAAACCCATCGGCCCAATAGGTGACTTTCATTTCTGTGTTTTGTTTACTTGACTTCCTCTCTCCATTATAAAAAGGGATTCGTTAATACTTAAAGGAGCTGCTTGACGTTTTAGGAAATACTGAGAAGATTGATACCACTCTTATGTCTGCCCAGCTAAAGCCAACATTCGATTAGCTTAGCTTAGCATGAATACGAGAAACAAGGGGAAACAGCCTGGTTCATGCTGTTTATGCTAAGCTAAGCTAACAGGCTCTGGTTCATATTTACTTTGGTCACTATTTTATCTTTAAAAGAACATTGTGTCAACAGATTAATAATTTACTATCATTTTACTGCTCTACAGATAATTTAGATTTTTCTATTGTGCAGTAAATGTGTTAAAACTACTTTTAATTTAAAACATTTTGCAGTGAAATAGTAAATTAAGTTAAAGTGTACATGTTGCAGTTGACAGTGTGTTTGCTTTCAGGTGTGTGCATCAGCCTGAAGGATCCCACCTTAGCGGTAGCTGTGGAGTGCTGCCTGCGCAGCTTCATGAAAGCTTTCTGCTGTGACAACTACAAGGACGAGGCGGTCCTTCAGGAGCTCATGTCTCGTTATTATCCAAAGGGACACAGGCCGCAGATCATCGTCAGCCCTTTCTCTGAAAAAGTTTACAACATACATGGACGGTCAGAAACAGCATTTCAAACTTATTAACTTTTTTTTTTTGCCACATTTGCTTTTAAAGTCGTTTGTCCAGCATGTTTTAAAGCTACAGTTTGTTTTGTAGGAAAGCATCTCATCCAGAATACCCATCTGTGCTCGACATATTCACAGCAACAAGCCCGATCATTATCAACTGCCTGATTGATATGAGAGGGATTGAATCAATTCTGATAATCAAAGTTAGTATCTCACAAACACAAGTTTATGCTGAATATTGCATGTATGATTATTTGCATAGTGATGGAGTAGCTTTACTTTTGTTTCATCACCGTGTGACCTGTGTTTGATCACAGGAGAAAGACAAAGCGAGGAAGGTCATGCAGCAAGGCCGGCCGCCTAAAAACTGCCGTGAGGCCTTCACTGCAGAGGGAGATCAGGTGTATCCAAACCGTTACTACACCTCTGACTTGAGCCTGGCCAAATATCTTGGCGGGGATCTTGAAAGTGAAATAAGGTAAGGAAGGTATTTTTTACATCCACAGATCTGCATTAACAATGGCGACCACAGTGAGACACCAGGTTTAAACCTGCTGACAGTGAGCTGTCAGATTCTTACAAAATCTTTGTTTCATTTTGTCAAAACAAGCAGTAAACCAGTAACTGAGACGCACTCCACCCCCGTAAAAACTCCCCCTTAAACACAAAGAATAATACAGGATGGTTTAATTTATTATTTTAATTAATTTAACAACAGAAAACATTATGTTTTTGGGTTGTCCTTCCCATTATCGTGAACCCGATATCTCAGTAACACCTTGAGGGAATTTCTTCAGATTTGGCACAAACATTCACTATGACCCAAGTGATTAGAATTTTGCAGTCAAAGGTCAAAGGTCACTGTGATTTCACAAAACACATTTTTTGGCCATAACTCTCAAATTCGCTGATGCTAATTATGACACAATTTAACTCACATGTCTAATAGGATAAAATGATGAAGTGATGACATTTTATATCCAAATGGCCAAGGGTCAACTTCCCTGTGACATCATAATGTTCTGCCATTATTCAGTGCTTTAACTCAGGAAGGGGACGTTGTGACCTTATTTCTCCTGCAACTTGGCTGGTTGGCGGAGGCATACAGCCGCGAGGTGGTGACTCTAGTTCGACTATTGACTTTTTCCTTGAATTCTAAATTAAATATCTTTAATTAAGGAAGAGTGTGACGTTTCTGGAAAATGACCACTCTTGTCTCGCTCACTCTCCTTTGAATCAAGGAACATGCATATTTAATACTAATAAATACAGTACTTTGCCTGTTCCGATGTATAGCATTCAAGCCTTAAGTATTATATTTATAATGGCTGCTCTCTGATGTCAAATGGAATTGACTGGAGTTCTCAAAAGAGCGCGTGATGTGGCCGTTAAATGCGGTACGTTTACGACTGTGTGGGGTCTTGAGTTGAGACGAAGTCGCTGCTGCCTGTCACAGCATGTTGGAGTCAGACCTGGAGAATCACCAGGCTCAGCTGTCCAGGTTTCAGCTCCACGTGACCTCGGTGACTGAGGACATCATGAGAATGGAGAGCGAGCTGAACATCACCATCATGACCCTGAAGAGGACTCTGGTCAGTGAAGCGTACTCTCTCTGGATGTCTGTGACAACCTGGTTTAACTGCTGCTTGGTTTACATTTCACTCTTCTCTTCTCACTCTTTGGATTTTCTGTCTCCCCCCTCCTCTTGGTTTCTCTCTGCCTCCCTTTGTGCTCTTTGTGAGAAGAAACATTGATTATATTGATTGATGATTCCTTAGACCAATAGTTTCACTGTTTTTCTTTGTTTTTAATGCAGGTGTCTGTTAATCAAGTCAAGGCAACAGTAACTGAGCTGGAGACTGCTGGCGAGGAGCAAATCGATGACATCAGCTCTTTGGTGATGATTTAGATTTTTTGTTTCTACCTTTTCGATACAGACATGAATCCCTCCGTGGATTAGTGAAGTCTAATGTCTTCAAATATTTTCTTGCAGGAAGAAGTCGCCCACGAGAACCAACAGAAAATCGACGCAGAAAAACAAGCTGTTGATGAAGCAAAGAAAGAGCTCGACAAGCACCGGAAGATGGTGGAAGACATCAGCTGCAAGTACTCATCAGTCAGAGAACGGATTGATCAGCTTTCTGAGGAAATGGAGCCGTTGAAGGTACAGTATCACATTATTGTTTCACTTTGGCTTTAGGCTAAAAAAAGATCGTTCAAGACATCTCGTGCCACATCTCTGTGGTTTTGATACTACTTCTGTCGCCTGATTTGAAATGTTTTTGATCTGTGGATCGTTTAAATTTAAAGCTTTTTTAATTTTTACAACATTGTTTTTCTCTTGGATAATCCTCCCCTGGTGTTGTGAAGTAATCTGTAGGCATGTAGTCTTATTTCATGTTAGTTTTTACATATCCAGAACTGGTGATAGTGAAATTGACTGTTATTGCATGTTGGTCCCTAAAGGATGAGCAGCTGAAACTGGAGGCAGAGTGTGCAAAGCATGAACGAAACCTTAAGATTTTCGAACACAAACTGAAGTCTCATGAAGACAACATCCACGCTATGAAAATTGACCTTGCCCAAAGAGAAGAAGAGTTACAGGTAACAAGAGCTCTACTATATCTGCTGTTACATTTACCACAGGCATATGTTGGAGGCTTTTTTTTTTTTTAGCTAAACCCAGTTGTTGTATTTAAGTTATACAGTACACAATGTAGGTCTGCAGTTAGTATACTCCTCCAAACAGATGATTTACTGCTGCCAAAGTACTGTAGCTGTCACCAGTAAAATTCCGAGTTGCCAGACGCTCATCAGACATCACATGTGACGGCAGGACTATGTGGCCAAAGCCTCAAAGATCAGTCCTGAGCGGCAGCAGGTGACCGGCAGCACCAAGAGCGTCGACACAGAAATCACTCGGCTGAAGAGGAAGATGAAAGTGTACGAGAGCAGCCACGGCGAGCACGAGCAGGTGGTCAGGTGAGAAATCATAGGCTTTCTAAAAACATCTGCGACCGGGTTTTACTTCACACACACTGATTTTAGTCGTAGTTAATGCAAAACACTTCTCAGAAACAGAGTGGCTCTGGAGTCATAACTAATTTTAATGGATGACTCAGTGCCAGTTTTTCCATAAGCAGCTTGGCTGACTGCAAATGCAAATGCATTAATAAAATACATGTAAATCTGCGGTAAAATTTAGCTACTCAAGTAATGTACTTCAATACAAATTTAAGGTACTTGTGCCGAACTTGATTTGTTTCATTGTATGCTGCTTTAGACCTCTGTACTCCACTACATTTAAGAGAATATAATATATAACATATTCACACAGTTGCCAGTTTTTTAGGTAGGTTAGGTACCTAAAACTGATGCAGTCTAATACAACAGTCCTGCAGTAAATCCTACCTTCACTGAGGTTATAATCAGTTTTTGTTGAAACCCTTTTAGAGAAGTGTTACGCCCACATTTATATAAATAAATGTTTGATGAATAACGGAAATACCTCTCTGTATAATAAACAATTCAACAGCACCACTTCCCTAAAACAGTTTCAACAAAAACATTGTAACCTTGATGAGGGAGGATTTACTGCAGGACTGTATTAGACCGCATCAGTTTTAGTTATGTGAGAGCTTTAATCACAGATTACTTTACATATTTAGATTGTGCATACAAAACATATGATGAGCTCATGCAATATGATGCATTGTCACTCCATTAACTACGCAACAGTATATAAAATAGTTAAAATTAGCTTCACCTCAACCAACCTCAACCAATCACAACAGTGCTACTTGGATATTAATGCATTGGTAATAATAATATAGTTATATATTGTAGTATTACACTCATAGAGACATTTTTCTGCACTGACTACTTTAACTTTTGATTCTTAAAGAACATTTTTTTGATTTTGATTTTTGTTGATTTTTGTTGATGATACCTGAATGGAGCTTAAGTAACATCTTAAGATAACACAACTTCTGTTTCTTCCACCACTGATGTAAATTACTTTTTCGCTCATTGAACAGAATACATGACCTTTTTAAGACAGCTAAGCTAACAAGCTAACTTAAATAATTTAGTGCAGCAGACATACTTAGACTTCTTTTGGTCAGAAGAATTAGAGGATCTTTCTAGCTTCTCTCTGTCTTATGGTTTTCAGTGGGTTTTCAATTTTAGTTAGCATGTCAGACAAAAACTGTTTTCTGTCCACTGAGGTTCAACTCATCCAATGAAATTTCTTCTGCCGCCGACAGCTTTTCCTAATGCATACCTCAATCCAATCTGCCCGTTGGCCATCACTAAATCATCTTCTGCCCTCATTTCACATGTGCACACTGAAAGCTGAAGTCAGAAAAATATTTAGGCTATGCCAGTTTCTTCCCTCTGCCCTCATTAGGGAGTACGCTGAGGCCCTGACTCTCTACAGAGAGAAAACCAACCAAGTGAGGGACCTGCGGAGGTTCATCGATCGACTCGATAACATCATGTCAGACAGGCAGAACAGATACAAAATAATGCGTAGGTAAATAACGGCCTGCTACATTTGAAAAGCTATTTAAAAATGGTGCCTAGTTGTCAAAGGAAAATCCTGCTTCTGTCTGATTCTGGCTTCTTCCTGCAGGTCTCTCTCTGTCAGATGCAAGTTATATTTCAACAACTTCCTGATAAAGATGAACTGCTGTGGCTCAATGATTTTTGATCACAACAACGAGACACTGTCAATCTCGGTACGTGTGTTTATCTGTTACTGTTTATGAAAAGCATAGATAGTTTGTGCCTGTGTTTGTCCTACAGCATTGTTTGTGTTTTATTTGTTTAATAATGGAAATAGAATTACTGAGATATTTAATAGCAACACAGTTTTACCAAATCACATCATAGTGAAGAAAAAAAGGTTGTTTATTGAAAAAAAATGGTGAGAAAATACTTAAAGATAGTGATCTTAACCCGTATTTTACAGGTTTCCTGTGTTTTAATTGAAGTGTTGATTCGTAGTAAGATATATTTGTGGTTTTAAGAACTAAAAACCATCTCAATGTAGTTTTACATCTCCTTTCTCAGGCTTCTCTCTGGAGCTCTAGTAACAACAGGTGGGTGAGCCAATCAGAAGAGAGGAGGCTCTGAGCTTCTCTTCTGATTGGCTGACTGTTTTCTGAGTGATAGAATAAAAATATAGAATATTTCAGGAAAACACTCAGAGAAACCAAATCCTATAGGGTTGGATGGTGGGTCCAGGTGGGCGGGGCTTGTGGCATGGCTGAGGGGGGTTGACTGCTTCGTCGTGACATCACAAAGTTACAGAAGTCCTGACGGCTCATTTTAAGGCTCAGTTCTGAATACAGGCTGTGTGCGTTTCTCTGTGGACTGAGGCTTTGATACTTTCGCAGTATTAATAAAGAACCTAGACCTGCTTTTTCTAATCAGAAAAGACACAGAAGTCTCACTTTATACAAGATGGGACTTTTAAAATGAGACAGGGTGTCCTGCTGGCCAAGGGGTTTAAGATGCTGACCATGTACCCGACTCAAGTCCACGTCATCCCTCCTCTCTCTCATTTCCTGTCTCTACTCATAAATACCCCCTAAAAAATATTGAACAAAAAACTGGAACCTGCTACAGAATCTGCCTTTTTTTTATTTTAAATTTGATTTAAATTCCAACCTGTTGTGATACGTGTAAAGGTAAAGCCTCCAGGCAGGGAGGATGATGGTGTGAGTGACATGAGGTCGCTGTCTGGTGGTGAGCGCTCCTTCTCCACTGTTTGCTTCATGCTCTCTCTGTGGGAGATCACTGAATCCCCCTTCAGATGCCTCGATGAGTTCGACGTCTACATGGTGAGTACACAAAAAAAAAAGACATGAGAAACACAGTGAGATCTGACACACTTAATTTGTGTAAAGCCAAGAAAAAAAAAGCTTAACAAAAGTTTGGCTCTGACTCACTTTGATTAACAAGTCCCCTTCATTTTTCTTGGCAGGATATGCACAATCGGAGAATTTCTCTGGATCTCCTCCTGGAGCTGTCAGAGCGGCAGCACCTCCGCCAGTTTATCTTCATCACTCCCCTGACCACCAGGTGACGCTCTACGTAATGTTTGTCTCTGTTTACATGCTGTTCTTTCCATTACTTTAACTCCTGCTTTTTACACTTTATATAAAAACGTGTTATGTTATGTGTTCTTATTGTTATTTCACTTGGATCTTTGATCTTCAGTCTTCACAAAATAATCTATGTGCAGAGTTTGACACTACAAGGATGTTTTCTAATTTACCTACTGAATTTTCTCTGAGCTTGCTTTAAATCTCAGTTTAAGTCTTATATGTACGAGCATGATTTTGTCACATCACAAGTTTGGAGCCAATCATGGTCCAATATGCCAAATTGGACCATGTGTGATGTGGAAACTTGAAACCTACAGTTCAGGTTCACTGAGAATAGGTGTTTGCGTATTCATAGATTCTGGATTTTTCAACAAGGCAGAGAATTTTTAACAAAATAATTGAATTTTTCAACCATATCTGAAATAAATTGTTATTGAAAGCTGAATATTTTTACGTCTTAAAACGTTTGTCCTGTGGAGGCTGAAGCATGCCACAAGATTAAATGAAAGGTTTAAGTGCTCAATTATGATCCATTACACAAATTATATATTCATAAACCAAACAAAAAAATATTCATAATAAAAGATGAATTAATTAATTCATCTGTTACTCTGTGTACTTTAATTTTCTGTCTTTAAATTATGTATTTTAAACTGAGCAGTGAATTGATTTTAAAAAAGCTTTTAAATTCCACTATTCATTCATTAATGTGTTCTTATCTAAATAAATGAATTTAATTATATTGAGTGTGTCTTTTAATAGTTTTTTAATTGCATCATTTAAATGCTGATTTTTAATAAAAAAAATAATAATAAAAAGCATGAAAAAATGATGTTAGCACACTCTGGCTGCCCTGTATCCTTCATATCCTGCCACCTCAGGTACCTGCGGTCCCTCTTTCTCTGAAGTCTGAATTCAACATGTCATTGATGTTTGATGACTAATCAAATGAACATGTGACTTGTGTCTTTCAGGAGTCTACCCAAAAGCAGGCTCATCAAAATCCACCAGCTTCAAGATCCAGAAAGAAACCAGAGTGAAACGGGGGATGAAGATGTTTGAAATGGGCTCCAGTGACAGACATGAGGAATGTTTATCTGCACTATTACTGTATATTCAGTATTACGGTATGTGTCTGGGAGTGGCTGTAAATGTCTCTTGTGTTTGCAGGGATAAATAATGATGTATGTGAACTTATCCTATTAACATTTTATTAATGTTATTTTCACTTCGAAGGCTTTGTTTTTGTTTTGGTCCTGGCCAGGAACCAGGGACTTTTAGGGATGACAGACCTCTGGGTGCTGCTAGCTGGAGTTACAGAATTATATCAGAATATTTATTATCAGGACAGACATTGGTTGATATTAGTGACTGAAGTTAGTTTGAGAAGCCAGAGTGTCCTGTAACTGGGAGGTCACAGAAACAGCACATTTAATCGTATGTAACTAACTTCTCTGCTAAATGAACTAGTAATGGTGAACAATAGTGTTTTGTGTCAAAGGTCATACACTGTGCAACTTTAAACCTGAAGTGCTGTTTGTGCTCACTAGGCACTGACTGGTCTCATTCTCTTTAACACATTTTATGTGTTTTTATGAAATTCTCTTGCCAGGCCTGGAGTTATCTTCTATTTTCTATTGCAGTAATGCAACAAATCAACTCAACTGATGACTTGTGTATTTGTAATGTCTGTAATGTTTGTAATATGATACCCTGAAGATGTTTTTAAAAACTGCTTTTTTACCTCAGGAATCTGGTATCACAAGATTTTTCATCTGTGAAACCAGGACACTTCTCAACTTGTCAGTATTTTTTTTTTTTTTTTTTTACAGGCATTTTGTCTGTAAAATTTGCTCCTAATCACTGATCCAGCAGCTGTTAACAGCTGTTAACTGTCATTTCTGTGAAAAACTGTAACCATAATTAGAATAAATCTTAAGCAGAAATCTAAGAACTTTCGTGTGGATCATAAGTTTCATACACACAGGGCTGTTCATCCATGCATCTCATTTATCCATCCATACACAACAGATATTCAACACAGTCTTAAAATCAAAAGCCGAGGCTGGTCTTCATTTGTTTCCATTAAGTGCTCCTGTCAGACCGTGTCTTTTGAAAAAAGCCTGTTGATGGTTTATTCATTTTAATCACTACAGAATTAAGTTTGGGTGCAACACATGCCACATGTATAAAAGAATACAGTCACTTGTATTATGATTTTTCGTATTTGATATAAACATTTACTAGACAAAGAATCTGACATGGTGACTGGACTGAAATGTATAAATAATATGGACATTAATAATGTGATGGTTGGTTTCTGCTATGTTATCGACAAGAACAGTGAAAAGCTTCTGCAACCTCCACTGCTGTAAGTGGACTACAAGCAGACACTCAGTCCGTGCTTGCATAGCCTAGAAATGGGGAAGCAAAACTGTTGAAAGAGAATTTCCGCATTAACTTTAGCCAACATCATCAACCAGCTGCTGCCTCTGTCACCGAAACGCTCTTTCAAAAGCTTCATCAAGCACCTCTCCTGAGGGTCCTGCATCTTTAATGATCGCTGCAAACTAGAAGATGAGACCGTTCAATAAAAAGTTTTTCTCCTTACAAAAAGTTTCAGGAATGCAGTGTGTCCAGTAAACATATATGAGGCTTTTTTTTCCCCTGCTCTTTTTTTTTTTTTTTTTTGCTGCATTGGAAGTGGAGCCCCTCTCACAAGGTCCCCGGCCCAGAGAGTGAGCTCCCAGCATCAGGGTCAAAAGCCAAGACTGTAGTCATTTTGCAGTACTCTTCATTTCTGTAAACATGTTGATATGTACAGAGTAAAGTTATTTAAGTCTAAATCAAAGAAGCAGCCTGAAAAAAGAAGCCAATTTGGGATCGTTGTGGGGAATAATGCATGAGTACTGTGCCTAATTACAGCGGTAATTTTTGCCTCTCCTCCAGATTAAGTGGCAGCAGTACAAATAAAATCATAAGGGGGATGATGCTCTGTAAATATATTGGTTCTCAAAAACATAATACAGTGTTTATGTCTTACTCGGTAATTAGCCAACTGCAACCCAAATGCTATCTTTCAAAAACTCAAGTGTCACACATACACGTGTACCAAATGGAGGGAAGCATGCTCCCACATTACTGGAGGTGAACTAATGGTCTGATGAGTCACATACTGTACATCCCATGCAACAATACTAAATGAATTTTCGGAGGGTTTCTCTTTTTACAACCACCTAAAGATGCAAAAGGTAAGAGATTATATTTTTTTTTGACACATAATATATGCATGCAAAGAACCTACTCCTCTTGGTTCCATCGTGTGAAAACGTCTGGAACAGACAGGAGCCTCTCTATTCTCCAAGAGCTCAACAAGTCTGGATAGCAGAGACAGTTACAATTATCATAGGAATTATTGTTTTGTTACTATCATGTAAAGCGTACAGTAGTTGCAGCAGTGAACACTGGGGATCCTAAATACTGCAGGAACATAATTTAATGCAGTGCTCCACTGATATACAAGCTAGGGGTTGAATGAGAATGTATAGGGTTACTGTGCACGAATCACATTGGCATGTTTTGAAATAGAAATGTATGATATCGTATAGCTATATTCAAAATTATTCAGCATTTGACATTCTCATGCATACAACCACAAGAAGCGAGTCCATTGAAAAATAGTCCAAGCATTGTTTTTTTTTTCCTGTGGAAATGGCAGAGAACCTAATGAGACATTAAAACATGTGCTGCTGTCCAGAGTGAGTGGATTACGGACGGGGAGAGGAAGCGAGCGAAGAAGGGGCGGGGGTGGGGGGGGTGGGGGGGCTCACTTCTGCATGTCACACTGCAACAGGAGCACGATGGACGGGTCGCTCTTCGCCGCCTCTTTGAACTCCTCCAACGAGATCTGGTCGTCGTTGTTCTTATCCATTTTGCTGAAGATCTTGTCCACCCTCTGCTCTGGTGTCAAACCGTCCTCGTTCATCTTCATCATGATCACAGTGCCCACCATTTTGTAGATCGCCTGTGGGTGAGACGCAGTGAGAAATTAGCAGAGGATTGTGGTTCATTATGTAATCCAGTGAAGCCTACATGTGTTCGTTTGGATCAGTGATTCCCAACCAGGGGTGCTTGTACCCCGGGGGGTAGTTGTGCAGGGTTACCAAGGGGTGTGTGGAAAGCTAAACTAATTAATTCAACTCAACTCAACTTAATAAACTAAACTTAAAAAAATAAATAAAATAGAATTCCATACATTTGTATTGAGGAGGAGAATAAACAGCCAAATAAGATTACAAATTGGTCTGAGGCTAATTGTAAATTTAGCAGAAAAGTTAAAACAATGAGCTAAAAATAATGGATAGATGTTTAAAAGTAATGGTTTAAAAGTTGTAAACAGTTGAAATACAAAAATAATGGATAAATGGTTGCTGTTAGCTACAAGTAACAAATAAACAGCTGAAATAGCTAATAATAAGGGGTTGAATGCTTTAAACGTGTAGTAGTATGGATGCAGAGTTGACCTAAGCAACCTAAAAACTGACAATTGAATTGTACGTAATCTCTTATAGTGTTAAACAGCATCCACAGCATTCATACTGTATTTGCAATATGGCAGATGGTGTTAATGAAGCTCTACTTGATATGATCTGATGGGACTGTTGGGAGGTGGCAGACAAAAATAGAATAGATGTAGATGTTTGGGAATAAAGCACACCACATTTATCACTACAGGAACTGTCAATATGCTCCAATATCACAGACACATATCAGATTTACTACACTTATAGTGTTTCCAGAAATGGCTTAATGTAATTCAATACAACTGCAGTTTTGTCGTTATGAATCTGCGTCTGTGCTCAAGGCATTGCAGGTGTGCAGGAGACTGATAACAACCAAAAACAGAGCCAGGTCCCCTGATGAGCGAGGGCTTAATGACCGGATAATCCCTCACCTCGATTATCTCCAGCATCTCCACTCTGGTGATTTTGCCGTCACCATCCAGGTCATACATGTTGAAGGCCCAGTTGAGTTTCTGCTCGAAGCTGCCACGGGATGTGATGGACAGGGCGCAGATGAACTCTCGGAAATCGATGGTCCCGTCTCCATTTTTGTCGAAGGTTCTGAAGGCGTGTTGTGCAAATTTCGATGCATCACCGTAAGGGAAGAACTGCAAACGTGGGAGAGAGGCGTTCAATAATTCAACCAAGGGCTTTAAAAAGGGCTGTTGTGACAGCAGTCATAGCACCAGTTTTCATTAAAGACAACTCAAAAGAGAGGATGTGGTTCACACACAAACCTTGACATAAAGCTGCTGGAACTCCTCCAGATTCAGCCTGCCACTGGGGCAGTCTTTCAGGAAGCCTTTGTACCACTGCTTCAGCTCATGCTCATTAAACTCTGTGTTCTTCACCAGATCCTCCATCACCTCTGGAGTCAGCTTGCTGTTCTGCTTTCCCATGGTTCCTGTGGTGCAAGAACACGTGAATAATGCATTTATATGTGCTTGAGCGATGGCAGAATGAAATTCTCTAGCACAGCACAGAATACTAGCTTTTTTTTTAAAGCCACTTTAAACATGAGTTACAAGAGAGGGTGTAAATATTTTATTTTATTTTTAATTTAATTTTTTTTTTGTTTTGTTCAAGGGGGCAAATATTTCCCTGGTGCTCGTGTTTCTATTTCTGTCCCTTCAGCCTGTTTGTGCCAGTCTGTGGCCCGGGTAGCACTGACCTGGATCATCACTGTCAGAGCAGATCCAGTTCATCAAATGTTCGATCGCTGCTATCAAGTTTCCACTGCAAACACTGTCCTATAACCTGACGATGACAACAAAGCCTTCGCTTGGTTGTAAGAGAAGCACCGCTGCAGCAAATCCAGAGACCTGAGTATGGACACCATGCACACAGAGCGCACAGAGTGGCCCTCTGTAATCTGGATCAGCGGGGAATATAGCTTATAACAGAGTGGTCTGTATGTGACATATAGTGTTTAAGCCAGTTGTGGGCCAATCCACAGACCAATCTGCCTGGATTACTTCCTTATCCACACTGACGGCTCCAACTTGAACAACCGCACCAGAGCAGCCCTGTCAGAGGATTCATGAATTATTGACTCTTGATGTGGGAAAAGACTTAAACTGAGCAGGATTGCGTCAACTCTCAGTACATAATTTAACAAATGAGACAGCAGGATATTATTTGCATATGTGAACACAGGCCATCGTGAGAATAATCACTTCTTGACACCAACATATGGTCCACATCTCTGCAGCAGCAGCAGCAGTAGCAGCAGCAGCAGCAGCAGCAGCAGCAGCATGACAGCAGGCTGGACAGCTCCACCACCACCACTACCAGCAGCAGCAGCAGCAGCAGCAGCAGCAGCAGCACTGCATTGGCTCAGGCCTTCCACAACAAACAGCACAAATGTGTTGCTGCAGCTAAAATCAGTGCAACCCACAGCCTTTAACGTCCATCCCTTGCGTGTCATATCACCAATCCTGACGAGCATGATTGGTAATTATAGCAACCGATCTCGGGTTTAATCTCTAAAATAGGCTTCGGTGAATGACCTTGAGGACAAACATTTTTTTTTTTGCAGGAAGATGTCAAAACGAAATAGTTTCGCGGACCGTTTGAGCCGAGACAAAAAAAAAAAAAAAAAAATCAAGCACCGTGTGACTGGGGTGTTTTTAGAGAATTACCCGCCACATATCGCACAGGCCACAGGTACGAGCGGCTTGTTCTGCCCGAGCAGCGGCCGGCAGATGCTGTTTTATTTCACGCTTTGGGGCAATGACATCTGAGTTAATGCTACTGAAGCTAACCGCCTCCTGCAGGAGCACAGGGAGAGCCGCTGCTGCATTCCGATGGAAACGACGCAGTGAGAGTATTTTCACACCAGATCCCGACCACCATCCTGCTCCTACAACCACAGCATCCCCGTGCGCACCGGGGCGAGAACAGATTCCCCAAATTTCATAACCAAACACACCTATTTTTTTTTTTTTTTTTTTTTTTTAAACCCCCAACCAGCTTCCCTCTGTGGCACCGCAGAGCCACGTTAGCTGTGCATGTAAAAGCCAATTAATTACGCAAATCTTGATGACATTATTGTTCAAATCATCCCTCAACTGTCTTATTATCCTATTTTTTATTTTTTTTGGTTGTTTCCAGGCAAAAATGCAGAGGCTTTTTTATTTTAAGGGATGCGCAGGTGCCCAGTGTGCCAGCCCTCCGCTCGATCCCATTCATCCAAACAAGAAGGAAATTATGAAACATAATGCGTGACACATTCACACAAACCATTCACCGCTCGCTGTATCCACAAATCTGAAGATCTAGCACGACATGTACATCTGCAGGCAATCACTTCTTACCTTTTTTCACAGCCTATATTTGGTGATTCTCTATGGGAATAAATCTGCTCTGGCTTCTGCAAAGTACAGAAAACCCCCCCTCTTCCGATGGAAACGTTTGCCCAAAAGGGATTATTCTCAACACTCGCTCGCCTCCTTAAAAAAAACACACACATGCACACACACTCACACACACCCGCTAATGAAATTTCTGGATTTTCCCGACGTTATTCCAGATGAGGCGCAGCAGGGACCGATCCCACGCCAGTCTTTGGTTATGCGACTTGCAGGAGCGCGGCGTCACCCGTGTGCATCACAGCCTGATCATAAGTTCACTGTTGCTCAGCTGCTCCGTTTGGGTTCAGCTGGATCCTGTCACTTTATCACCGGATCCTTCATCGTGATGAGGATGGTCAGCCTGAGATTTCATCATCATCATCATCATCATCATCATCATCATCATCATCATCATCATCATCATCGTCGTCGTCGTCGTCGTCAGGGAATAAACATTTTGGTTATTTGAAAACAAAACAACGCGCAAGATTTTAAGATGCGTCCAGATTTTTATGACACTGACGGAATAATTCACTGATCAGAATTTTTGAATCACAGAGGGGAAATATTTTAGTATTCCTACGGTCATTAAACGCGCCTTTAAGAAGCATAATAGGATTTAATGACTAAAACCAAGGCTGGGAAACTAACCAGGGGCCCCTAAAAGCCACTTCACTGTGTGCAGGGCCACAGCCAGGAGTCATGAATCCAAGTCTCCTTGGCCCCACCCCTCAAGAGATTTTAACCACACACACAAGAAGAAAAAATATAATTTATTTATTTGAATTTTTATTTTTGAATTTTTATTTTCCAGCATGAAGGTCTAAAGATTTTTTTCACAAAGGCGAGGTCTAATTATTTCGCTGTTCCCAGAGCTTTCAGTCGTATTCCCCAGTCTTCTTTGTATGTGTCCCAGAGGTCATGAATGAATCTCTATGCTCATTTACTGAAGATTTAGTTTCCAAACTTATTCCTTACTGCCAAGAAATTCAAGTCTGGTGGGACGATGCTGAGTCTTTTATTTGTTTGTTTATTTTTGGATGATAAAATAAATCCAATTTAAATATATTTTGTCTGACAAATACTGAAATCAGGAAATAAAATATACACCAAGTGTTAGTGGATAAATGGGTCACAGTTTTGGTTGTTTTTTTGAAGATTTGTTTGGGAATTTGTGCCACTAAAGTGCTGCCAACAGGATCCTGTGTTAATGGCTCAGAATCTAATTCTATCAAATCTGACATGTATTTTTGTGTTTCATCAATTTACCACTGACATACAGAAAACCTGAAGCCAGGTGTAGTTATTGCAGCACAGGAGCTGTGGTGAGGAGCAGGTTCAGAGGAGGAGCTGCTTCAGGAGAAGCAGGAAGGAGGAGGAGCTGGAGGAATCAGAGGTTACAGGAAAGATTGACTTCAGGTGTAAACTCCTTTGTCTACCGGCAGCTGAACCCTGGGTCCTCCTGGTCACAGTACTTTGGTCGAGTGTGATGTGAGTTCTTTTGTTGTTTATTATTAGTTATGTTCAAGTTATGTTAGTGGTTGCCTTATATCATGACTCGATTTTTGTTTTTTGGGATAAAACGAGCAACAATGGTCGGCCATCTACCCGTTCACTGTACAAATAACGACAAATAAACCTGCGATAGTTGGAATTGAACTGCTACTTCTCCTGGTGTCTCGTTGTGCCTGACCGCACACCCACAGTGTTCACATTACCTGGAAACCACCACCACCATACAAGTAATATCAGGCCGCACTAACAGGAGTAGTTGGTCTTTTGTGTAAAATATAATGATTTCATCTATAGTGTCCTCTGCGCTTTGTACTTTGCTTTGGAGACAGCAGGGGCCCAAAAGCAAATTTTGGCCGTGGGGCCACCAAACATGTTAATCTGGCCGTGCTGAGGTCATGACCTCGGTGTCGTCAATGTTAACTAAAGAACTGACTGTGGTGACTAAATATAAATTTGTTGGGAAATGTGGGAATATGCATCTTCAAAGTACAATATCAACTGATCTCCATGATAATGTCCTTGATGTAAGTCCTGCTTTATCACATTATCTTGTTGTTATCTTGTTGTTAAAATCTGTCTATAAAGGAATTGTGTGTCATTTGGGGAAATACACTTAGTTGTATGAGTTAGATGAGAAGATCAATACACACTTCAGTTTTTGTAAATATCAAAAAAGCAAGATATAATGTGCAAATTAGTGAACTTTGGGTGGATTTTATTTAGTTTTAACAGAGTTTCCAGCTTTAATGTAGCTTCATATTTAAGACATGAGAGTGGTATCCATCTGAACAACTAACTCTCAGCAAGAATGTAAATAAGTGTATTTCCCAAAATGTTAAACTCTTCCTTTAAAACCTTTATTGTTTAAGTGGAAGTTTTTATATGCTACATGTTCCCAAAAATAATTTATGTTTCACAGCAAACCTGGGGCTAACATCCCATTTTTGCCCTGTGGCTCCCAACATGACTAAAAATTATACCATATTTTAATCTTGCTAATAACTTGACTCAGTCATGGTGATGATACAGGCCAGAGAGCCTGTAATATTCCCTCAGTACGCTAATCTGCTGTAAAGAAGTAATACTGCTCCATATTTTTCCGGGAAGCCTCTGGGAGCCCCACAAGGACCCCTGGAGGTCCCTGGACACCAGTTTGAGAGCCACAGATATAGGTCACCTTTGTTAAATCATGTCTTGGAGCACAATTGAGGCTCCCAGCCAAAATCATTCTCAGTTGTGAGGACCCAAATCCAAATCTGGATCCATTCAGGCTTCTTAAGTATAAAATCCAGCGATAATCGTAGTTCAGTGAGCCAAAGAAACGCAGCTTTCCATCACATTAGTTAATAAAACACTGAAATAAAAAGTCTGTCTCACACACAAAGCTCTGATTACTTGATTTCTTAATTTAATAATACTCACATACGGTACAGTGTACACATAAGATTTCCTTTACATCTCACAAACACAAAAGCAAACAGTTAAATACATAGATAACCTTTAGCACCGGCATAGAGTTCTGATCCACTCAGCTTTCTCTAAAACTCTTATTCATAGTGATTTTCAAAATAAAACAAAACACCTTAGCTTGATCTCACTAGGCATGGCTTACATGTAATATCTTTACAGCAGCATTCACTTACAAAGGTTAATTGATTAAAAAAGGATGCATACTGTACACCAAAAGAGGTATACAAAAGCAATACTATATTATATACCCATTTACATGGCCGTTTAGGTTTTCTTAGTGTAACATTTACGCGTTTCATGTGTTTTGACAACTTCCGTATCAACACTGATGCTTGATAAAAACATAGAAACATACAAAATAAAAAAAAATGTTCTTATGAGTATACATGAAGAGCCTATGGAGATAATTGGCATGTAACAATCTTGCATATTGAAACATAAATATATCACGTTCACGATGCTCTCATTTTTCTTTATATATACTTACAAGAGAGCTACTGTCTTTCTATGTTATGTTTTGTTTAGGTTATACTGTTTTTTTTTTTTTAAATATTAAAATTATAATAAAAAAGAATGAAAAATCCAATGGGAACATTACTTTTTTGTTACACAGTAATGTGAAAAAATAGTATCAAAATGATTTTCTAAATCTCTCAATCAAAAGGCAATGTAGTATTTAATGCACCATTTTCAGTGATATCTGTTATACATTTCTTGTCAGATGATATATATATATACATATATATATATATGTATATATATATATATGAAGGTTTGTGAGACAAAATGTTTTCTTACACTTCTACACTTATGTTAAAATGTGTATGGTGGATGCATTCCACACTCTGAGAGTTTTTAGTTCAAAATCTGTGCCAAAAGTGGAGTCATTTAAGAATGAGAGAGAGAAAGATCTGGGGCGATTTTGTAATTATCACTAAATGACATCATGGAAATCTTCAAAAACAAAAAAATCTGTACCAAGAGGATCCAACTGTGGCCCTCAAGTCTGTGGATCCCAGAGAGTAGGGTCCCCACTTCCTTTAGGGTCCCCAGAAGTGAGGGGCGTCACTTCGCTTTACATCCCTCTTTTCATTAAGTTTCTCTGCTCAACACTTTAAATAATATATGAATCAATATTTTTAAATAATATATGAATCAATATTTTTTAATAACACTGTATCAAATGATAATGTGACTGTGAAAGCACCTACAGAGAATATTCACCTGAATCTGCAGCACCACTCAGCTTTCCAGAGCTTAATAGCGAGTTTCGGTTCACTCTTTAGCTGACTAGCCCACAAGGTTTTGGTTCAGTGTCTCTTAGCATCGTTTTTAGCCGCAGTAGGCATCTGGTCTCAGCACAAACGCGATGAAAACCCACCGCACACTCCCTGCTCAGCACCAAACAGCAGGGAGACACAGTCAGAGACTAGCTGCTAGTTCCCAAACCGACTTAAAAGGTGATATGACAGTGATGTGTCCATAATTTGTTTCCTCTGCCCCCCAGTGTGTTGTCTGTGAAAGACATACTTGAATATTAAAAGGTACAGCCAGGTTGATGCCACATAAAATGCAGGTGATGTTGGATAAGTTAACATTTATGTTAGCCCTATTATGTCAGCATTAATATCAGCATTAAGTTGGATCCTATCCTTACCCTACTCTACCCCAACTACTCTACTCCAATTTTCTTCACACTTTCCTGTTTAAATGCAAATGTTGGATACAAACGTCTTCATAAAAGACCAAATCTGTCCAGTAATGCCTGAACCTTTAAAGCTTCAGCATCATACAGGAAGTTACAGTAGTGTTTCTTCCTCATTCTGAGCAAAAAGGAGTTAAATTAATCGTACAAGTAGTATTAAAAGTAGTAGCTTATTTGCTTTTATATGTTTATGGCAGAAAAGGAAGTGACACTCACGCTCACTTTCTTTAAGGGGACCCAAAAGAAAGAGACTCACCTCATGTCTGGGGACCTAAGACCTGAAGTCCCCAGACGTGACCCTACTCAAACGTGCTCTCGGATTCATTCTCGGGAGGAGATATATATATATCGTGGAAGGTTTTCAGAACTTAGTCTGCTTTAGTTTGTCGATGTGGTAGCAAAGCTTCAAGGCCGGCCCCAGCTTCAGTCCGAGGTACTTCATGATCATGTCACTCTTCAGGAGTAACAAAGCGTTTCCGTCAATCTCCTGAGAGGAAAAGAAGAAGAAGAAGTTGGTGTCAGATCAGTGAGAGATAGGTGACCAGCCGAGGTGATTTCAATTGGATATTCAGTCCGGCCAATTAAATCAGCAGTTAATTAAATCAGCCGTGTAATGAGTCAGCTTGTCGGGAACACAGTGGACTTACATGTTTTCTAAAGACGTCTGCATGGGGGCCGAGAGCCTGGGGGTCTGCGTCCCTGATGAACCAGACAACATCTTCCACAGACCAGGTGGATGGGTCCTTATTGGGTGGAGCTTTGGACTCCTGGGACTCTGGAGATGCATTATAACCTCCTGCAAGAACAAAGGAAAGAAAGGAGCTTTACTTTTGTTCTTCCGGGAAATAAATATGGACACAACCTCGGTTTTGCTTTCTCCCCCTCCCTCCCCCCGACTTCTCACCTGTCCTGTTGCTCTCTGGGAATGTGTTTGGGCTGGTGGACGACTGCCTGCACATGCTCATGGAGGCCGAGCCGTTGGAGAACTGCTGTGATGAACGAAACCCGTAGGAGGACTTTGGTGAGTAGGACGAGCTTATGGAGCTGAAAGCAGAGTCGCCGGGGTCCACGGAGTAGCGTTTGCCGTCCGACTGGTCTAAGTGGTAGTCCTCGGCCATAGATGTTTCAGCTGAAGACAAGATCAGAGTCAAAATTAGCTGGAAGAATTTCGCCATATCAACACAGTAGCTTCTTCTAAGCTTCTTCTAAGTACCATCTGACTGGTAGGAGCCACCACTGTGCTGGGTAATGGGCTGATCGCTGAAGAGGTTTTCACAGTGCAAGCTGCGACAGAGTTTCTTCAGAAAACGAAGCACATAGTCGATGCTATTCACCACGGGGAGGCTGAGAAGGTGCTGCTTCCCATCAAATGTGGCTGAAAGAGCAAAACAGGGAGGCCACTTGAAACAACAGCACAGTTTGGAAACAATTTTGTACAAATGAGGTCATTAAACTTTTACTAATGGTAGTGGTTTCTCAGTTCCACCTCAGGTAAAGTGGTAAGAATTTTATTGAAGGGTATTAAACAAACAGAAAACAACACCTGAGGGGGGTCTTTGTACAACACCTGATATTTTTTCTCCCCCGTAGCCTTGCGTGAGGAGGGTGAACACTGTTTTCTGCTGGAAGGCGCTGTCGATGCAGCCTTGGACGGCCTGCTGCAGCACCACGGAGGGTCTGTCGGGTCCAAAGTGATCAGGGAGCTGCTGGATCTTCTTCCTGTCCAGGTTGGGGCCCGTGTTGGCCTGCTTGTTGATGTAGATACAGACTAGTACAGAAAAAAAACAAAAACGGGTGGAGATAGGAAAAGAAAAGGAGAAACGATAGAATGAGGGAAGAAATTATACTTTGACTTTCAGTGTCTTTAAACAAACCCAGACTGGGGTTTAAAGCCAAATAAAGGCCTTTAATGCTTCTTACATGTGGTTCAGAGTGTTTTGTGTCCTACCTGTGAGCACCTGGGGCGTGGCAGAGTGGGGGATGGTGGCGGCATCCTGAGGAATGGAGCTCATATCGGGTTCAGGGGTGCTGCTGGGTGGAGAAATAGCCAACGGCGTCATCACCATCCTGGGTTTGAGCTGCGGAAAAACAAAATGTTTTTGCATTCCTGTGTTTATTTTGGGGAGGATCATTTATTTATGCATACTAAATGATGTAGGGAGGGGGATGGTAGAATCATCTGGATACGAAATCTGTATAAAGCTGTAGTTTTTAATGCTACAGATGATGAGTTTTGTGTATTTATGAATTGAAAAAGCAGATATTTATAATAATGACTTTCTCTAATAATGACACAAAAATGTTTCCCTGATATTTGACTACAGCAGAACAAAGCCCCGCAGATGTTGAGTCTCTCTCTCTGTTGCACTGGGGTCCCACAAAATCTGAAGGGCATGGAGCCTGTGTGTCTGTGTCTGTCTGTGTACACATGCATTTTTAAACACACTGCATCCACACACCACATCTCATCCCCCGTCCCCCCCCACCACCACCACCACCACCACCACCACCACCACCACCGATCTGGCTGACCTTGAAGCCCGGCTTTCTCCCCCTCTTCTTTGGCACTTTGAGTGGTGGGAGCGATTCAGGGTAACGATTAGGAAAATCCATCTTGGCGACATTGCGGAGCGGGGGTCTCCCTCTCTTCCTGCCCGGTATCTTCCCCGTCTGGCTGGGGATGAAGGAGGGAGCCACTGCAGCTGATTGCATTTCACTGTTGTTGCCGTCTGATTTCTGTGCCGTTGCTGCAGGTACACTCATTTGGAGCTGGAGACAAAGGAAAACAACCATTGAGCTCAGGCAATGGAAATGCATAAAAAACATGCACTTTACTTACACATTAATCCTCCGCCTCAGCAGCTACATATCAGAGAGCAGCATTAGCATCAATTTAGAGCAGACACAAGAGGAAGCAGAATGGCTTGGCAGAGGTGTGCAACGGCAACATCCAAACACTAACACACTGCAGAAGACTCAGATGAGCAATGCGGTGAGAGGAGCAGATTTTAGCAGAGCACTATAATAATCGAACAACACAAAAGGCAGCCATGCAAGAGCTGTGGAGGAAACAGCACCTCCATCCTGCACTGATAGCACACCAATAAACCAGAGAGAGAGAGAGAGAGAGAGAGAGAGGGGGAGAGAGAGAGAGAGGGAGAGAGAGGGAGGAAGGGGGAGGGAGGGGGTGTCTATTACCTGCTATCTTCTATTGTGAAAGCCCAAGAGCCAAGCCCTTTAGTCTTAAATCTCAGGAGCCTAAAGGTGACTATAAAGCTAAATCCCTCACAATGCAGGGGAAAGCATCTTGCTCTTGCTGTATGTGCCTTTTTCCTCGTCCCCTTTTGGTTAACACACTGCTACTGCTGCTGCTGCTGCTGCTGCTGCTGCTGCTGCTGCTGCTGCTCGGCACACAGGCTGCAGACATCTCATTAGACTAATGCATTCAGCAGTGGCAGAGGGAGGGGGAAATTGACTTCACCATGGCTACCCAGCTATGAATTACCATTACGATGACAGCTTCCCCCCTAATCTTTAAAAAAAAAAAAAAAAAAGAAGTAACAGCTACAAGAAAAGAAACATGTGACACATCTTCCATGCAGCAGCAGCAGCAGCAGCATCAGAGCCAAACAGAATGAAGAAACTGCAATTTATAGCATTCAAAACGATCTTGCTTTAAGCAGATTTGTCAAAGGATACAGTATGTAAACAAACAATAACCCGTCAGCAAGCACTCACCATCCAAAACAGATGTGTAGATGTGGAGTATCCCTACGCTCCGTGCTGTGTTTCCTATATTTTTCCTGCTTCCAATAGCAGAGCACGGAGCTCAAAGCAAGGCGGATTCCACTGTAATACTGTATGTGTGTGTGTGTGTGTGTGTGTGTGTGTGTGTACAACAGAGAGAGACAGACAGAGAGCGAGTGACCGTGTGTGTGTGTGTGCATTAAAGAGAGAGAGGGGGAGAAGGGCTGCTCTGTTGTCATGGCAACAAGCCCGTAAGCCCTGGAACACCCTGACCGTTGTCTGCCATGTTTTGTCTGCGGCTCAGTGCTGTGGAGGTATAATTAGAATGAGGACAGTTTCTGCTGTTAATCAAAATGAGAATATTAATTGAACAGTTTGAAAATATGAATGTAATACTTTTATTTATTGTTATTATTATTATTATTATTATTGTTATTATTATGATTATTATTTATTTTTCTCTTTTTCTATAGTGTTTACAGCGGTGTAAAAGTGTTATTGTGTGCTATAAATGGTTTATTCTCACAATTGTGGAGCTTTAATTCTCATGTTTTGATGGTAAGAAGATCATTTTAGTCATTTTTAAGCAAAAGTGCCAAACGTTTGCTGGTCCCAATGTCTCAAATGTGAGGAGTTGTTGCTTTTCTTTTGTCATATATGATAGTAAACTCAATATATTTAGCTTTTTGTCTATTGGTCTGACTATTTTTGACTATTATTTTGTCTAAACAAAACAAAGCATCTGAACCTTGAGCTGTGGCAAATTATAACAGGCATTATTCACTATATTAATCAACAAAATAATGATACAATGACAATGATAATGAAAATAATCATCCGTCCCAATTAATCATAATTGTGCACAATACTCACACTGCACCTGCTTTGTATAGACTAAACGATCAATCTAGAAAATAATTGTGATCTTAATCGATAATGAGAACAGTCATTAGCTGCAGCCCTAGATTCATTATTCACACTGCTGCTATCAGATATTAAAGCTGCAGATAATATTTGAGCTGACACAAAACATCAATCAGAAACCTCTAAGTCATTTTTCAACACCTTCTCGTTCCTAATTCTCAAATGTGATAATGTGCTGCTTTTCTCTGTTTTATATCATTGTGAAATTAATATTGTTTTTTTTTTTTTGTTTTTTTTACTGTTGATTAGACAAACAATCTATTTAGAGATGCCACCTTGGTTTTCTGACATCCTATGCAATTAATCAAGAAAATAATAGCTGGATTATATAGATGGAAACAATTTATATTATATTGTATCTTATTTTATATTTCATTCTTGTCTTGGGGTCTTTTATGTCCTGTGTAGAGCTCTTTGAAATGCTTTGTTGTTGACTTTGTTGTAACCTTGCTTTGCATTTATCATCACAATTTCAAGCATTGTTATGATTACAAAACTGTTCATTATAATGCTATCATAACACTATATGTATTGTGATATCATTATAATATTTCGTGTTAATAAATATGTTGTCTAACAAAAAGAGAAATTATACAATCCAAGATACAGAATTCAGAGAAATTTCGCCCCCTGCTGGTTGACGTGTTTCCGTTTTATGTCTTTGCTAATAAAGTTAAGTTGACGCAATTTGAAACCAAGATGGCGGTGCACATACCGCTGTCTTTAAAGATGTCACCCTCAGCTTTACTGGGCTTTAAGTGTCTATTTACAGAACAGTATTCTTCCAGAAAACTGCTAAAATCTTTAACGGAGCTCTGCAGACGAGGTGAGGCGAGTTTTTGGTGAGTCGCTGTGACGGCTGAAGTGTTAAAAGTGTTTGTCCTGTGCTGTAAACAGTCTTAAAGTCGACCTAGCTCTGCTTTTAATTTCACTCTAGTAGCTACTTCACGCTCTCTCACAATGAACCTGGTTTTTAATCACAATATATTTGACCTGTTTTTATAAACTCACCTTGATATTTTCACTGGGTTTCACTGGGCTGACGGGGTCCTGCCCTGTCAGCTGTCAGACTAGCTAACTAGTCACTTGCTAACCTTTGGTCTTTGTCCACAGGTGCGACATTATCGTAACTTTCCGCATCAATAAGCGTCTTTTTTGCGAACATCTGAGGTGTAAACAGACGAGCTCAAGCACCCGTACTGTCTGTGTTGTTATAATTTTCTAAGGATACTCCGTGAAAGCCCAGCAGGCGGTGGAGGAGGGTGGTGTCAGCGCCGCCGGGTTCAGCGGCCCTCTGGATCACTACAGCGGGCTGATCCGAGACGGGACACTGCGGGAGGATGAGCATCAGAAAGCGGTGCTACACAAACTGGAAGAGCTTCACAAAACACTCAGAGGATACAGCAACACACCGACATCCATCTTCTCCAAGGTAGACAGGAAGGCTCCTAGGATGCTTTCATTCATAAACCTGTATTTAAATGGAGAAAAAAAAAATCACATCAATCAATCAAACAAACTTTATTTGTATAGCACTTCTCATACAGGTTAGTGCAGTTCAAAGTGCTTCACAGATGACTGACAAACTAAAAAGATGTATACTTTGGCTGGAAAAATGATTGAACTGGATGACTCATGCAGTTGTATGCAAAGGTAATGACAACTTACATATGAATAATGTGTAATAATGTTGATTTTTGAAGTGAAAAGTAGTAAATACAACCCTTGCAGCAAACAGACATTATAAAAATTGCACTATTAACTTAAAAAAAAGGCATGTACAAAAGTTTGGGCTCCCCACTAAGTCAGTGCTTATTAACCCCCCTTTGGCAGATGTCACAGCTTGCAGATATTTTTAGTCTGTCTTGCACACTCAGCATGTTTAAGATCTACCCACAGATTTGCAGAGATGTTCAAGATTTGGTTTGTGTTCACTGAGGTAGTTCATGGTGGAATTTGAGGTCTGATGTGGATCATTGTCTCGTCGTAGAGGCCGGCCACTTTTCTGTTTCATTTGCTTGACTGACTGACTGCAGAACATCTGTATCCAGAATTTTCTGATATTTAGTGTAACCCACCAGGTTTTGTTTATATAACTTATTCACCCTAATATTTTACTGCTGTTGAATTTGGAAAATAGTTCTTGTTTGCCATGGTGATGGAGCCAGGTCAATTTTGGATTCCCTTTGATGTTGGATTACTGTGATCTAAGTTATTGAAGCATTGCTTTTTATGCTTTAGAGTTTTACCATTTGTTTTGAGATCATTTTAAAATCTGCTTTCAATTTTTTTTGTTCTCTCTTTATATCTTTCAGTTTTTCACAAAACCCAAACCTCCTAAAGGCTACTACATCTTCGGTGACGTTGGTAAGGAATACAGAGTTGAAAATCTAAATCTATTCCTTCCTCTAACTTCTGTATATTAGTTTTGATTTGACTGTCTTACGTGATCTTTCTTTTTTCAGGCACAGGAAAAACTATGGTCATGGACATGTTTTATTCACATGTGGAGACTGAAAAGAAGAAGAGGGTTCATTTCCACGGCTTTATGTTGGACGTGCATAAAAGTGAGTACACTTCATATGCTGAAGCAGCACAGTGTCACAGTTTTCACAATTAAGCTGTACCAAAAAACCAATGAACTGTGTTCATTGTTGTCAGTTTTCTTCGTCTCTAACAGCCACTAGAGGGCAGATAAGCTCTGAATAATCGAATGAATAAACAAGTTATTTTTTACAAAAGGTGGAATTTGTGCTCCAAGATGCAAAGGCTGTTTGGTGCCGTGGGAAGATCCATACGCTTATATTTGGCACAAATGAGCGTGGTGTGTATTCCAGAAAGTGGGCTTAGTGAAAACCCTGAGCGTGTTAATCTGGAGTTGAGGGTAACTGAGTTTTCATCTCCAGAAACAGAAAGCACTTTAACGCTGAGGCAGTTACTGTGGTAACTTTAAGTCTGTGAAGGTGGCCTGCTCACTGGCTGGTGTTCAACCCTGAGTCTCTTTCTCTCTCTCTTTCTCTCTCTCTCTCTCTCTCTCTCTCTCTCTCTCTCTCTCTCCTCCTCCTCCTGCTGAGCCTGAAGAAGCTTCTGACAAGCTGCTTCATTTCCTTATTCATACACTTGATATCAAAGGTCACGTCGGAGCAAAGGTTTTCATTGAGAGAAGATTAAAATCCCGGTTAGACATTAGTTTAATACCCTCTTTACTAATGTTGCCTCTTATGATCAATCAGAAAAAAGACGATAGAGACAATGACCTCTGTCCTTGCGTTCATATATTCCACATGGCAATCAGTTAAGAAAAAAATCTGTACACTGTCGACCTTTATAACACTGACTCTTATCAGTGTGTTCCCCTGCACTGACACATTTACTGTAGATCAATCACTGTAAATTTAAAAAAAAAAAAAAAAAATCAATGTTGAACAACTTAAATTGTGATTGATCGCACTGACGGAACATCCCTATCATAGTTGTCATCTCATATTGGAGATTGTGTGAATATTTCTGAGTGAGGATGATTGTCGAGCGGCTGAAAACAAGGCTGGGTTAAACAGCGAGTTTTTGAATATAGGCTGCATATAGTCTTAACTTGTTTAACGACAGTTCAGTTACTACGTTTAAATTTACTACATGTCGAAAAATAGCATAATATATCAAATATGCAGCTTATGACACACAAGCACTCAGTTTTAACCTGGATGCTTTTTCAACTGCAAATCACCAGAATCTTTAGTCTGTTACTGGCTCAGACTAGAGGTTACAACCATAGGTTTAGAAGTAAACTTGTGTCTTATCCTTTTGATTTACAGCTGAATAAATGTAAAAAATTTGAATGTAAAAAAAACTTCAAGCTTTATTGTCCATTAAGGAAATTCAGGTCTGCTAATGAATGAGTGGATTATACTGAATGAAATGTAAATAGTTTGACCCTATTGACTCTTTTCTATAGCTCAGGCTCTTTCAGTGCTGCTGTGTGTGAGATAAATATGCATTATCACACATTAATATTTCTACCTCCTCTGAATTAAAATGGAGAGGCTGCTCTTTATTGGTACGTTTCCATGGTGAATCGTAGTATCTGAGCTCCATTCATGATGGCCTTTTTTCATTCACCACCCCCACACTTGACTCAGAGTGAACATGCTCAGAGTTGCTAACACTGAACAGCTGCTCTGGCAGTGAAAACTCGTATCTCAGGGTTCATCAACTCAGAGGTCAGGCTTAAGTTCAGTTCCTGCTTTCTGGATTTTGTGGTTACCATCTACATTGTCAGTAAACCGATGTGAACATCTGTTTTATATCCTAGTTGGTGTGGTCATAATGACTGTGTCCAATCCCCACTCACATGAGATGTAAAAATCTTGACCTAACCCCAAGTGTTTTTTATCTTTTATTTTGTATTTTTTTTGCCGGAAAAGCATCATTGTCCTTGTCACCATATGGGACTGTTTGTCTATATGGCAGAATTGCCACCAGCAGGGGGCGACACCGTCTCTTGTCCTACTCATTAAGCCGACTCATTATCACCTGTCAGTGGTTACAGACAACTCAATGAATCAGCAGCTCTGTGCCGGACAGTTTGCATCTGAGACGCTGCACTTCCTTGTTAATATTTTGGTTTTCAAAGCCAAGACCAAGTCCAAACGACCAAAAACCATCACAGTAGTGAAGTAATTAGTTGCATATTTATGTCCAATACAAGGGTCTTGTTTTGATACAGCTGTTAGATAAGCGCTTCACTACACGCTACATTCAAAGTATTTAGAACATTGCAGCGCTGTGGTTGCTGAACCGAGCTTATATTTCCTGTTTAGTCACCACATTTCAGTTATGTTGCATTTAAGGCAATGCATATGTGTTGTGTTATAAATGCAAACTGCTGACAAAGCATTTTCAAACGCGTGTAGTGAAACTCCAAAACTTCTGTCTCTCCCAAGTCTCAAGTCCTGTTCTTTGATAAGGTTAAAGATAACAGTAATCAGAAATATGTAGCAAATATTTATTACATTGAAAATATGTGAACTGATTTCACCACTTTTACTTATTCACTCTAACTTGTAACCATGTATTTGTGTGTATTCAATTGTTCTTACAAACTACAAAAGCACACACTTCTTTGTTTTTTCAGGGATCCATCGGCTAAAACAGAGTATGCCAAAGCGGAAAGCAGGGAAAATGGCCAAGTCCTATGACCCCATTGCTCCAGTTGCCGAGGAGATCAGTGAAGAGGCTTGTCTTCTATGCTTTGATGAGTTTCAGGTATTGATCTTTCAGAGTTTCTACACACCACAGTGCCTATTTTTCTAACAGATACTTTTATAGGAGTCTGGCAGTCTCTGTACAGTTTTGGTGTCTACAGTACACTGAACGTCAGCAGTGCTGTGCCCAAAGTTAGTTCATCTCTAAAATACATTTCAGGTCACTGATATCGCTGATGCCATGATTCTCAAGCAGCTTTTTGAGAATCTGTTTCTGAACGGAGTCGTTGTTGTGGCCACGTCTAATCGTCCTCCTGAAGGTAAGAAGCTAGTGTCGTAATACATGTATGTCTGGATACAATAACATACTTCAAACTAGGATGTAGATTTCACGAACCATTTAAAGCAAATGTAAATAAAATCTTATTTGTCGTCTTCCTTCAGACTTATATAAAAACGGGCTGCAGAGAGTCAACTTTGTGCCTTTTATTGCCGTGTTGCAGGTATGAACGTAGAGTCAGTTTCACTGAGAATCAAGGATACCAGTTGCTATTTGTGACAAGCTTTTTAAAGATATTTTTAAAGGCGCCTGCTGTTAATCATTTGTCTCTCACATGCAGAAATATTGCCAAACTCTTCGTCTGGACTCTGGGATAGATTACCGCAAAAGGAACAGACCCTCTGCTGGAAAACTCTACTTCCTGTATGAAATTCTTCTTGTAAAGCAGTCAGTAAAAGCCAGTGTTTGATCCGTTGTGTAAATGCACTGGCTTTTTTGTATTTAATGTTTCCCTGTTACATTCACTGTAGCTCCAGTGAGCCTGATGTAGAGGCAACACTAGACAAGATGTTTGATGAGCTGGCTTTCAAGCAGAATGACAGTAAGTGCACTTTCAGATGGTACTTGACTTATTTCAACAACTGATGTGTAATTTGGATATTATTTTATCTTTTTTTTTTTAATATATTATATAGTGTACTTAGCATATTATGTTTCCTCTACAGTAACACGACCAAGAGTTCTGAACGTTCACAACAGAAAAGTCCTTCTGAACAAAGCTTGCGGGACCATCGTAGACTGTACGTTTGAGGAGCTGTGTGATAGAGTAAGTCTTTTTGCATGTATCATAGAAAGTGGGTTTTTGTTTGTGTTTCTGTCGATGGGCAGTGGCGCTCAGTTGTCAGCATGTTATTGTTGTGTTGAATCAGAAAGAGATTAAATCAGTCAAAAAACATTTTCCAAAGCAGTGTTCATGATGACTAAGCAGGAGCAGTCGATAACTTGAAACTCACATGAAAGAAAACTTTCATGTGAGTCATTAGGTTTTCAGTGTGACTGGATTTCTCCATGTTCTGTGCTTTTGAAGCTAGATCATGATAATATTTCATCAAATATCACAAACATATTTTTTACAGCTTCACCTTCATAACAAATCAATCTGGACTCGTGTTGCATCATTTTATAAAGCTTTCCCTGCAGTTCAGCCTCAGCCTATTTGGTGTCTTTTGAAATGCTTGGAACTCAACCAGAATTTAAAGTTCAACAGGTTTGAGCAGTTCCTGGTTGTGTGAAGTGTTTGAGTGATGGACTGACTAATGACTCTGTACAGGCTGAAGCAATCCACAGAAATCCCAAAACTCATGGAAGTGTAAAGTTCACAGCAACTTAAACAGAAGTGATTTGAATAGATACCAGCCATAAAATTTGTGACGTCTAGCGTTTTGAATTTAAATGTTTCAGCCTTTAGGGGCCAGTGACTACCTGGAGATCTCCAGGCTGTTTGACACCGTATTTATTCGGCACATTCCTCTGCTCACACTGAACAAGAAAACTCAAGCCAGGCGTCTCATAACGCTCGTGGATGCCCTCTACGACCATAAGGTACACTACACTTATTTGCTTCCACATTTAAAAACAAAAAAAACCCAAAAAACTTCAGACTTTTGTATGAGAGTTTAACAGTAAATCATCTGTTATCTCAGGTGCGGGTGGTGATTCTCGCCGACCACCCTCTGGAGGACATGTTCGTACACGACGGGGATCATGGTCACGACGAGAGCCACATTCTGATGGACGATCTGGGGCTGAAAAGGGTAGGAGCTCTGCGACTCTTTTTGAACAGCAAAACCAGTTTTTCAGTTGGGTGTGTACATTCGATTGTAAATGTAGATAATTAAACTGATTGAGGCTGTTGGCCGTCAGTAAGTCAGCCTACTCTGTGTGTGTGGGCACTGTAAAAATCATATTAACCACTATATCAGTGTATTACTTAATTTCTTTTATATCAAGTAAGGTGATAAACCTCTGCCAAGAATGTTCAGTCCTACCGCACCTGGATTTAGATCACACACAGATTATTTAGAGTGAGTGCAGTAGTTCTTCTTACGATATCCTGCTAAATAACTAATTAACAGACGAATGGGAATAAAAATTTAACTTGCCTTAGTCATGATAACACTGCTCTATTTTTAGAAGTAAATTATGTATCTATGGAAACTGCTGTGTGAAATCATCTCACTCCAATGGCAAATTTCTTTCCTGCTTTCAATTAAAAAAATCAGTTTTTGACGTTCACATCATCAGTTTATATAATCTCATAACTCATTTGAAACGTTGAAATAAGTTTCTCAAGTTTACAGTTATTTTTTGTTTCAATTGTAAAAGAATACATTTGAGGGGCGCCCCACTGGTTTAAGGATTGACATGCCGACCGTGAACTCAAACGACCCCAGTTCATGTTCCACCCCAGGGACCTCTGTTGCATCTCCCTCTCTCTCCCTCGTTTCCTGTCGTCTCTCAACTGGCATTATCTAATGCCTCAAAAATGATTTTGAAAAATGAAATTGACTAAACATCAGAAAAAAACATGAAAGCATCAAGACAAAAACACAACTGAGCATCAAAAGGAAGGTTTGTCTAAACATGATAAGACTAAAGATTTAAGATTCTCTGAGGTCCCTTTTCTAAAGACTAAAGATTTAGAAGATAAAGATTGAGGATAAAGAATAAAGATTGGTGTAGAATGACTCTTTTATTGAATGGTCTTTTTTCTTTTTAAACTAATTTAAAGCAGTGCACCTCAACAAAAGAACTTAGCATCCCGAGTTTCACTAAACTGTTTAATTTTAAATTTTAACCCCCTGTGGTCTAACAGGAAGAAGCCAGCAGTCTGTCCATATTCAGCGGGGAGGAGGAAAGATTTGCCTTCCAGAGGACAGTGTCTCGACTCACAGAGATGCAGACTGAAGAATATTGGTTGGAAGGGGACAGAAGCACCAAATCGCAGGTTTAACATTTGGGAAAAGTCGACCGTGTTACACAACGTCCATACTTCATACATTGTTCTCCTCCTCTGCCAAACACAGTCCAGACGGAACATTACTCCTACTCATCTTATCCAGCACAAACGCAACGGGACTGCTCAACAGCGTGTGTGTGTGTGTGTGTGCGCGCAAATGTTGTACAGAGAATATTTATTGATATCTTAAGGCCTTTTATGACTTTATTGCGATGTTGCACTTTACAGATAATTTTTAAGATGAACTTTAGGGTGTCATATTGCTTTTAACTCAGTATCATATAGTGGTCCAACTGTATTTACTTTTATAAATCTGTGGGAAAAAGCTGAATGACTTTGGGAAATGGATTTGCAACAAGTTATTGTGAAGATTTAAGTGACATTTTAATGTATCTCTTTTGAGATACGTAATATTTTTGAAAATGTAATGCATCTCAATGAGTTATATATGATTCCAACACAAGTCTAAATACAGTGGCAGGAGATTGGCCTGGGTATTTGAAGCCGAGTGTTTATTTCTGATGATTTATGTGGATGCTGCTTGTGAAATTATGAAATTTCACAGATGCACTGAAAAATAACATTTGGCTCCATTCACCAGTTTTTTTTTTCATTTGCAGGATGAAAAGGAAACATCAAGCATGTAGCACAGGAAGTGTTTTAGTTCACATATTGCTTATATATTTTTATGCAGTTGTCTTCATAAATGAAACCAGTGAGTGTTTTGGTGTGGGAAGTGGTTGATGTTTAACTGGTTGCCTGTTTACATGTATATATAGATATATATTTCTTATTTAAAACAATCAGCATTCGCTCTACAAATACAAAGACGAGACTGTGTGGGAAGTGAAAGCGAGAAGAAAAAAAACTAAACTTCATCTCAGTTCATCTCCAGTACAAACACTAGTGTCATCTGTGCAGACAGTTGGTGCGATTTTATTTAGTGGAGTTTGAAGTTATTTTGCAAAAATGAAGTCTTGTTTGAATCCTAAAATCCATGAACTTTAAACCCTGAACCAATGCAATCCACTTTGTAGAGTGAAGTTATGTTACATTACTCTTGATGCTGACACGACAAGAACAACAACCACCAGCGATGTAAAGTAGTGAGTTTGGTCAAGTAAGTATTCCTCCGACTCGTAGATTTTTGGTTGAATAGTAGCAGTACTACTATTACTTCTGTATTTGGAAAACTCTACTACTTCATGCCAACTAGTTGTAGTATTAGTAGCAGTAATATAGTAGCTTGTTGTCTCACTATGATTAAAATTAATATTATATTAATAAGGATATTTATTCCTCGTGATGACATGTACACATTTATCTGTGTGTACACATACACTTTCAGTACAGTATATGTATATAATGTGTTAATGCCTATGTTGGTATATATGTGTCTGTACACACTTAAACAGTTAAGACGATATATGATCATATCCTCATATGATTCCTTTTGGAAATCAATATACTTAACATACTATTTCTAAGCCAATTACTCACTTTTTTAAATGAATTTTAATATGAGTAATTCAACTTTCACATCAGGTAAGTGTTTCAAATATGGCAGCTACCATTCGTGTTAAAACAATTGACATTTTTGTTTTGTATTAATACTGACTATTTCATAAGCTGCTATATTATTTTACATTATTATATTGAATTATTACTGAGGTCATGCCCTTTTTAAAGGAATTTTAAGGTATGTTGATTTTGTAATTTGATAACTTTTCGGGCCAACAAATGAATAATTACAGAAAGGATTCAGTATTTCTCCAGTAGAATATTTTTCTGACCAACGTGCGGATAGAAAATGTAATTTTAAAGTTTTACACATGGTTGTCTCATCAAAATTGAATGGCCTCAGTATTTCTAACCCCCTGGTGTTGGTCCAGGCTTCAGGGCAGTGTTGCACAGAATCCTCAACAATACAGGTAAGTACCGGAACTGTTACTTCAACTTTATTAATTGAATATTTAAATTCAATAACAGCAGGACCGATACAAGACCGAGGACAGTGATGTCACTGCTGAGCGGACATGTCCACACTGTCTCTTTAATTTCAGTGCGGTCCAGGGGGCAGGATCGTGTTTTTTTTTTCCCTTTCCCCTTCTCTTGGACTCGGAGCGTTTGCACCAACCACAGCAGCAGCAGATTGAATGAAGTGTCTTCGCAGGCTGCTGCTGGCCACACGGAGGACACCGTGCTGGTCTGTTCAAGATGACACAGATCTACAGCCAGAATGCATTATCTTTTTTAGTTGTTGAAATGGCGGTTTTGTGCCTCGCCACATTTCTCTAGAAGTCCTTTTTTTTTTTGTGTGTGTTTTTTTTGTTTTTTAAATAAGCTGCAGGGCCTTGAGAAACCAATCTCCGCCTTGATGGTATCTGGACAGCAGCGCACTGCTCAGGCGACTGGCAGCTCTCTGCACGGATGATAAAGGACTTGGGAAAGGAAATAGTCAAGATGGCAGCTGTGTACGGAATGATAAAGCTGATGTGCTGACATTAGATGAAGTCATTTTCATTTTCTTCTGGCATGCACGTCGCAGGATCGCGGTGCAGGACGCGGGCGCTTAGTAAAGGAACGCCGTTTGGATTCCTCCAAGACTCTCCGCGGACTCTTCCTATCTTTAACTCCACATTTCGCGAAATTGCAATGCATGTTGGTCAGGGTGTGGGCTGTGCATGAGAAAAGGCAATGTTTTGTTAATGCTGGTCAGCCCGATCCGCTGTGTGTGCCGCGGATAGACGCCTTGCAGGAGGACAGATAGACAGACACGTGCTGGGACTGGGCTGCAGGCTGGACATTTGCATATCGTGCATAGTAAATAAAGTGTCCCTGAAGCCTGAACACAACATTGATGGAATGCGACCCGAGTGATTTTATAACCCTTTGTGCAACGAACGAGATATTGCGATTAACATGGCTGAGGCGCCGCGCATCGGCGACGAGCCTCCCTTAAACGTTGAGATAGATCCGGATTTCGAGCCTCAGAAGCGGCCACGGTCCTGCACTTGGCCCCTGCCCCGACCGGAGTCTGGTGCGGGCAAACCCGGGACAAATGACACTGACGTAATCCCTGAAGAAGAGGATGATGAGGGCGGCAGCACGGGGAGCGGCGCTGCTCAGAAAGCCAGCTGTGGTGTTATTAAAGCCCGGGAGCAGAGCAGCAGCAGCAGCAGCAGCAGAAGCTCCATCTCCCAGCCCGTGGAGGTCCAGCGCGGCCCCTGCAAGGAGGAGGCCGCCGACGGCTCGCCTTCCTCCGCGCATACCCCCGCCGCGGCTCTGGGCGGCTCTGCCTCCCAGCAGCTGAGGAAGTCCTCCGCCCGCAGGAACGCCTGGGGCAACTACTCCTATGCAGACCTCATTACCCAAGCCATCGAGAGCTCCCCCGAGAAAAGGCTGACCTTGTCCCAGATCTATGACTGGATGGTGAGGTCTGTGCCATATTTCAAGGACAAAGGCGACAGCAATAGCTCTGCTGGCTGGAAGGTGAGCGGTGACATGCTGGTGCTGTCATCATAACAAAGACCATACTGTGGTCATGTAAAGACACAATGCACACAGCTATAGTTAATGTAGAGATGGAGGAGCAGGGTACAAACAGTGGCTGTGTTGTTTGCAGACACCACCACATACAGGATGAATTTCAGGTTATATTTTTAGCTTTATTATCATCAGGTATATTTGGTTGTCAGAGATAATCAGCAGGGAATTGGGAACTGTGTGGCTGCCTGACAGGCACATGGTGTTAAATGACTTATGACCCAAGCTGCTGTCAAAATACAAGACTACAGTTGTAGTAGAACGTGCATCACATTACACGCATTATTACTTTTGCACCTAAAGGAAAAAAAGCAAATCAAAGTGCACACTAATCCAGTAAAAACAAAGTAGTGGGTATGAAAGTCGAGACACGGAACAGGCAATGCAAAGTTAATTTCACTTTCAGACAAACTGGTCACACTGTTACACAGGGGCTTCATACAAGCTTCAGTGGGGCCCTGTTTGCTTCTGTTTGATTTTAAGGATTAGTACAGGCCTGGAAAACCAATTCATCTGTCATGGAATCAAGTCTGATGAAAGCTTTGAGCTTTGCAGGATTTAGATTGGAGGGGGGGTTAGAAAAACTCTGGAAATAGGTTTGTAATCCCACACAACTGTGGATGTGGGATGCAGGCCGATTCCAGGGAGTTTCTTCATGAAGAAATTACAGTAACAGTGAAGATTGTGCTTTTTAAAAAAAAAAAAACCTTGTCACGTTGCTTTGGCATGTTCAGAATTAGGGTATAAAACATGAGCAATCTGTATGAGAACCAAATTGATGCTAATAACTGATTAATCTGCACAGAATCAGCTGGTTAGTTAATTCTTTAGATTAATGGAGGTCAGTTTTCATTCATGCTCCGATGCTCATTTGCCACCAGATGCATTCGGTGGCTGCAGACAGACAGTGGCTTGCAGAGGAAAGGGTTAATGTTAGGGTTTCAGAAGAGCTGACATCAGCATTTCCTAGGAGATGCTTTGTAGCTGTGTGACATTCAGCTATCAGCTTAAGGTTGGTCATCTGCAAGAGGGGACTGTGTGCAAAAATGTTCTCAGCTGGACTGTGGGGTTGTAAATCCAGAGCTGTCACACGTCTCACTCCCATTAAAAAAACACACACACAAAAAAAAAACAGGATAACGCCACATTCAATGACTGGCTTCATCTGTAGCTCCAACATGAGGATAGTCCCCCCCCCCCTCATTGTTGTGAATCCAAACTAAATATTTAGCTTCCTATATGGATGACCAGGCAGCGGCTCAGCCCTGCTGTGTGCCACACTGTCTTTTCATGTGGCCCGGGCACAAGAATCAATCAGCTGACTATAAATTATGTAGGTCAATGTGTAGCAGTGTGAGAGAAGCTCAGTGTTTCTCTTTGGATCTGGCTCTGGCTAAACTGGCGTTGCTCCAGTCCCCGTTCAGACCGAGGCATTGCTCAAAGGGTATTGCAGCAGTGCTGTGACTGTGTGGGGGAGGGGAAGGCAGGAGTTTGCTCTTTGTGATTTTATTTGATTTTATGCTGTGCGGCTCATACTGTATGGACCTGTGCAGCAACCAGAAAATTTAACTCTTTTCTAAAGCTTAATGGATACAATTATGTCCACTGGCTGTTTGTTTTAAGGAGCAGGGCTGGTAGTTTTACCTCCTACATGGCCGCACATTCCTTCTAAAAATTCAGGAAATAACAGGAATGTTGTGTTTTGCACACAGTCCAGATTACTGTATATCTTGAACCATAGCAAGGTCCCTATAGTACATCGTGTCATTTATTCAAAATCAGCAGCACTGTAATTAAAGAACAGCCTTTGCGAAGCTTTAAAACCAACTTTCTGTTGCATATGTAGGACTGGATTGATTGGTGTGGTACATTATGATGTTATATATTATGATATTATACTGAACTGTGTTATGTTGCAAGATGTAACAGCTATTTTATCCATCTGCTTTAATACAGAACAATCCAGCACAGCAACACTGCAATTTATGGCCCTGTAAATGAGCACAGAGTTGAATCAAAACCTCTCTGACAGCCTCAGCCAAACCTGAAGTGTCACTAAGGTTTATTTATTTATTGCAGGGCTGTTGTATTCAATTGCATTGGATTGAACAGGACAGGTGTTGCTGTTATTGTGTTCACTCTCTGTAGGTCATGGGATGATTAACAGCATTTGTCTTTTAGCATGTGTGCGCTGAGGGTGTACATCCCCTAATGACACATGGTAATATCAAATATCTTGCTCGTTGTTAGTTTAAAGCATTTCTGAAGAAATACATCTACAAGCGAAACCTTGTTTATTTTGATTCGTCAGAGCTTACCCAATAGAGATGAATCAACGTGTTAAGACGGTTGGGAATTGTTTCTTTATCAATGTCATGAAATTCACAGTTTCTATATAAGTTACATTTGGTCAGTCATGGTGAGCCAATAGCAACATTTCTGTGCCTCTATAAAATGTCAGAAAATTGCAAAAAAAAAAAAAAAAAAAATGGCCGCCCTAGAGTTAAAAGTGATGCTGTACTTTCAGATTTGGGAGCACTTTAGACTTCCTACATTTAAGCTGCGTTTGAGTGAAATAAGGCAACAAATTCAATCACAAGCTGGACCTGTATTGTACAATCTGACATAATTAGATTAGTAGGAAATCAAGTAAATTTATGAAAAGCAAAATGTCAAATATTGGTCAATTTGCTTTTAGGGGGAAATTAAAATCATAGATCATTAAAATGGAACTGATGATGTATTTCTTGGCACACAACCTTTATTCAACCTCTCATACTTCTTTTTAAAAAGCCAAATCTAACACATGGGACATTTGGCAAAGTGGTGTTAAAAGCATCCATGTTTTGAAGAATGACTATTCTCCAATATATTCTTTTGTTGCAAGGTAATTGCCTTAAGTCACTGCAGCACTGGCGTCAGTGGAAACGGTCCATTTGGACTTAGAGATGTTTCCTCAGCAAGCAAGTGGTGTTGAATTTTGCTTCACTGCAGCAGCAGCTTGTCTGTTCTTATACTCTTATATCCAGTTTATATCCACTTGTCTTAAGGGAGATTTATGCAGATTTTAGAGTAAGATTCTTCCATCAGGTTCATTTATCAACCTTTTAGAGAACGTGAAAATACTAAAATCACCCATATCCTCCCTATAGTCCCAGGTGCTGGCAAAAGAAAGATGAAAGAGATCAAAACTCAACACTGTGAGTTGATTCCCTGTGTGTTTTTATTAACACCTGCACTGCTGTGACATTTCGAGTTCTCTCTTCATCTTTTTGGCACTCTTCATCAAACAATCAGAGATTTATCTACTTTTAATTATGAGCCTAGCTTTCCCGTTATAAACTCAGCTAATGGAAATGGATATGTGCCAGCTGAAGTGGGAGGAAATGTGCAGGGTTTGGCCAAAGCCCAACACGGCAGCAGGAATGAAAGGATAAGGTGAAATTCTATATTTTTCTCATTGTTATCAATGAATTGATCCTATACTCACAACTACTGTTTTTGTATCCCAAGCCTGATACATGGGTGACATGCTCTATCATTATGATCAACATACACACTGACTGTATGTAGGATCAGCTACACGAAACCTACATAGTCCTCTATTACATATTAATCCACAGTTGAAAAATAGTCCCAAAAAATGCACTCTCTACTCCCGTTGAAGTAATATTTCCTAAAAAACGACAGTGTCCAGCTGTTTTTAAATTAAACTATGTATTTGTGACATGTTTCTAAAGGAATGCCTTGATCGATACCACTCTCATGTTGCTACTGTTAGCAGCTAGTTAGCTTAGTTTAGCACAAACAAGATATCATGTGTTAATTAATGAGCTTTGGTAGGTGGATTTTGTTTCCTTTGGGCAGTATCAGGCTAGCTGTTTCCCTCTCCTTCTAGTCTTTATGCTAAGCTAAGCTAAACAGCTGCTGGCTACAGCAACAAATGAACTTGGAGCTGAGTGCCACAGTGTTGGGAAGTCAGAGTACTGAAAGATGAGCTAGCACTTGGTTGTTTTTGGTCATTTTCTGGGATTTGACAATAAAACCACCCTTATCCTTTGAAGTCTGTAATTAAGCCCACACAGGAGATCATTGGTTAATTCTGAATGATTGATAAAAGCCAGCAGCAAAGCCAGCTGAAAAACAGAAAAGTAATGAGGTACCTGAGTCACATGTGCTTCGTTGTTGATGAAAGTGTTTGCTGGTTGGCCCAATCCTTTAATTGGCTTTGAGCGAGGGCTTTGCTGTAAGTTTGATGTCAGCGGGTCATTCCATTGACTCATTGCATTTAGAGGAAAACTGTGGCCAACACTCATTTGTGATCTTTTAGTCATCACAAAGCTGGAGATCAACTGCCTCCACAGCTGCCTCCACAGGTCCACATTATTTGGGCAGACTTGTGTAGCTTTAGTTTGTTTGTGCTGTGCTTGTTTAGTGTTTGATTAGTTTAATCTTCTGAGAGATGGATTTAAATAGGACCTCGGTTTACTCAAGTTAATTCAAGCTTAAGAGAATTATGCTGGACCCTCTCCCAGTGAAGTTGGCCTTTGGGCTGCAGAGGTCACTGCAGAGTTTCTCCTTACTTACTACAGTGAGTCTTAGTGTGGGCCAGCCGTGCAGGCTCCAGCTGTTTAATTTTGTACATGGTTGGGAACATCTCCAGGGAAATCCTGTAGACCTTTCCGAGCAGCCAGAAATAGGTCACAGTGTGAGGTGCAAAGAAAAAGTGTCTCTTAGAAGACACTGCAGTGTTGGAATTGTTCACAGTACTTGGTTTTAATAGTTGGTTTAATGACATGATTTTTTCTCTTGAGGGAGGAAGACGGCACACAGCACAAGTATAAATCCTCTTTTTCATAGTTTTCATCATCCTTTTCTACTTTGATAATGACGCTTCACTAATCAAGATAATTATTGAGATCTGGCAACGTTGTGGCACCGCTAAAAAGAAATCCAACAGGGCAATAAAATGAGCAGTCAGACGATCAGATAGCTCCTAAACAAATTCTGGTTAGCTGTATTAGCATTCCCCAGAAAACCACAAGGTCCATTCAATAACTGTTCAGCTTTTGATCATCATCAGCTAGATGATAGATACTTTTCCTACATCGACTTGCAGATGTTCAAACTTGGATTTCTCTGAGGACTTTAAGGACTTGTTAGCTTAAAAGGGGAAAGACTGAAAGTTAATTTGAGTCTAAGGTTCATTCAAATTGAAACATCTATAACTAACGTGTTCAGGGAGATTGTGTGTTATGATTGAAAGCTCCAGAATAGTACTAAATGGACCCTGTAGTGATAACTGTGGTTTCCAAAGTCAGTTTTAAGCAGTCTGCATCAGGTTCATCTTTGACCTACCATACGTGTCGTTATTGTGCGTGCTGTGTCTTTGGCGTTGTTGCTTTCAGTTTTACCTCCGCTCGCAGTAGTTGTGATGATCTGGCACAAATACAACCTGCCTGACCGTCTTGTGTCTCTTGTCCTGTTAGACTTCATCGAAGCAATGTCGTCATGTTCCCAGATCTCAGCAATTTCTTTACTGACTACAATGATATCTAAACTTTTGATGACCAAAACTATGAAAATAACACCCATGTGCTTAAATGGATACTGTAGCAATTTAGTACTGTTCTTGAATAAAGTTGGGGGCTTGAACGGTCAAAACCGATGCAACAGAAACCAAGAAACTCTGACTTTCAGTCTATAGTACAGGTTCCTACAATTCCAGTAATGCAATCAATCGCATGTTTTCATCAGACCCTCACTGCCTGGTAGGCGGCCACATTTTTCAGAGGCTTTTTGTTAAATTTTGTTGTCTCAAAGCCCAAGCCTGGATGATGACATCATCAAAGTTATTTTCCCAGACTTGACAAAGCTCCTCCAAAACCACAGAACAGTTTATACAATTAGTTTTACAGGACAGGCTGAGTAGTTTTCCTCATGACTCATAACTGCCTTTTGTGTAAAAACCCATGTATTTCTCCTTTAAAATCATTAATATGTGGTACCATATTTTTTAAAGTGCTTTAGAAATCATGTTGTGACATACTTTTTAAAAATATGAACATGCATTTAATTTTTTTAAATCCATTTTCATTGCAGAATTCCATCCGACACAATCTGTCCCTCCACAGTCGTTTTGTGAAAGTCCAGAATGAAGGGACAGGAAAAAGTTCCTGGTGGATGGTCAACCCAGAAGGTGGGAAAGGAGGCAAAGCTCCTCGACGACGTGCTGTATCCATGGATAACAGTAAGTACATCAAAGGAGCCCGAGGCCGCGCCACCAAGAAGAAAGCCTCACTGCAGGCCGCTCAAGATGGCAGCTCTGAGAGCTCCTCAAGCCTCTCCAAATGGACAGGAAGCCCCACTTCCCGCAGCAGTGATGAGCTAGACGCCTGGACAGACTTCCGCTCCCGGACCAATTCCAATGCCAGCACACTCAGCGGTCGTCTGTCCCCGATCCTGGCCAACCTGGAGCTGGATGAGGTGCCTGATGATGACTCTCCCCTCTCCCCGATGCTGTACTCCAGTCCCAGCAGCATGTCCCCGTCCACGGGGCCCACAGGGCTCTCTGACCTGGCAGGTACCATGAACCTCAACGATGGACTCTCTGACAACCTGATGGACGACCTTTTAGACAATATCAGCCTGACAGCATCCCAGCAGCCTCCTCCTGGAGAGGAAGACAACGGAGCAAACGGTCAGGGGAGCTCAGTGTTTACCTTCAGCTGCTCAGGAAGCAGTCTGGGTAGCCCCTCTGGCAGCTACGGGCCGAACCCCCTTTTCAGCCCGCCGTCCATCACGAGCCTGCGGCAGTCCCCCATGCAGACCATTCAGGAGAACAAGCAGACCACCTTCTCCTGCATCTCGCACTTCAGCGACCACCAGACCCTGCAGGACCTGCTCAGTCTGGACTCCCACAGCCACAGCAATGTCATGCTCACCCAGTCCGACCCGCTGATGTCGCAGGCCAGCACCGCTATTGCCCTGCAAAACTCCCGCCGAAACGCCATGCTGCTGCGCAAAGACCACATGTTGGTGAACCACACCAGTGCAGGTCAGGCCCAAAGCTCTTCAGTGCCTGGTTGGCAAGCTGGCTTGTCAACCTCTGACAACGACGCCAGTCACGCCGACACCAAGCAGCCGCACCTGAAGTCTCCCAGCAAGAACGCCTCTATGCAGCTCGGCTCTGGCTTGTCCGGCCAGGACCGCTTTCCTGCCGATCTGGACCTCGACGTGTTCAATGGCAGCCTGGAGTGCGACATGGACTCCATCATCCGCAATGAACTGATGGACGCAGATTGCCTGGACCTCAGCTTCGACTCTTGCCTCACCTCCGCCCAGAACGCCAACAGGAATTCAGGAAGCTTCGCGAGCTCAAAACAGACCTCGCCTCAAAGCTGGGTCCCAAGCTGAGAAGCTCTGTCAGAGCGCAGCATGATTAAAAAAAGAGAAGTGGGGAAAATGTAAATTTGGTTTCATTGTCCTGCATTGTGCAAGTAGAGGGAAGGAAGTATGTAAAAGTGTATTCATGTAGTATTTTTTTTTTCCATTCTGTTTAATGTGAGGCATTAAGTTGGGTACTGTATTTTAAGTGTCTGAGACACACAATAGTGTCTTCACAGTGGAAAAAGAAAATTCTTTAAAAAGATCAATGCCTGGGCGGTGTGAACAACAGTACTGACTGGAAGTACAGGACGTTTTGTTAAAACTAAATGAAAAGCATCAACTCGTGTTAGTCTCAGGGAATCACTCGTATCACAAAGTGATACATGAAACTGAAGATGAATTATTATCTTTTCACCCTGCTTTCTCCTCTTTCACACCCTTTCATACCTAAACCAACATTTTTGCCAAACCAGCTGTCAGCCTGTTGTTGGGGTGACAGCCTGTTTACAGAAACAAGCTGCAGAGAATGTTACATTATTACGTTCCAGTGGAGGATACTTGACAAGCGTTTGTTTTTTTGTTTTTTTGTTGTTTTTGTTTTTTTAAAGTTTCTTTGAGAGACGTAGCCTAAATGGACTAAAAGATTTAAAACAAATGTTAATGAAAAGCTTTTTTTTTTTTCCCCATTGATGCACCAAGTCATGCACCAAATATCAATCTGTAGAGGTTAATATGTTATCAAGATGTGAACTGATCTACATTGTGTGGTTTTTGTATGTAATGTTTTATTTTTATTTAGCAAATTTTACCCTGTGATTTTAGTGACATTACTGTGAATTCTGTTCCTTCAGAAGAGGTGCATTACTGAAGTCTTGATGATATGGTGTTTCTGCTGCAGATCCCTTTTCACCATCTTCCCGCCTCCCCTTGTCCTCCTCTTCCTCCTCTTCCACTTACTGCAATATTGGAAGTACTGTTCAGTATACAGAGTTTAGGACAGAATTAAGGCCATGATTTCGCTCTAGTTGACACCATAGTTGACACCATTTACATTAGTGAACACTTAGGACTATTTGGATTAAAGAAACCACACTTGGAGACTCCACAGCACTCGACTACAATATTTTGGAGTTTGTTCATTTTCGAAGGAGTTCTTGGTGCTATAAATAAGAAGATAGCAGGGAGTGGCTGCAGACGGAGCGTCAGTAGTTGCCTCCCGTTTTGTTATCAGCACTACAGCAGGTGCTGGGGAAAATAGTGTTTCTAACCCTGTGAGAGGAGGATGTGTAGTATCTTAGAGCCATTTTTGTCATTTGAGAAAGGAGCAACCACAGTATTTTAAATATTGCCAAAATATTTCTGCATTTAAAGAAGTGGAAATAAGAGGATATACAGTGTATAAATATTAGGAGCCAGTGCTATAAGGGCAAAAAAAAAAAGAAATCGACATCAGCACAGTTTTTGTAGGACCAGCAGGAGGTTACTTTTTTGTGAGTTTGTCTCCTTGCTAAATTGAACTCTATCATTTTAAAATTTGTTTTATTAATTTAATTTTCTTATTGTGATCCTGCATGTTTTACCCCATGTATACTGGGTTAGAGCTGTGTAAAAGCACTTTTATGTTAACGGTTTGTCGCCTACATTTTGACCACCTCAGTTGGGTATTGATCAGGACAGACGGCAAACGGATCAATGAAATTGGTGTCCTCGATAAGAGTTATTGAGAAAAATTCTTAATGTTACACACTCTTACAGTTAACTGACATTAATGTGACAGAAATATTTAACCCCTATGGCTGAATTTTTGATTTAGGAAAAAATAAATTCTGCACAAATGTGCTTCCAAATATGGTTTCGTAGCTTCATTTCATCCTCAAAATATAAAAATACTGACTTGAAGCTTTTTTTTTTTTTTTTCTACATTAATTTTGAGTAACACTCACTGCCAATATCCATTCTCCATTTCTTCCTATTGTTCCTACAAAAAAAAGAGACATCAAGTTGACATTGTCAGTTGTAATTCCAATTCCTATCTTGGTTGTATCAGAGATGGTGCATGTAAATAAAGCTTAAAGAACCACTGAATATCTGTTTGAGTTTTTGATCTACCTTTCTTTTTGTATTTCTGTCCCTAGAGGAATTGCACAGCTGCAGACTTGACTCTGCAGGCGCTGTGGAGGTGATTTGCTATTGGATAATCACATCATGAGCTAAGCACCAATCATACACTGTATCCAAGAAGAATGGACCTGCTCAAAGTCAAGGTTTTTGAATGCAGGAGCTGTGATTGCTGAGGTATGTGCTGCTCAACAACTGCTCTGCTGTGCATAATTTATAATTAATATTCTGTATATTACACGTGACTGTTGCTGTGGTAAGTATGTGAAAAGCCCAACAGCACTGACATCATGTTATCCTGACAAAAGAAAGACTCCAGTGTAACGTTAGAGCCCTCTACAGATCAAACGCAGTCACCGCCTGAGTCCAGATGAAGGAGAGGAAGCCCGGCTGCATGGGTGTTTGTCTCCATGGAGACACCACAACAAGTCGGCGTGGAGGCAGAGATTTAGCAGCACTAAAGGAGGTGTATCTTTTAAATGTTTCAAATCTAGTCTTCCCAGTTTCTAAATGTTTTGATCGTGAACTAGAAGAAGATCTGCCATGTGTGACGTGTACAGAGTTTCCTCCTCTGACAGAGTGCAGCAGATGGAGGCAGAGCTGTCGCATCAGCTCTCAGCACTCAGGGCGGAAATTGAGGAGAATGGATTCTCACACGGAGCAGGGAAATCATACAGGTGTGGATGTGATGATGTGCGGTGATGGTTATTATTTTATTTACAGCCTTATTCCTGATAACAGCTGCAAGTAATTCTTAGTGTTTTACCAGATACTTAAAGTCTGCCAATCAAAAATATCTTTTGCTCTTTTGTTTATTGCTACTTCTCTTTGATATTTGAGGTTTACAGTTCAGGATGAATGATGATGATGAAGAGAATTTTCACATTCATCTGCTGAAGTGGGAAAAGTTTCTCTGTGCTCACCTTCAATCTGAGTCTAAGACATGTAGGTAGAAGCAGGACTTTTTGACATCACATCTTGGTTGGAAGCTGATCCAGGTTCAAAATACCAATTTACACAAATGTGAAAACCTCCAGTGGACCCACACTGAGACCTGTGTCCAGCAGTTAATCTTTTAAAACAAAAAATATTTGTATATTTGTAATTGGAAAGAGTAGACGTAATTTTAAGAATTTTTAATTAGGTATTTGTGGTTTTTTTAATGGCAAAAGCACTAAAGATACAATTTATTATACAAGCAGAGTGTTTTTATGTGTTGAAACGTGTCTGGGGAGGAATCTTTCATTTCTGTTTTAAACTATTTCCATTGCCATGTAGGTGGAACTTAAATCAGGCAAGTAGAATTTATTGCAAGTAAAAATATAAATTTGTAACAAAAATTAAATCAAAACGTGTAACTGTTTGCTGATTTTCAAAATAGTTTGGGCACCAATTGTTAAATCTGTTCGCTAGAAGATGAATTGTATTATATCTTTGGGGATTCCATAACCTGTCCTCTAGTGCCACCATCAGGTCAACATTTCAGTCTGTCTTGTTCTTTGGTTTATGATCAAATATCTGCAAAAAAGACAGCATTCAAATCAGCCTCAGATTTGTCTTTAGTGGTAATTTGCAAAAGTTAGCATGTTGATACACTAAACTTATATGTGAACATGGTCGATATTACACTTATCAAACAGAAGCATGTTAGCTTTTAGCTAAAGCACCTCTGTGCCAAAGCAGACCCTCACAGTGCCTGTAGATTTGTTTAAAATAGTAAAAGCCATGTAATTAATGCTGAAAAAACTGGCTGGAACTCAAAATTCTGTGATATGGGTAAATACTAAAGAGAAGAGGAGTGTTAAAGTCTGGGTTCTGCCCAGTAGCTATCTAGCTAACTTTTGCTAACATTAGCCACCATAAGCTCTTGGTAATACCAGACCAGGTAGGGCTGAAACAGCAAAACTCCTAAGTTTGTTCATTTGAGGAAGGATGCATTTATTATTTCTTAATTTAACTTTTTATTTGTAAAAGTAAGATTTTGTTATTTCATTTTTTTTTTAAAGTTTCATCGTCTCACTTTAAAAACTGTTTGGCAAAGAGCTTTTTAAAAATTAATTTCAAGTTTTGTTCCAGTTCTGTTCCACCTCCAAAAGATGTTTCCTTCTTCCGCGTAGAGAGGGAACACACACTGAGGAGGGGGCTTCAGGTGAGACAATCCATCTTTTATTTTTATCCAGGGGAGTCTGCAGGGCTGAGGAATATTAATCAGTCAATTTCTAGGTCATGAATCTAACTCCTCCTGGTTGCAGGTGGCTGAAGCTTTGCCGGTTCAGTCTCAGGCTGACGTGATGCAGAGAGAGCTGGAGAGCTGCTTGAGTCTTGAGTACACACCTGACAGTCTGCCGCCTCTCCTGCACCAGGTGAGGACAGCACCAGCTCTCCTGACAACAAAAGTTTATGTACGAAAAAAGAGCTAATATACGAAATATATGAGAGAAGGCTAATTTAAACTAATTTCTTCTTTTGTAATTTTTTCCACAGTTTTATACGGACAGATCGTATCACTTGGCTCAGATCAAATATCTGCTCATGCTGAGATGGAGGAGATTTTGTCGCCACACCAGCGTCATTGAGAAGCTTTATCCTTATTACAAGGTGACAGCATGAAAAGACAAACTCAGTCTCATTTTGCTTGGACTTTAAAGGTGAGTCATCGGGACTCATTATGACAGGATCGAGGTTTTGTTCTGGTCGTTCCTCCTTAAATGGGATCTGCACTGATTTGTGTCACAGATCATTTTCTGCTATTGCAGTCGATTTTCATGGCTGATTAATCTGCAGATTATCCTCTCAGTTGTCTAAGAACAGTTTTCTATAGCCCTGTCCAAACTGTCCAAATAAACAACTAAACACGACTTTCCAGCTCTCTCATTTCACCAGATCACATCAGATTTGTTTCCTCTCAGGATCAGGTGTCATACTTGACGAGTGAGTACGAGGACGCCGTTCAGAGAGCTCGCAGGCTGTCAGCGAGCAGAGAGAAGATCCTGACCGGCAGAGGAAACCCTGCTAACCTGCTGACTCAGGACGATGTGGTCATTTACCTCCGGTGGCTGGTCTGTCATCTGCACTCTGTTCAGACTGTTCACAACTTCCTCAGGGTAAAAAACCCACAGACAGTTTTTATAGGATCAGTTTCTGTTATCCAAAGTGTTTGGTGTTTTGTTTAAATACTGATTTACTTGTTTGACTTCATGTCATCAGTGCATATTCAAATAGGGTTGGGGTTAATTTCATTTTTTCTAACAGGTGCTGCACTATATACCAGCTTGTGAAAGGAAAGATGAAGAATTTCAGCCAACTGCCAAAAAGGAAGAGGAAACTTTTCATCAGACTCAGCATACTGACGGTGAGAGCCAAAGCAGCAGCAGGCTGAAAATGTACTGACACTTGAGGTTTTAATGAAGAGGGTTTATCCTCTGTGGAGCAGAGCAAGATTCATGAGCATCTGTCCATTTGATAAACAGATGATTAGATAATGAGATTTTGGTCTGAGGAAAAGCTCGTCCAGTGTCCGAGTATTCGAAATCAAAGGGTTTTCTTCTGAGGACTATGAATATTGTAAGTAAATTTAATGGTTATTTGTCCATTAGATTTTGATTTTGTCTTTAAGTGGAATCATTTGCCTGACGGTTGCACCAGAGAAAAGGTCAGCGTGTTTCCAAAAACATTATGATTTACTGGCAAAATAATCTCACCACCACTGGAGGTGTGAACATCTGCAATCCCATGATGATGGAGCAAACTCCATCCTGCTGATGAAGATCATGTGATATGATGGAAAACCCCAGAACAGCTAATAATCAGACCTCATAATGAGATTATTCTGTCAGCTGTTCTTGCCAAGATCTTCTGGGGACCATGATCTGTGATAACTTTAAATCAAAATCGAAATCATCCCTTGGGGATCATGAATATTAAGACTAAACTTTATTTTATTCTAGACAGTAGTTGTCTGTAATCTTGCTTTGGATCAAATTATTTTATTTTTAACTTTAGGCGCAGGGCAAAAATAAATGAAACAAAACAATATTAACAAACAAATCATAATAAAAAATAGCTGTAACTATAATAAAACCAACCGAGAAAAAGCGTCAACACAGGCATATCATGTCAAACCTGAAAAAGGAAAAAATGCAACCTGGGATGTTTAAGTAACAGATGATAAGAAAAGTGTAGCTTTGAGTGGAGATTTTCATACCACTGTTTTAAGATAGTTGTGTTCAACGACAGGAGAAAATGTTTCCCTGCTCTCTGTTCACCTGGAGGAGTTTCTACCTGAGCTGCAGTCGCTCATCACCTACTTCCACCTCTCATATGACGCTGGGAGACTCAGGACCACTGCAGATGAGATGGAGTTGTTCAGCATGGTAATGTGCACTCAAATAAACATACAACCAAGTCTTTGCGCCTGCGCTTCCGCTATGAATTTAAATGGCATCTGGCCAATCTTGGCCTCACAAGGTGTGGAGGGAGTTCAGGACGATCTTCAGACAACAAGAGCAGATGAAAACATTTCCTCAGTACGACGGCACAGAGGTCAAACAGAGCCAGTGGGGGAGGACGAGTGGCAGCATGGCTCTGAGGAAGGAGGCCAACTGGATCCCTTTCATTCAGGTTTGAGAGAATAGCTGATAAACCCACATACTTAATTCTATAGCACTATATTCTATAATTATTTAAAAGGTGGTCAAACGGTTTGTCAACTAGAACAGTTGAATCCAACCTTTTTTGCTAAAGACAAACAGTTTGTGCTCATGACTCCTTGTCACAAGAAGTTCAACTGATTCTCCTCCCACCTCACATCCATTTTAAAGTGTTAGAGGCAGGAAGAGGTATCTATCTATTTCTCTTTTGCAGGATAGCAGGTATTGACTGCTTGGACTGTGTTTTTTTTTTTAGGTGAAACCCACTCAGGATCCGTGGCAGCAGAAGCTCGTCACGAAGCTGAAGGAAAAGAAACGTGTGGACGAGCTGCTGAGGATGCACAGCAGGTTTCTTCAGGTGGACAGAGGTTTAGCTCTGAATCAATGTGGTGTCTCCTTTGAAGTGGAATCTGATGAACTGTAACTTTTAAAACAAGTAGCTGCATTTGATATTATTCAAAATTAATTAAAAAAACTTTCCTTGCTCTTCTTGTGCTCCAAATATAACAAATAAGACCCCCCCTGTTTATAATGAAGCTTGAGCTGTGCATCAGGGGTCGAGTTATCTCCTACTTTGTCGTGTATCTTATCAGGTGTCCGATCTGCTCCACGTGGCTGCGGCTCTGAAAGACCACGGCGCCCATGTTGGTGAGTCACAGTCCGTACCCGCCTCCTCTGCCTCACACAGCGGGAAGACGAAACGACAGAAGATCTCCGAGATCTGGACGAGCATTTACAACGCTGCGAGTTTACCTCAGGCATGTATTATCCAGTTTTCTGCTCAGAGAGACAGAAACAACTGAGTCCTGCCACTACATTAAACATGATGTTCGTGTTGTTAGGAAACACTCAGTCACTCATCCACATCCAGAGGCGGAGGACACAGAGACATCAGGAGGCTGAAGAGTCAAAGGTCAACAAACGGATGGTGTGTTTTATTTTTGTAGAGAAGACTGCAACAATGTGATATGGCAAGGTTTTTGTTTTGTTTTTGTTTTGTTTTTTTTACAGAGAATAAATCAACAGCCATGTTTTTTTCACCTATTAAGAAAAGTGTAAAACATTATATATATATATTTTTTTTTAACATTTGTTCAGACAAAATAGACAATCTGAAGACGTTACCTTGGTCTTTGGGAAGCATTTGACATTATTTTCTGATACGTTGTGGACTTAAGAATTAATTGATTAAGGCAAAAATATTTGAAAGATCACTACACTGAGATTTAAAAGTTATGGGTTGAGCAAATTAAAAGATAACTGAGCAACTTTGCAGCTTTAAATGATAAAAAAAACTTTTCAGCAGCCACTTTTTCATTCATCTGTGAAGCAATAAAACACAGGTGTTGTATGAACCTGCTTTACAACACAGCCCTCCTGTCAGTCTGCAGCTTCTGGGTCTGGACGACAGTTTAGAGGAAGGAGCCTCAGATCCCATCGTAACCAGAGGTGCTTACCTGTCCCGGACTTACCTGCGTCACCTCAAGCTTCGAGAGCTCCAGGTGAGGCACCACTAGCAGGTTGTGGCAGTCTGTAGGTGTGTACTGGCTGTTGTTGGCCAAAAAGTAATAAGTATAAACTCACAAACATAAGAGATGTTCTACATTTTGTTCCTGAGCTCAAACGAGAGCCTGATCAGGAAGGTTCTCACTGCTGCAAATGCTTCATCTTTATCTTTGTTTCTCCGTCCACAGCGCGTGTGTCTTGGGATGTTGAACTACCTGCGCTCTGTGGAGAGGACGTTAACCTTTGACCTGGCAGGTCTGCAGCTGGAGGAGGGAGAGCTGTGCAGCACGGCGGAGGAAACCAGCTGGATGAACGCAGCCAGAGGAGGAAGCGGGGAGGCAGGAGGTCTCGGCTCGCTCCAGAACAACCACAACACTCCAGTTGACTATAAGGTGCAGACTAGTGTGTTTGACATGAATTCTGCCTTTCAGAGTAAATGTAAAGTACATATTTGGGTATTGACATATATTTATTGGATCAAATAAAGAAAATTCAAACTGCCTCCTACGATTCGGTCATAAGCAGCACCAAGCATTCTGTGGAAGTAGTTTTATCAGCCTAAAGTGAAGCTGCAGTATCTTCCTGTCTGTCTTCATGGTATAATGCAATTACAAACATAAGCATGAAAAAAAAAAAAAAAACTTTCAAAAAGGGGTAAAAATATACAGCGTTCATAATCTCTCGTTTGCTTTAATCCAGTGTTATGACTTCTTCATTTTCCAGGTTCATTGCTCAGAGTTTATGGAGTTTGCCGAGGTGGAGAATCTGCATGATTTCTACAGCACTGAGGAGCGTTTCATCCACACCCAGGACCAGAGAGGGTTTTACATCGTGTACGACGCTGCTCTGAAGGACCTGGAGAAGCTGGAGGATGAGCTTCTTCTAGTTGGCTCGCACTTTATCCAGAGGAAACGGACTGAGACGAAGGGAAAAGCCGAGGGAGCCTCCACCTCGGCCTCGACTGCAGACATCCACTCCTGGGCCGGGACAGACGTGGACCGGGTTGCAGTGCTTCTCGACTTGTGGACGTGTGAGACGGAGTTTTTGGAAAGCAAAGTGCAGGTACGGTGATGGATAAAGAGCAACGCTAATGTGATAATTAGTTGGCTCATGGTTCAAAGTTCATGGATCAAAAAGCGGTGCATCTTAATGAGCTGTAAACTTTTTGGATTGTCGTTTTTTCCTCCAGCTGTTAAACTGTTACTGTGAAGCCTACCAGCATGCAGCAGGGACTGAGGAGAGGTTGGCACTGGCCCGAGTCATCACTGACATCATGCACAGCAGACCGCTGCTGGACCTGAACCAGGATTACTTTGTTCAGGTCTACAGGGCCGAGACAGACTGCCTGCGAAGTCACCAGCGGCTGATCAAAGACGTTCTGGATAATCAGGTGAAAACAAAAAGCCTGCAGTGGATTTATTTCATGTGCATGTGCAGGAGGATTAAGGATGGATGAACACGTATGAATGTTAGTTTTGAATTGGAGATGCAACAGGTAGTCGATGAGTTGATTGGCTGATTGAATGTTAATTATTTTCCTGTTTTGACTGTTATTAGTTTTATTTCAAGTGCTGAATATCACTGGTTCCATTTTCTTTACCTTTTTAACTTTTCACAGACTAGAATGACAATTAATAAAGAATATAATTGGCAGATCAATTGATAATGAAAAATAACCATTCATAGTTGCAGCTCTAGTTTGAATCTAATAACTGGTGTTTTGTCTTTTTTTAGAGTCTGATGCACCTCGTTCAGTTTGATCTCGTCCTGTACGTTGTTTCAGTGAAATCTTCCGCCTGCTTGTTGTGACAGATTGTGTTGTTCGTCTCATCAGATTGAAAAGCAGCGGCAGTTCCTCCAACGCATCTGGAGAGACGATCGTAAAGGCTCTGCTCATGAATACGGTCTTCCACTGAACTACGTCCCCAAACATCTGGTCTCACTTGGAGGCAGCAGGCGAGTAAACAGAGAAGTCAGTTCAACTACCCTGGATTTATACCTCTGTATTTACCTTCTCGTGGTCTGTTTGCAGCCCTGCACTGATGAACGTATTCCTCCTGGAGGTTCACCCGTCCCTCTGCGCGGCCTCTGCAGTCTATCGCGGTTTAGTCCGGGCTCACACAGAGCTCTGTCAGCTGCACCGAGCCACGAGAGTCTCTGACAGACTCGTCCTGCGGCAGAAGCTCCTGCAGCAGGCCCTGCACAGCTGGAGGAGCCTGCCTTCACCCGGAGCCTCCTACAGCTCTCAGATACAGAAGGATGTAGGTTTTTCTTTTGAAAAGGAATTTACATAAAGAAATGAAACATCTTGAACTCAATTCCTGTTTCTTTTCCTCCACTCTCAGCTGTTCTCAGGTGTGTTTTTCGAGGACCCGCTTTTGGTCCAAAAGGTGGGGCTGTCATTAGTGAAATCTGCGGAGGAGAGGGACATGAAGCAGGGGAGAGAGAAACAGTCGTACGCAGTGGAAACTTTCTCCAAGCTGCTGGAGCTCGTCACCATCCGCCACCGGCTGCTGGAGTCGGCCTCTGAGACCGCACATCTGGCACAGTTAAGATAACACTCACACCAGGGTGGAGGGAGGTCTTCTGTCCGTTTGTTTTAACATACTCTGACCCAAGCACACGAGAGGGAAATCCAACTAAAACAAATATTTTTTTCAGTTGATGAAAAGTAAGTATTTTTCTTATAACAGCTATTTGTAATATTTTATTTATTTATTTCTATTATTAGTATATTTTTTTATTTAACCTTCGTTTTACCAGAAGAAACTTTTAATCAGGCAGCAAGTGACTTATTAACAAACAACACAGGACTGAAAACACCAAATATGATATCATGAATTCCTACTGTACTCAGATGTAAGATTTCATCCAAGAAACAGTGCCGTGAAACAACTTAAGAGATATAAATATATATAATAGACTTTATATAACTAAGTGTGAAGATTATCACGTAACGTAGGCTATGGACGCTTGAGTGTGCCATCAGAATAATTATTGATTTTTCAGATTCTTGGTGACAAAGTACTAAAACAGTCATTAAATATGCCTGTTAATCATCATATTTCAGTATTCTGTCTTTAAATGTACAGTACGTGTCAATTTGTCATTTCCATGTCCACATTCTTTTCAGTTTCCTTCTTCTTTTCCACATTTAATTATGACCTGAACTATGAACTATTGTCCTGAAAACTCAGATATAATGAGTTCATCTGCCAGTTTCTCTTTTAATTTTCCATTTTCTTTACTTCTGTGTAAAATTAATGTAGAAAATCTAATTTAGAAGCTGTAGATTTTGAAATTCACATCCTCTAAAAAGTAAAGTCACTATGGATGAAAATCCTGAAAGAGCTCAGAAAAAAAATTGTTCCATGTTCCCTCCTGTCGGTCTGGTGACACCACTGTACATCCATTAGGAAACAACTGAAGCTCAGTGTCATGTCAGGCTGTGACACTCAGTAATTCTCTCCAGGTTGTACCAAACTGTGGCTTCAGAGCTCGGCTTCAACGAGTTCCACCTGTATCTGAGGCCGGTGCAGTTTGAGGTCGCTGAACCGAAAGCCCAAACAGAGCAGCGGCCTATTTTTATCACAGCGGTACTGGAGGATGACACTTCTGTGGACAGGTAAATAATCCCACTAAATGTCTTATTTCCATGATTAAATTTTCCATTGGACATCACAGACACATCCAAAAGTTAATACTGTATTTCAGCTCTTACTGCTTTCCAGTCGGACACGGCTCTTATGTCAAAATCAGCCTCATGCTTTATTAAAACCTAAAGAGAACTGTAACTGATCATCAGGAAGCTGCACCTGCAACATGTTCTGCACTAATTTAAAACAGATGTCAGGGTCTGTCTGCTGTATGCATGTTTTTACCTCTTAGCCCTGCCTCTCCTCGTGTGCTCCATTATTTCTGCTGCTCTACAAGAGCACTGATGTGTTTTCAAAGGGAATTAAAGTGCTCTGTCTGCTGCAGGTTCACCCCGTCCCACCTGCCTCTGAGTGTCCGAGAACTGGACGAGAGCCAGATCGGCAGGTTTAGCTTCAGCTCAGAGGAGGCCGTTATTCACGTATGTTACAATGAAGCGTCGGAGTGTATTAACTAAGAAAATAAATGAATAAACAAAACAGATTTTTTTTTTTTTTTTCCATTTGGAAGCTTATGAACCAGCAGAGTATGGAGAACCTCCAGGTGACTCTGGCCTGTCAGGTTACACAGAAGAACGCCTTGATAAGCGCTGTGAAAGTGGCTTGTGCCTGCTATTGGGCAGAAAGTGTGACATCATCAGCTG